CAAACGAGAGTTCCGTGAAGACCACAAATAAATTTTAAAACTATAGAAATCATCTATCAATCAGAACTAAGACTTTTAGGTATTTACATCACAGAAAATCTAAAGACCGAAGCTATGCAAAGTAGTTTATATGATAAACAAATAACTGAACGCCATGCCGACAAATTTTTAAAGATTATAATATTTTAACATTGGCTGCGCTATACATACTTGAAGTGATATGTTTTATCAAACAATCTGAAGACTTTATGGCAAAAAATTTAGACATCCATAATTACAATATGCGAAGAAAACAGAATTTACATGTAACTCATTGCAATAAAGTTCTCTAAAAAAAAAACATAAATATGGGAATCACCTTGTATAATAAGGTCCATGAGCAGATAAAATTAAAGAAAAATTTTAACTCTTATGCGGGACTTAAAATCCGTTCTGTTGAAATATTTCATTTATTCCATTGATGAATTTATGTCCCTTTAGTTCTTAAGTGTGTTATGGTTTTATGTAATGGCAAATATGTTGCCCTCACTTAAACCATAAAAGAATCTTTGGATGCAGGGTTTCTTTTGGTTATTAAATTGTTGAAAGTGGGATGATGTATGATTGTGATGTGTATGATATGTGTGTTATATTAATATGTAGTTACTGACTTGTTCTGTATCCGAAGGTTTATCACCAAATATGGATTCTTGGAAAAAATAAATTGATTGATTGATGCATAATATTCCTTTCATGTGTTGTACTGTTCTAGCCATCTGGCACAGCAATTTTGTTATTGTTTTTGCTATTTTATTAAGGTCTTTCACGCAAACTGTTTATAGGCAGAAACGGATTAATACTACTATCAATTATGTTACTTAATTCCTATGTACAATATTCACATCTGACATCTGGGAAAACTTTGTTCCATGTGATGAAGGTTGATGATATTACTGCATTTTATAAAATGATGGCTTTATTGATAGGTTTATGGTGATCCCATTTAGTTATTAGTCACTGTAAAGAGTTCAAGTAAATTATTACTTATAACTCATATAACCTACTTCTTGGTAGTGTTAATTTGTTCATGCAGAATGTAACGTTTATACTGACACCAGATAAAGTTTCGGCGATATTAAGATAACAGAGGCTTTGTATTTAACATCATACATTCTGCATCCCAGCAAACCAGGGTAACACATAAATTTCTGTCTTCAAATCACTACATATTAGAGTAATAGTTTAAAGGAGTTTTGTTTACAGTTCAATGTCATTTCTTTCATGTCCAATATGCAGACAGAGGGACATCATGCTACAGATATATGATTTATGTGCAAATATAATTTCTTATGTCTTGCCACAGGAAGGCACAAGTGGCAATATGCATTTTAAAATTCAGTAGTAGCTATAACTACAACAGCACTGTGGCTAGGCATTCTTTGTTTTCATTTTAGTATTATGAATGATATAGCGACTGGCTACTGGTCGGAGTGAGAGTCCCGGTAAGATCAAGAGTTTTTTCTTTTCTGTAATGTCAGACTAACTCTGGAGCCCATCCAGCCTCCTATCCAATGGGTACTGGGGTCTCTTTCTCTGGGGATAAAGCGGCCAGGGCGTGAAGCTGACCACTCACCTACAAGTGCTGTCAAAAAAACATGGATCTGTACGTCTACTCTCAAGTATACCTATATGGCGTACAGCTTAATTAGTTAAGCACAGAGGAAAATAAAACTTTTTCATCATATTTGCATCACTGATGGGGGTAATAATCTTGCTTAGAAAAAACAGCATTTGCTTAGCTCTTCACATAACCTACTTACAATTCTAAACTACACATACACTGAGTGTATCTCTGTTTACAAGCAGAAGTGCACCAAGTTTAATGGATGGTTTAGGTGTGAAATCTGAGGTTCTGGTCATAGTAAGTACTTAGCTTACAGTCTTCTGGGATATGATGCCATGTGATTTTGTAAATGAATACCAGAACTTCGGAGGAACCTGTTGCTTCCATTTTCATGATGAGATCTGAAGATGGAGGTAGCAGGTTCCGCTGATATTCTACCATATTACATGCCATCACATTCCATTAACCTATAATTCTGATGGTTTCGGTAGTTCAAATTGTTTTTATGTTATTTTCTCATACAGTGTTTGTTCTTGGGGTAAGTACCTAATAGATTAGAAACTATTGTCATAATCCCTGATTATAATCATCTCTAAAGATAAGGCTAAAGGAAAGGTCAGCCAGCCATATATTCTCAGCACTTGTTCTGAAACACAGTCAGTCAGTTCATATTCTTTCCTGAGGGTCACATACGCAAAGTGAGATGCCCGTACAAAAGGTCCCATTTATTTTTTAATTTTCAGACTCTGAGACAAGACATGGGAAGTTGAAATGTTAACTTAGTGGCTAGAAATTTTACCAAAATGTTATGTACTACTAATTTCATCATTAACATATTTTTTGTTTATCCCTGTCTTCCATCTAAAATGATACCATAGAAAACTTAATGAATCAATCCTTCCCACTGTTTCATTATGAAGGGGTCCATCCAAATGTTTCTTCAGATCAGACTGTGACAAAAAATTACTGAAATCTGCTTCTGTCAAGACTTCATTATTTCTGTTGTTTGTTCGCTGTGTCAGAGCAGATACATGACAAATGCAAGGAACTTACACCGTTCTGGACGCAAAACTTCTCCGGTGTCAGAAGGCGGTGAACTTGGGGCCACCATGATTTGGTATGGGGAAGGAAATGTTAGGCCTTGTTCCAAAAAAAGTATCCTGCCATACTGGAACTGTCCCAATAATAATGGGCAAGGAATTTTCTAAAGTGTAGTGCACTCCTCTCGGCTTTGCTTTTACCTGAAACAAAGGTACAGTTAACTGCAAGATCACCTTATCATCATCATCATCATCATCACAATTCTGACAAAATACATTATAGTGTTGCAAGTATATGTTGGGATCTTGGGAACAAGAGCAATGGCTAGCCTGTCACATTGGGGGAGGTAGGCCAAGGTATAAGCAATAAATTTCCACATTCAAAGTACTGACAAGCATCTGCACCTATTATTTACCCCGTATATTTCATTTCGAACAATGTTTGATGCTGTACAACAAATGATAATTGAACCAGGTTTCTGGGCATTTCACATGTTGAACACAGGCAAAAATTTAAAATAAATGAGAAGGCATAATTTAATTTTCTTTGAAAATTTTCTAGGTGAAAATATAGTATAGTTTATAAGACACTTGGAAGTGTAATCCTTGCAAGCCATGCATAAATTATTATTATTATTATTATTTCTTCCTTATTCCATTACATCTATAGCAGGCAAAAGCCTTAGATACAGAATTGTGTCAATTTATCTTGCTAATACTCTTAAGCAATTGTCAAGAAGACTTATAAAATAAGACAATGTATGTTTACATCATAATACAATTTCTCTCTTGCATAATACATTAAAATTTAAGATAAAAGTTTCCATCAAAGGTAACGGAATATTTTGGTCACATAGCTTAAACATATATAACAAATCCAAGATATAAAAACATTAAATTTATAAAAATACAAAATTACAATTTCATGATGACCACACATCACTCGTCCCCAGTCCAATAAAACATATAATCAGGCCTCACACAGACAGCCCAAGCTGTCAGGACAACACACACAGGTGGCGGGAAAACCACTGTCAAACCCACAACCTGCCACTCCACAGATATTGGCAAGCCATATCATCCAAACAGTTTATTTTAATCTTGTTAATGCTATCAAGCAATTGTTAAAAAGACCTATTGTATATGACAAGTTTGTCACGTCACATACAACTACTTTCTAGTACAATACACTAAAACTGTCATTTAAAATAAAATTTTAAGATCAAAGCTTCTGTCGAAGTAACAGAATATTTTAGTCATATAGGTTTAACATATACAACAAATCCAACGTATAAAAACAATCAATTATGAGTATGATTATCTCATATTCATGATGATTATTAATTTATTGTATTACTCAACATCTTATACACTTACATAGTTGTAAAAATCATTTTCTCTTAAAATATTCATCAAGTGTATAAAAAGAAACAATTTAAAATAGTATAAAAAGAATTTAAATAAAGAAATTCCTTTAAATTGTTTTTGAACTTATTTATATCGTTAGAAGTTACTTTAATTTTATTAGGTAGTGCACTGTAAATCCTTACGGCCATGTGAGTTACCCCATTACCATATTTCGCCAAATTTACCCGGCTCATATGTATGTCCATATTATGTCTAGTGTTTATATCATAGCAATCCCTATTTGTATCAAATATTTTTTTGTTTTTTACTACAAATATCAGAAGAGAAGTTTCAAAATGTGGTGTTGGAGAAGTATGGAGAAGATCAGTTGGACCGATTATGTGAGAAATGAAGAAGCGTTAATTAGAGTCAGTGAGGGGAAGAATATCCTACACGAAATAAGAAAATGGAAGACTAATTGGATTTGTCATGTTTTACGCAGAAACTGCCTTCTAAAAGAAGTTATCGGAGGAAAGATAGAGGGGCGGATAGAAGTGACAAGAAGACGAGGAAGAAGACGTAAGAAGATGCTGGATGACCTTGGGGACAGAAGAGTATACTGTCATTTGAAGGAGAAAGCTCTAGATCGCATTAATTGGAGGAATTGTTTTGAAAGAGACTGTGGACCTGTCGTCTTGACAGATTACTGATGACGATGATCAGAAGAGAGTATATATAAAGCTCTACTTTGTCTAAATAATAATGAATTCAAGCATGAATGACTGACATGTATATAAAGACACACTGAAAACCAAATGGAGTAAATGCATATGTTCATAATCTACCAACAATAATTATAATTATTGTTGGTAGATTATGAACATATGCATTTACTCCATTTGGTTTTCAGTGTGTCTTTATATACATGTCAGTCATTCATGCTTGAATTCATTATTATTTAGGCAAAGNTTTGGTGGAAGTTGAGGCACAGTAATTTTTGAGGCCCATGTTCTGGAATTATATTCTTCCACTCCCTCAAGTCTTAATTTGGCACAAACTGTAGAGCTTTTTGTGGTTTTCCAAGTTGCATGGTAAGTGCAAATCTGTTAAAAGAAACAGTTGAAGATTTGAAGATCTCATGGCAGTTGTTAAGATTATGGTCTTTCCATCCATAGTTTGCCTCTAGTTCTCTCGAGGTGACCAGGTTAAAGATGAAAGCTAACAGATTTCCAAAGAAACCTGCCGCCTTGAGTCTATCCGTCAAAGTGTCACAGTGGACGTTATCGTATGTGCTTTTAATGTCGAGGAATATGGCCAATACCACGTTCCGGTCTTCAAACGTTTTTATTATTTCAGTCATTAGTATTCCTAGCTTGTCTGTACGACCCTTCTTTCACCAAAATCCATAATGTGTTTCTGAGAATTCTGATTCTTTTCTAGCCACCAGGATATGCACATGCTTATCATCCATTCCAATAACTTGCACACACAAGGAGGAGATATCCAGCCTGCTAGAGTCAGGGGTGCATGAAATTCTACGCAAGGATCCTACACTTCAATTTGAGAGGAAGATATGGATCTCCTTACCAAGCATAAAACTGTCCTTCCTGCTGCCTTCAAACCTAAACTGACTCCTTACCACAGCAAACCACCTCACCTCTATGGATTTCCATAGATACACAAGCCTGACATCCCAATCTGATCAAAAGTTAGCTCTATTGACTCTCCCTGTTATGCCCTAGCAGAATTCCTCCCTTAAGATCCCAAGCCCTCTGGTTGGCAATATAGGCTCCTCCACGAAGAACTCAAGAACACTTTATAAAATCAATACAGGATATCAACCTCCAAAAGGGAGATTACTTTGTAATTTTTGACGTCAGTCTATTCATCAATGTACCGGTGGAAGAAGTCTTACAAGGCATAAGAAATAGACTCAGTATGGATCCTTCTTTCCCAGAATGCTCATCTTTGCAAGTTGAAGAAGTGATAGATCTACTGGATATTTGTTTAACAAGCAAGTACTTCCAGTTTGAGGATAAATTCTACCAAAAAAAGAGGGTATGGCAATAGGAAACTCTCTATCTCCAGTGGTCAGTAACATATTCATGGAGCATTTTGAGGAAATAGCACTGGACACAGTAGACTACAAACCCGCTAAATGGCTCAGATATGTCGATGACACATTCAGGGTATGATCATATGGAGCAGCAAGGTTACAGCAATTTCTTCACCATATCAACACTGTTAGGCCTACCATCAAAATCACTATGAAAGTTGAGGCTAATGATACCCTTTCATACTTGGACATTTTGGTTTTGAAGCAGGGTCCAAAACTGACCACATAAGTGTACCGGAAGTGTACTCATACTGGTCATTATCTACACTTCAAGTCCAACCACCCACATCATGTGAAAAGGGAAGTTGTTCATAGTTTGGTCAACCGAGCAAGATCACATATCAAAACCAGATGGATATTAACAACAAAATTGAAAAATATGACACGATTTGATGTTCAATGAATATCCAAAAGAATTCGTTAACTCTGTAATGAAGCCACTGGCAAGAAATCGTCCCTCTTCAGACACAGTACACCAGGGCACTCTCATCATTACATATGTGTCGGCACTTCTGAGAAATTCAGATGCATCAGAACTGCTTCAATCTCAGAACTATTTTCAAGACTAAACATACACTCCGTGTGGCAATAATGAAAACTGGACCAGTTAGAGATGCCCAGCAGACAAAGCAGTGTGTGTGTATAGCATCCCATGTGATTGTGGGAGATGTTACATTGGTGAAAGAAGATAAAGTCAGGATGATGGATAACTTCCAAAAACATAATATTTGTAGTAATGTACCATCACCACAAACTTTTAGATCTTATGTCTTAAATTAATTTTTTTCATTCTTATTGTGCTTGCCATTCATACCCAGTAATCTAACATTGTTATGCAACAAAATAAATAAAACGTTTAAGATTATGATATCAATGCCATTTTTTCTCACAATGTCCAAGAATTTTGTGTTAGTGTAATGAAGTTTTGAGAAAGCTGGTCTATTTCTAACTGGGGGGATTTCCCATTGCATGAAGTGGCATTAAGGAAAAGTGGTGGCTTTGGTTAGTCGACTTGTATGGTATATGAACATTTACATTAACATCCTGAAAATATGTCTGTAATTCTGTGGTCTTTAGAACACGTGAAAGAAGCTTATCAACATAATGCAGTGACAGTAGTTAAAAATTGCATAAGTAGTGTTTCTAGAACCCTGTAGAAAAATGAAGAAACAAATATGTAAATACACTCCTTTAATAAGAGAAAACACACCAACCATTTGAAGTTCACAGGCTACTTCATATACTTTTACATCACTGGCATTGTCAACTTCAATTGTCATGGGAATGCTTTGTCCAGGTACATAGCCTCTTGAAGGAATATGAGTTGCCAGAGTGAGTGGTCCAGACTTGCAGAAAAAGCAACAGAAATAATCGCTGTTTTCAATCTTGACTGGTTCCTGCAATCACATGTCACACAAAAGATTTCTGTACTTCAAGTATCTTTTACTTTCTCATATGCATGGTTAAGAAATATGCCATCCATTTTAAGCTGCATGATTCCAACAGTTATTAATATAAATATCATTGCTCCTTAATATAAATGACATTCTAGCACAACTATCGCTGTTTGAGAAACAATATGTCAGAGATATGAGCATCCTGTCACATCTTGCTGAAGGATGAACTACAAATGTTTCCTAACAAAACCCAAGTGGTTCAGGAACTTTATGAAGATGATCAGAAGAATGGAACATAGTGACACATTTCTCCATGTGTTCAAGGAGGCTGACGATACTATATCAGACGTTCATTCTGAACTTACTGGTTATGTCAACCAGCAGAGTAAAATCATGACCAGTTTCAATGACCTTAGTATTATAAATGTGTCACTTTATGGTGTGTGATTTCTTGGGCTGTAGTCACTGGATTTATGTCGATGGGACAACTGTTGATGATATCTGAGAGGTAGCAAGAAATGATAAGCAATTTTACTATTCCAGAACTAGAGAGCATGGGATTTGATGACTAAACCCAGATCCAACATGAAAGAGCAAAGGCTCATATGGCTTGTGAATCAGTGTCACTCATGAAAGGCCTGTTCCCATTTTAACCCATAATCTAGAGATGTTGCATGACCAGTCACAACTTGATGATCTTCGCGGTGTGACTTGTGTGACTTTGTGTATGTGTTTGATGACTAATTCCACATCCTGGGTTTGGTCCCTGTATGGATGTTTATGGAAAGTGGAGGGTGTGTATGTATGTATATGACGAGTCCTGTATCAATGTATTTTGATTTATGGGAAAATTGTTTTAATTTTAAGTTTTTATAGTAATGCACTTTTTAAATTATGTTTAGTTACAATTGTAATAAGCTCTTGTTTTGTTTTTTTATATTGCCTATGTTAGTTAACTGGTGTGTGTTATTTTAGTTGTGTGACTTATGTAATCTATTACATGTATACATCTATAATCAAATGGACTATTTCCACATCCTAGGATTTTTGCCTGTATGGATATATGGAAAATAAAGCAAATGAATGTGTAATGATGGGAGGGGTACCTGAAGTCAACTGTCTGACAGACAAGATAAAATAATCAATTAAAACTGAACAGGATATAGACCACATTCCATATGAGCTCCTAAGTGATGTAAAACATAATTATTAATTTCCATCAATACACATATAAATGTAATGGTTTCTTAAAGCCGTTGCTTTCAAGGCCTATTCTTACAAAGTTCTTTTTCCTGGAATTCCTCTTTCACATATTATGTAAATAATATCAATATCTAGTACACTGTTGTTTCATTAGGACTGTAGTACACATCTCTCACCCACTGTGTGCACTGCAAAGACAATGAGTATAACAAAAAACGATCTGAGAGTTTTAAATGATAAGGAAGTACACAGAGATATTTTTGAATGTCATTACATCCGTAATTTGATCAGGTGACTGTACTTTCGTTACATTTAGCATTTATGTGTTTTCACCTAACAGAGGCACTCTAAGAATATGCACCTCTTAAGTTACACAAGTTAAAAATATCTGTAGGACTGCAGGAGAACTGAAATAGCAAATAACTGTTATGTGTTGGCAGCACAAAGCATACAAACAGAACCATACTGGAGAGGCTGCCTGTCTGTCTCTTCACATGTTTATCTCCAATATTACTAAATGGATTTTAATCATGGGTGACATTGGGAATCCACAATAAATATTGTCAGGCACGTTAAATTGTGATGTGCAATGGTCCAATACAACCCCTACGAGTACTTTACATAAATCTCAAATTTAACTTTTATTTTGTCAAAGCCTGCTAAATACAGTGGAGCCAGGTCAGCTTAAGAGATTGTGACTGGCTACAGGCTGGACAGCCGAGGGGTCACAGTTTGACTCCCGGTAGGGGCAAGATTTTTCTCATTTCCACATTGTCCAGACTGGCTCTGGGTTCCACCCAGCCTCCTATCAAATGGGTACCAGGAGTTCTTTCTTAGGGCTAAAGCAACCAGGGCTTCAAGCTGAACTCTCACCTCCATCTAGTCCCGAGGTCAACAATACATGGATTTATACTTACACTCTCACATACATCTTCATTACATAATGCTCAGTTATTATATTCAAGCATCCTGCTGCATTGAGGTTACATTCTCTGTTGAATATTCCCTCTACAATGCAACAATCAACAACATGGATTCACACTTTAATATCACACAGTTGTCATTATGTGCATAAGATGTTATATAAAACTATTAAAATATATATTCATTATTATAACTTTACATGTGTTTGAGACGTTGTAATGTTGGTACTACTAATGAGAGGAATTTCTAAGTATGTTATTGAGATGGTTTTCAGTGGCATGTATACATACCAAGTCCATGATGATCGATTCAGGCAATAAAGCAATATTAAGGATATTACCTCAATGAACTGAGAGGCTATAGTGTCAGTAATATTGATGAGGATTTATGATGTACGCCACTGAGATGGGGGCACACGGTAGCGTAGTTAGTTGAGGGGTTATGCTACAAGCCAGAAGGTCGCGGGTTCAAGTCCCAATGAGGTCATTGAATTTTTTTCAGTTGACCTAATCCTTCCAGCTGCACTAGGCCCTGGGGTTTACTCAGCCTCTAACAGAAATGAGTACCAGGAATTAAATAAATAATTTTCCTGTGGAGTAAAGCGTGGCCGGCACATAAGGCTGACAACCTTACCGCCATCTATGAGCTAACTGTCTAGATAATGTGGGACCCTCAACGTCTCTCAACCCTATGGGCCTTACAGAGTGGACAATTTTCAGTCCAGTGTGACATACAAGTCTACAACACTTCAGTCTTTATTCACCTTACATGTTTTGATTCAAAAGAATCATCCTCAGAGGCGCACCAGTATGATCAGGAGGAAACACTGTCACACAAGATGCTCTAACCATATGCACCCAAGCCATGAATAATGCTCACTATATAAATTTTGTATTTATCACGTCTGGTTTTGATGCTTGTCCCAGGTATTCACTACGGCGCCTCTCAAAGTGTAGATCCACGTATGATGCTGTTTCTTTCAAGCGCATTTGCTGGGTATTCTGACTGGGATTTTCCACTGCACGTGATATGATGTTCACTTTTTCATAGAGTAGCCTCCAAATGGATTTAAAATTGTATTAAAATTTTCTTTTGCATGTAAAATTTAGTTATTATGTTAAAATATCACGAGCCGACATTGGGTCATGTTGTTTTCCTCCTGATGGTGGGAGATGTCATTTATTTCTCTTGATTTTATGTTCTCATTATTCATGTAGTTTACATGTGTGTTGTGTCATTTGTACTGTTTTGAATAGTGGGCCTTCACCGCCTGGTACAGGGATAGCTTTACTTTTACTTTTTTACACCACTGAGATAGACTTAGGTGGCATGATATATATGTACATACCAAGTTCTGTGAAAATTGGTACAGGCGTTCAAGCAATATTAAGGCTGTATCTTGCGAATCTGAGAGGGTACAATGTTGGTATTACTGGTGGAAAGGAAATGTGAAGTGCATCGTTCACATGGGCTCAGGTGGCATGGCACATGCACACACAGTCTTTTGCATTTAACACTGTAGAGTGCAGTGCAATTCAACATCCCTCGTTGTGTTTGAAGTATAAAAGTAACTATTATAACCAACATTTAAATTCAGCAATCAAAGAGTACCAGAATACAATGAATCTGAATGGCATATCAAGGAGCTGAGGTAGTTTGCTCATATAAGCCGACAGAAACTGAGGAACTGGGGTATGTGAGTTTTGGTTACTCAGTATTTGATGCAGTCCAAACATTCACTGAAATGCCATTGAATTCTGGGCTTACCTTGTTTTTAGGATCTAAAGTCAGATCTAAATGTGAGAGAACTGTAAAAAAAGCCTTCACTTCATGATCAAATCTCCAAGGACGATCAAGCGTGGCTTTAACTGTGTAAACTATATGGAAAAATTCCCCTTTAAAGGATGAAGGTAGATTATTAGGCAGGATCATACTGAACTGGTAATAGTGTTCTCCACTTTGCAGCACTTCTGTTTTACCTGAAAGAAAATGATCTATATCACTAAACAAAATAATAATTAGATATAGGCATTCACCCTTTGAAGTGCACTATACTTGCAATTATTTGACAAAATGTTAATACTGTATACAAATTAGACATGTCATCAAGGTGATAATTAAAACTGAAAAAAAAAATCTGCTGACAACTAGAGGCAGTTCAGACAGAAGATAAATTAAATGTACTGTGTCTGAAATATATTTTAGGATGTATCATATGCTGACAGTGACACAGATTATTAAGTCATAATTAGGAAGTGACTATATTCTATGAGGCTGGTCACGGTAGCCAAGCAGTCTAAGGCATGCACTGTCTTCGCTCGCTTGGAAGCCGGTATCATGGGTTCGAATCCCACTCAGGGCATGGATGTTTGTGTGCGTTTTTCTGTGTTTGTCTACAGGTATAGGCCTTGCGACGAGCTGATCACTCACCCAGGGAGTCCTACCGCATGTGTAAGATCTAGTAAACCGAAGTGAAACGGAGAGTTTCATGGAGGTAGGCCTAGGCCCAAATTGAGGCTGTAGCACCATAGGAAAAAAATATTCTATGAGGGTTGACCAGAAATCATGCAACAAATTTGCTTTCTCATTCACAATTTATTTTACTGAAGCTTCAAATATGTCACATTGAAGCCTGAAACTATGGTTACCTTAAACTATTTTTCAAGTCGCTCTCCTTTTAAACCTTGAACCATGCAATGGTTCTTCTTCGTGAAGTTCCTTGGAGTCCCCCCCCCCGAAACGCCAGGATGCGAGCTGTTCCTCCTTCTTTCCAGTTAAAACCCTTGGCTGACGTCAGGTCAGCTGACCTTGTCCCACCCCCCTCCTGGACGCATTCCGAGCTTTCGTGGGTAGTACAAATGAATGTATCGTTCTCTCTTCCCATTGACCTCGGAAAGGTAACATCGCTGCGTCTAAATTTGGTTTCGTTATGTTGAACTGATCTTGTGGAAATTCGGTTTCGGCCCGTAGCAGTGCTTGAAGGAAGAGTGCCCTCACGACGTGATCAAGGCTGGATCAAGTCGTGAGGTAAATCTTTGTGTTTGTAATTCAGGAAACGCAAGTAAGTGACTTACTGTTGTAGATGGTTTCCTTTCGATTATGAATGCCGTATGGCGTAAGATAATTTGGTTTTGTTTTGGGTTGTGTTAAACAGCAGATCGCCCCTCAGGTGTGTATGTAACATGTTTATATTTCCTTGTGCCCTCAAGGCTTGCTTAAGTACATGTTTGTACAGGAGAAGTAGAAAGACGCCATGAGGCGTGCCTGACTTGAGTTCTGTGAGGCTAGGCACAGTGTAGTTCTGTATTAATTATTTATCACATGTTCTGACCAGTCCCTGCCCATCAGGCAGAGTCCACCTGTATACATATGTTATCAATATACATTTATTTATATGTTTGGAAACGCCAGTGTTTATGTATACTTGTGCAGTGTGTTCCCTACCAGTTCGGACTAGCCGATCCGTCCAGCTTGGCCCATAGTGCCGACAGTGGTTTTCCTCTCCCGAGATCCCTTACTCGACCTTGGGGAGGCATAGTACATCACGTTACAAGCAAGTCGTTTCTTATGAGCCTGTCCCTTACCCATTTGAGCAGGGGTTCACGGGTCTAAGTGGGTAGAAGAACTGGGTTCTTTACCCACAGGGTCAAGGGACACGGCTCAACCTACAGCCGTAAGCCACTGAGATGTAAGAACCTGCATGCATTAGTGGTACCATTAGGCAGGTCTCTGTCACAAACAGCTCTTTACTTTGGAAATTACTTTCTCCACCATCAGCACCACCAGTGCTGCTTAGTAAATGTGGTGGTGGTAGAGGAAGTCATTTCTGAAGTAAAGAGTTGGCTGTGACAGGGAACTGCAGAGTGGTATTGCAAAGACATACAGGCTCTTGCACCTCCATAGCATAAGGCCATAGATTTAGAGCAGACTGTGCTAAAAAACTGGTACAGACAAAGATTCAGGCAGAAATATGACATATTTGAAGTTTTAATAAAATGAATTGTGAATGAAAGAAAAATGTTGCATTACTTTCTGGGCAAACTTCGTATTTTCGGCATACAATGGAAACCAAAACCATCATACCAGATATATCACCAAATACACAGGACTTTTCTTCCACTGGGCTGCAGACTCAAGCTGTGACATGCTTTCAAAGATGTTTTGATGAAGTATGAATACACATTACCACTACAGTTTTACAGTAGTAATTTAAAGACATAATACCTATTTTATAGATCTTTCATTCTCATTGGATGCAATCTAATCTATATAAATAAAAATGTAACTGTTCGTTTGTTCAGGATCTTAAATCTCTGAAAGTTCTTCACCGATTGCTTCGAAATTTTGACACAACGTTGCATTCGAATGCGCGCATTTTTATATACCTATTATGTAGATGTCACACCTGTGACAGGTAAAAACATTCTTCTTTTGAAAAACAGCATTGGAATTTGGAATTCAGAAGAGTCACCCCTATGGAAACGCTAGAACAGACCGTTGCAAAGGAAGTAACAATAGCGATACTGTATCGAATCTCCACGGTTACGGCAAATGCACGGAGCGTTCCCACGATTGGCTGAGTGAATGAGCTATTCTTGCGGCCAAGAACAAAGACGTCTACAAACTTAACAATATCATTCAGTCTAACATTCGCTGCAAGGCAGTCACATACAAGTCCGTCGAAACTGTTGTGGAAGCACATGAAGCGGTTAATTATCCAACAGAATTTTTTAATTCACTCGATCTGCCACAGCAGTGCGTGGCCGGGTACAGCTAGTTAATAATGATTCAGAACATTTAAATTTACTTACCATGTCCTCCAAATACTTTCACACGATTCTTAAAATACTTCTCATAGCCCCTGTACGTCTCATCTCCTACAATTTTCACAAAACTGGCCATTCCTTTGAACTCTACTATGATACCTACAATGTATTCAGAAAAGTATATTTATTACTTACCACATTCAGTTAAGTAATTTTCATAATATACTATTGCAGTTTTGCATATGCCATCATTATATATATTTGAGATCTTGTGCTTTATAAAACAATAAGATCTATACGACTCAGTATTCCAATATTCATAAGTATAACACAAAAGGGAGAATGAATTTGTATGTCCAATTATGCAATACTGCTCATTGTAAAGAACTATAATCAATATGAGAATACAAATACATAACAACTTACATCCAAATTAAAAATAAGAGAAAAAATTAAGACCTTTAAAAATAAATTAAAAAGTTTTTATTCTCTACAAGGGTTTTTTAGTAACAATGATAGATGGTAGTCTGGTAAGTTCAGTTAGTTTCAATATGATATGGAAGTAATAAACGGTCTTTGAAACGTTATCTTCACTAAATATGTGACGTTCTGTTTTACACGGCTGACTTGTGCATCTGGTGGTTTAAGTATATTTACTGCTTTATAATGAATTGCTGAGAGTTGTCATCTGTGGTTTGTAAGCTACAGCAAGGGGATGCTGTATTGTACATTGTCTTGCATATTGTTTTGTACATTGTATAAGAGTTGTTGACAAGTAGCATTTGGTTGCTTTCAACTGACTTGTGGAGTTGTGCCTGTGTAACAGTTATGGATGTTAAATTATCGATTATAAATTATCTTTCCATATACACTAGAAGTATCTCATATGTGATTTACGTTGCCAAGATGACATTTTTCAAGCACAGACATCTTTCGACACTGGAGTCACCTTACAGCTTCCTGCAAATGAGTGAGGTGCCCAGGCAGAAGAGTCGATGTTCCTCCTGCACATCAGGCCATGAAAACGCGAACTTGCAACATTAATAGTATGCATCCTGTTGTGTGTTATAAATAGGATATATAATTATTTTAAAAAGATAAACAGTTCCATCCATTGTGACTGGTGAATACTGTTAGTGTGATGGACCAGAATGAAACAAATCCCTCCCCAGCGGTGAGTGGCGGCATCGGAACGCTGTCGCTACTATAGTAATAGGCAAGTCAACACCCCGCCCCTCTCCTCGCGGTGACGTAACATGGCGTCAGGCAACAGCGGTACCCATTATGTAACAGGCAAACACTGAGACTATATAAGAGAGCTATACTGCCTACGAAGACAGGTGAGTTAGAATCTAGCCAGCGGAAAGTTATGAGTTGAAATGTGGCCGTCACCGAGTTCAGTTGTTGTTGTCAGTTAAGTGTATCAGTCGCCGAAGTGAGTTCTCAAGTCAGCAGCCTGCAAGTTGAGTTGGAAGCGAATCAGCAGTCAGTCAGTGTGTGATCAGGAGTGACACAGTTGGAGTATAGCAGCAGTCGTGGAAAGAAGAACTGGACGCATGTGTAATTGGAATACGTGTAGACTACTGAAGATAGAGTGAACAGATTATTGTGAATAGGGTTATAAAGTGTGAAATCCCGCAACAGTGTGAAGAGATTATTGCGAATAGGGTTATAAATTGTGAAACCCTGCAACAGTGTTATAATTAATTGTAGCTGATACTTGTAGGTTGTTAAATAAACCAATTAACAATCCGAACAGCGTCTTCAGTATTTAAAAGCAAAGTAGACACTGTTGTACCAACATTTATTTTTATTGACATTACATGTTTCACCCCTTATACTGGGTCATCATCAGGCATACAATGATACCAGTCTCAGTTCCTATATTGCATCTAATTCTTCAATAAGGATCCTTATTGAGCTCTTGAGAGTTTTTAGCAGAATTTGAATCCTTCAGTTAAAATTTAAAGTAGTTAGACAATAAAACTTAAAACTAAAGATTAGAACACAAAATAAATTGAATTACAGAGAGGAAACTGCACACTGCCCACCCAGAGCCCACTAAGTGTAAAAGAAATGTGCAAAAGCATAGGATAATTATGCAAGTAAGTATGGCATTCTCCAGCCTTGCTCATAACACAACAGTGACACATGCCAATAGGCTTATATTTTGGAGACTGGATATTGAGACTAATTGGAAATAATAAAATGATTTCTTTACTTTCCACTGTTCTATCATCATACTCACTGTACAACTCTTCTGGTGCATCAATTTTCACCACTAATTGTCCAGACACAGTCTGTCCACCGAAGTATGTGCGCTGTGGATTGTCAAAAATCAGTTGTAGATCTGTCAAACCCATACTCACATGTGTCAGTGTAAGAGTTCCTGAACAGATGGTACAACCTGCAACAAAATTCAGAACTTCATAAAACAGACACCTAAACACAAGTAAGGAAATATGAGGGTAAGTCAATAAGTAAGTTACAAATGGATATAGAACTTAAACAAATAAGAGTACTGATTTGAAAAATGCTTTTATTTCTCAACATAATCTCCCTGTACATTGAAGCAGTTGTCCCATCGTTTCACAAGCCCCTGAAAACCAGCAGTATAAAATTCTTTGGGCTGCTGTCGGAACCAAGCAGTGACTTCCCTTTCTACAGCTTCATCGCTGGGAAAATGTTCAGCCAAAAGATGATGTTTAAGGGGGCCAAATAAATGGAAGTCACTTGGACCACTGTCGGGACTATATGGAGGATGGTGCAGGACTTCCCACTTGAAATTTCGCAGCATCTCATTTGTCTTGTTGGCAGTATGGGGACGCGCGTTGTCATGCAAGAGCAACACGCCTTTGGTGAGGAGTCCTGGTCGCTTTGGTTAATTGGCCTTACGAAGTTTCCTGAGGATGTTACAGTAGGAGTCAGCATTTATGGTTTGGCCTTGAGGATGGAATGCGGTGAGCAGTATGCCTTTGCGATCCCAGAAGACTGTGAGCATCACTTTCCTGGAGGATGGTGTCATCTTAAACTTTTCTTTGGCAGGCGATGCAGGAAGTTTCCGCTGCACTGACGCACGCTTTGTCTGGTAATGGTGGTAATGGTGAACCCAAGACTCATCACCTGTGACAATTTGGGCTAGCATATCGTGTCCTTCATCGTGGTAGCGATTGAGATGCTGTAATGCTAGAACTGTTCTTTGCATTTTGTGTTGTGGGGTCAGAATGCGCGGCACCCATCGTGCACAGACTTTGTGAAAACCTAACCTGTCATGCATTATGAGGTAGGCCATGCCGTGCGAACAACAAATAGCAGTGGCTATAGTGTCTACAGTTACCTTTCTGTCTGCTCGGATTAAGTCTTCAACCCGTTGCACATTCGCCTCTGTGGCAATCTTCGTTGGCCAGCCAACGCAGTGTTCGTCTTCGATACGTGTCCGCCCTTCAGAGAACTTCTGCACCCAATTGTAAACAGCTTGACGTGACAGGCAGTTGTCACCGTAAATGGGAAGCAATTCTTTATGAATATTCTTTGATTCCATTCCTTTTGCCCACAAAAATGGCACAACGGAGCTCTGGTCCAGACTTGTACACTTACAGCCTCCGCCATCTTGCAAATGCTGTTTGTCTTTTGTAAACATCGATTGTTTCGGGTCGAATAACATCAATTGCCACCGGACTAATGCTGTCATCTAGTGGCGATAGCCTCAAGGGTCTCATTCAAATATGTAGTACCCCACATCAATTTACAACTTACTCTTTTTTTTTTTCAATTGTTGATTATAACAAAATGTAATACTATTACTTTCATATCATTTTCAGATTAACATTAATATTACTACATCTACATCACGAGCTTCCTATACATTTTTACATATATACAAAATATTGAATATTCCAATTTGTCAGTGTGAACGCAACAAAATTACAGAAACCAACGACTGACTCGATGACGTAAAACATCAATCAAGGAAATTTGTTCTTGTTTTATACTATAACTTTTGTTTTATATAATCTAATTTATTGTATTATTACATCAAGTATTTTATATAATTAATAATATTGTATCCAATTTTACTAGTACTGCAGTTCAGTGGTGTATATATGTTAACCATGTATTTGCCTGATGATGGCTATTAATAGCCGAAACATGTAGCATAGCCAAAACTAGGCACTGATCTTGATATTAGTTGTGTTCTGACTGTAGTAATAAAGAAGTTTTAACTTACTTATTGACTCACCTACGTACATTACATATATAATGAAGCACAAATCGAGTAAAATAAAGATTGCTTACCATGTTTCTGACAGATGCTGCATTACACTATTTTTTGACATCAATGCAGAATTTCTGAGATACTGAAGTCCTCCCTGTAGGACATGACCTTGCACTTCTTCCAGAATCCCTCTACTAAGACCCATATCTTAGCTGTTACTTAAAGGGGTCAAGGATTTAAACAACATATCAGCTAAATTCTGATCAATGTTTGATTTCCTATCCCCCTTATTTTCAAAATCTACATATCTACATATTCATACTGAAAATGTCTCAAAATCCCTATATACAATTTTGTATACTGAAAATGTCTCAAAATCCCTATATACAATTTTGTTCAAAGCTTTAAACACTGACTTTTTCTGGAGTGGGGCTTGCACACACCTTAAGTATTAAATAATTCAAATAATTTATTTTATAAGTGTGTCCCACTATTTACATTCGAAGCAAGTGATCAGTTTTTAATGAAACTGCTGTGAATGTCATACAGGGAATTTTGCATTCTTCTCTTTATTTAATAAACAGAACGAGGTGTCACTGAGAAAGCAAACCCCTGTCGCTGGCCTGCAAAAATAACTTCCAACTGTAGCACTATGGGTAGAACATGTTGTCTTACTGCTTTTACTTCCTATGGCTGCACCCACACACAGTCACATTTTCAATATCTGCTTTCCTACACTGGGATGTAATATAAGTTAACTGCACTTTTTCTAGATGATGGCACAGAAGGTGCATATTAGAAGAAATAATTCTGAGAACTCAAGTAAAAATGGGATATTGTCCAAAAATTAAGCCTAATGACACTACTAGAGCAACACAAATTCAAAGACTAGAAGGTTTACTCTAAGGCCAAGCTGGTGTAATGAACATGGACTATTTAAGTTACAATGCTTGAATAATGATCACATGATATGACCATAATGGCCATCGGCCATCCTCCTAGGATCTTTGTAGAAGTACAGTTCCTATCCTGAGGGTTAGTCTGAATGTATTCCACACATTCCTCCCTACAAGATGACTGCTTATCCTCATAATGAGATTTCAGCTGCTTGTGATTCTAGTGGTCTAGCAAGTAGTACAGAACTCATGTCTGCAAGATTCTGTTTTAGGACCCCAATATGTCCTTCATATAACATTAATTTAAAACGTCTGTGTATCCTCTAACTACACTGAAAAGGAATTAATAACATAAGATTTGAAAATTTTTATACAAAGAGTTATACTGTATTTTCAATTTTTGTCTTTTAATTTTGATGCATACTGCAAAAATGGTTTCCCAGTTCTTCACAGAGTTGTTCTGCATTATAAATTCATTTCTGTTTGTAACACTTGACAAATTTTAGCCGTCCCTGGTGCCATAAAACAGATGGAAGCAATAAAATCATTTTGTCTTCTGCTAGCACTGCTTACACTCTTCTGAATTTTGAATCTTTTGACTAAAGGACAGAAGAATGAAAGAATGGCTATTCAAGAGAAAGCTAGAGGGGTTCCTTCTTTAGTGCTAAGACCTTCCATTATAGCTGCAAGAGATTATTGCCCCTCTCCGGTTCAGCGATTATTTATTTGACACACTCTTACCAACACTTACAAGTACTATTATTATCACCTATCACGTCCTCTTGACGTTTCTTCAGCACTATCACAATTTTCGGTGATGCGTCTGCTGATCTGCTCAGTGACTGCTAAAACCAAAATCTTCTCTTCAAAGGCTGGAAATCGACTTCAGTCATATATGGCCGTCATAAGATGTCTTCTATCTTGCGAAAATTTTTAAAATTTCCTATCGCGTGTGAAAACGATATTTCTGACGAGTATTCTCGTTATGTAGTTTCCGCACTGACCACACAGAAAACGTTTACAGATTACCTAGCAACAGTCGCTGCACGGACTCCCCTGTTGCGTGACGTCACAGCCTAGTGGGAAAGGGTATTTGCCGAACGTTGTTACGCAATGAACACTCGTTGATATGGATATTCCTACGCAACGGTCTCAACAATTTCCATTGTTTCATTGCTCGTGCAGGGCGACAAATAACTTCACGTGAGTCTCGGATTTGGCGTACACGTTTATTAGCCATACTCACTCACATTCACGAATACAATTATTATCCACTTATAGCGTCGCCAGTATCACAATCTTCACTCTTCAATTTCCAACTGCTGCGGCTATCTTCCAACTGAATTCGGCGGATGTGATCAAAAAGGTTCATATAAACATGTGTCCGATTTTGGACGGTTACGGAGTTATGACCGTTTTTTCATTCCCGTACACGCCCTCGTGTGAACCGCGTCTATCATTTGGCGGGTCGCTATTTTTAGCCAACTACAGACAGAGCGTTCTCTTTATCTCGACATCTGAGAGGCACCTAAGGCGTGGTGGGTTGGTATGTCCGGCCACGGCTAGTGTGGCGGCTACTGGTGTTCAGAACAGTTCTCATCTCGGTGCGTCTGTTACGTTCACGATGCCATTTACATTTTCATTTGAGCAGTATGCAGATATGATTTACGTGTACGGTTTCCGAATCGTAGAATACCAAACCGGAGGGTGTTTACTGGAGTTTACCAGGCATTGCGAGATATCCGTAGACTTCCCGGCGTTCGTATTGCAGCCGAGCGTGGTGTTAATGAAGAAGGCATTGTTCGTATGGTACACCGCAGTCCACGTAAGAGTACGCGAAGAATTGCCAGTCAGGTCTCCAGACTTAAGCCAACTGGATTATTGTGTGTGGGGATGTATGAAAAAACTGGTTTACAATGTGAAGGCGGTAACGCGAGATGCTTTGCTCGGTCGCATTCTGGACACCGCTGACCACATAATAAACAGCCAGGTGAAGCTGCTACGTGCTACCCGCGCGGTTCATAACCGAGCGGCAGTCTGTGTTGCGGCCGGCGGTGGCACTTTCGAAAATCAGCTTTAAGCACCAATAAATTCAAATTAAAGGTAATTTCACGAAGTTAACTTTACATTCATACTTTAAATGTATCATGTATTATGCTGGTTTATTATTTTGTTCCGTTTATTGTCAGTAATCGGTACCTTCTATTATGAGGTTAGAACGGTCATAACTCCGTAACCGTCCAAAATCGGACACATGTAGTTATGCCCTCCTGCAGTTATGCCCTAAAGTCGTGAAACACTCTGTATAAGCGTTTTTCGAACTGATTGGTGAACACCGGCTTTAACAGTTCGGTTTGCTAGTTACCGCGGAAGTGCATTGTTCCTGCTGGTTGAAAAATCCGTTGCTTAGAAAATGCATTATTCTGCTGTTTCAATAATCCGTTGCTTCGGAAATGCAATATTTCCCGTTGTAGCGTAACGCTTCTAACAGTTCGTTGTAACCTTGGAGACTCGCTGTTAGAATTTAATTCGCGGCATGTAGTGTTTCCATGGATATCCGCTTCTATCATTTGGACGATCTCTTGGCAACGGCCTGTCTGGGAATTTGTTTTTCGCTGTGGGAACTCACAATTTCGATTGTTTTCGTTGTTCAGCGATGGGCGACATATAACACGTTAAAACATTTTACTCAGTTTTTGTACGGTACCAATTACGAGTTAATTGATGGATAATATAAATATGGGTGCAAAGGGTTACATTTATTTCAACCCAAAAATGTGGTAGGAATATGGGTTTCATGAAAGCGAAAATGTGGACGCCATGTCAAAAAGTCTGGGAATCACAGCATTAAGGAAATCAAATCAAAAGTTTAAAAGAATCTTTTTATTGCTAGTGGGGTGGGACTAAGTCCTTTGTACTGCAGCCACTTCTGGCCTATTGTACCAGCCCCAGATGATAGGTGAGGGTGATTGTGGAGCAATTGGTGGAATGAAGTATTCGGAGAAAACCTGTCCCAGCGCCACTTTGTCCACCACAAATCCCACTTGACCACACCCGGGCCGCTGCGTGGGAATCCAGTGACTAACCGCTTGGGCTATGGCGCGGCCTTTTCAACATATCGTACTTAGTCCTGAAGTTGCAAAACTTGTTTACATATTTCAACACTCCTGAACACTAAATTAGAAATGTGCACTATAAACTCTGTTCAATCATTACTAGTCCCATTGGGAACCCTTTAAGACGTATATTGTGGTTGAAATATAAATACGACTCTATGGCCTGGATTACATCAGAAACACTTCATTTTGAATGAGTCTCAGCTACTGCTTACATCAGCGTTTTCCCAGTCCCCACTATTCATTGATTTCTGTTCCTTCTTTGATGATCAAAACCCGTACTTGTATGGTCCGGATTTTACCTCACTTTCCCTCATACATTTTTCAGTGTCAAACATGTATTGGGAATTAGTGTCCATTGTCTATCTTCCATCAAAATTGCAACATTTCTACATTCCACACTTCAACACTACATGCAACGGGATGCTGAAATACAGAATCATGTATTGGGAAGTATTTAACAAAATTGCATGTAGATGATTGTGTAGTCCCAGCCTGCAATAAACTGAAAATGAAATCCACAGGATACAGCAGACTGGAAAATGTTATCTTCAAAACTGCAAGCCACAGATCCACTCCACATGTGAAAGTTACTGTTCCCATGCCAATGACTATCCCTGTATACTATGACAATAAAAAGGAAGTTCAAGATGATGATTCAGGAAAATGGAATATAAGCTAGATGCCATTTCAGGAAAATGGATTTTACCATAATATAAAAACATACTTGATCATGTGCAGCTCTAAAATATTGGCTATGATTCAACAGTCATTAAAAAGGTGTGCCCATAGGCACCAGCGACATAACTGAATCACGTCTTTCTTTCTTAACGCAATATGAGGAACATATTCTAAACTTTCACTAACATAAGCTACAATGAAAATCTTCAGAAGTACTTACTTAAGCACATACATGGAACTTATAATGAGTGCATACACCTGATGATGGCCGTTTGTGGCCGAAACATGTAGTGTAGAAGGCAAAACGCAAGACCTAAAATAAATTGTTACACTTAGGATGGAATTTATATCATATATCCTATAGAGTGTAACAGGATGCTTAAATATAATATTGGAAAAAAAGAAAGAAAGAAAAAAAAAAAAAGCTAAAATACTGCAAATTTACCCGAAATATTACAATATACTAGGGTTCCCAGATACCCTGTTTTCCCTGGATTCTTCCGTTTTTTCACCCAAATTTTGTTCCTCCGTTTATTGTTTACCCGGAGTGGATAATTCTCAGTTTTTTTACTCAAGTCCATTGTGAATTATATTTCATGGGTTAAATATTATCATAAAATTTCTGTAATCCTTGGAAAATGACACTGTTATAGTTTCTTTCGTTATGTTGCATTTTGTGAATGTTGGCAACACTTGAGGTTCTAAACCAAAGCAGAGGTTGTTTGTGATAGTGTATTTTTAATCCGTTCAATCTTCGCTAGAAAGTCAGAGTCAAGTTAGCAAAAATGTCTGAGGGCAAAGAAGATCCATGAAAGACTCCTCCACAGAAGAAGTTAAAATTCCAGGCCAAACATAATCAAATATATCTTAAGAAATGGGAAGATATGTTTTCGTGGGTTAAGCCGGGACCGATTATGTATATTTTATAGCCTATTGGTTGTGAAAAATGTTACAAACAAGCAACGAGACATCACTCCTTTTTTTTTATTTTACAAAATCTGGCAACCTTACAATACACTGAAGTTTTATAAAAAGAAAGAAAGAGATGAAATACAAGGAAGATGACAGTCACTCATCAAAACTTACTGAGGTCTGGAATATTTAAACATAGAGAGAAATAAATGCTGATTACTGTAGTATTGGTAAGGGACAATAAACTCTAACATTGGTGAAAATTTGTAAACTGACATCATTCACAGTTTGTTACAACTGAGCACTGTTTCCATGTGGACAACTGCTTATGAGTCTACTTGAATGATGAACATGCAGTAGCTGGATTGTCTGGCTCAGTGCCTTGCAAAGGATAATATGGGTACCGAGGATTGTACCCCATTGTTCCAGGCATGTGCTTACTGTTATCAGAGGAACCAGCACTTGCTGCTGAATGCATGCATTCTTCATACGTTGGCAGAGCTGAAAAATATAGAGAATGAATTTACTACTCTGTTTCTTCTAAGTTTTCATGATGGTGAATATTACAATTGTTATCTTCCAAGATGTGATGGCATATATTTTGTTAGATATCCAAAGTTTCATAGGAACGTCTAGTCTCTTCTACCTTGAGGATGATACATTGGTATCTATACATCAAACTAAACGGTATCATGTCCTGGAAGACCATACATAATCTTATAGTCTTGCAATAATCTGTTCATGTAAAACTGATATTGTCTTTTACCTTTAACCAGCATACAAGGTTCAGCTTTTCCACATAAATATGTAAATATATCAGACCTTTGGTTTTTATGGCAGCGAAGAGTTGGGTTGTGGTCTTCTGAGTTATGAAACATGTAGTGCGATAGGTGGCTACCAGCATTTTGTAGGAACCTACTAGACTTCATGGTGACATAACCTAATAGACCACAACTGTAAAGATTTTGTGTTAAATTCTAAGGAAATTCAAATCTATAAGGGGTTTTATTTTACAGATCTAGCTCAGGGTAATAAGTAATTATTCAAATTATGTAGTTACACGCATTTTTCTACATATATATGAGACAATCAAAGTATTCTGTAACCGACTTGTTATTGGGTTAGGTACTTAATGACACTGTTTCAACTGCAGGTACATCCAAAAAGTGTTACTGCTGAGCTAGATATGTTGTTGTTTCATCCAAATTTTTGTCACTATTATTAAAATAAAAGCAATACATATGTCAGTAGAATGACAACCAGTAACCTGGAGACAGGAGTATTTGTACAGCTAACTCCATATACTTGTCTGCTGCGTACCGTATATCAAATACATTTCAGATGACTGACCATGTAAAATACATCAACTTTGAGATTTTCACAGCGGTGATTATGAAGAGTATTATCTTCTAAAATAACGGCGTGTAGTTGGTTTAAAGTCAACCAAGGTTTCGGAGGAACATATCACCTCCATCTTCAGGGTTGAAGAATAAGCCAAGCATGAGACCAGCGTGAAACAGGTGGCAAGAAAACCAAGAATGTAATCTTTCATAGGACGGTGGGCTATGAAAATTAGTGGCCATAATTTGTAGTAAGAGAAGTAGAAATTGTTTACTTTTTAAAGCTCCCATAAAATATGGTCAAAATATTTATTTTTAAGAAGACTTTCTTTGTTCCCAAGTGTACTAACACCTCCTTATTTCCTAATAAGGATATAAAAATATGAAATCTCAATGCAACATGCCTTTTTAACATAAAACAAAGAAAAATAGTTTGGTTTTGTATAAGGTCATCTTTCTAGAACACATATCTACCAATTTTTCAGGCTTGGCTGAACGAATTGTAGGGCATGTTGATCACATGGGTTAATTGTACCCAATGTTAGAAGCACAATTACTTTTGAAAATCAGTGATTCTAACAAAGCCAGGGTAACTGTCCTGGCTTCTTCCTCTTTTTCGCATCAGTGGCTTGAATTATTAAATCATATGGATAGAAATAGAGCAGTGTTTCTAACTTACGCATTTCCGTTTTCTTCCCCATCTGGCAACAGCGTTTTGAATTATCAACTGATCTGGACAGAGATACAGGTGGTGCATATGAATTCAACTTACGCATATGAGCTGCAACTGGCTCAGAAGCCGGTGCAGTTGGTGTAGGTAAGGCCTGTTGTGGACAGGAACTTTGTCGCAGTGGAACTGTTCCAATAATAATAGATGTGCAATGTATCAACTCACGATGTAATCCTTTTGGTACAGCTTTCACCTATGAGGTAACAGAGTTGAAAACTGTAACTGTAAAATCATATTCCCTACTACTATTATCACAGTTTTAAGCGTAATAAAGTTGTCCCTGGATTTAAATAATCACTATGCCATGAAAACTTAAGGACGAATGCAGGTATTTGGTTCACCACTCTCGACCTCAGCACTTGATGGAGATGAGTGGTCAGCTTCATGCCCCTGCCAATTTACCCCTGGTACCCATTGTATAGGAGGCTGGGTGGGCTCCAGAGCCAGCCTGGATATTTTGGAATAGAAATTTCTTGTCCTTGCTAGGAACTGAAACCCAGCCATCCCACCCATAGCCCGAAAGCGTTGATGGATATTTTATCAATAAGGAATTTTCTAAAACCAGTTTATTAAGAAATTCCTAGCACCTAAGCAGGGCCTGGATGACCAAGGGGTCAGAGTATGAGTCCTGGTGGGAGCAAGAATTTTCACTTCTCCATGTTGTCCAGACCAGCTCTGGGGCCTAACCAGCCTCCTATCCAATGGGTATCCCTGAAGGGAACGTAGCCAGGGCGTGAAGCTAACCACTCACCTCCATCTAGTGCCGAGGTCAAGAAAATGCAGGTCTACACATCCGCTCCCCCATATTAGTTAAGCAAAGGGAGAACTTTACCAATACTTTAGCACCTAAGCATTTTCACATTAGACAGGTTTCATTTTTGCACAGGTATATAGTTCTGTTGTTTCATAATGGGATCTATCACGCACAAGGCAGGACAAAATATAGGGAAGTGTCAGTGATGAAACCAAGTGTAAAGTTCAGATATGGGTAGCAGAGAAAAAGTGACAGTAGAGATATATATGTATTGGAATTGTATTAAGAGCTAATTAGTATGAGACATATTCCTGGGAAACTGAAAAAAATCCTAAAATATTTCAGTCATGATGGCCAGTGTCCTGCTACACTGCTCTGATGTGCGCTAAAACAACGCGCTGCAGTTCACTCAAAAATAAAATTAAAATCATTGCAATTTTCTATTAAATTTTTTTCTCATTTCTTTTATAAAATCCAATTCCACCTGGCGTCGTCCACTTGTTTAGAGCTATGTGATTTATTCTAGACGTTTTATTTCAGCAGCTTGTTTTTATGTTCATTAGCCCATTGTTTTGCTACGTCTGCAATCTGTAATATGCCCCTTGCTTGTGTGTTGTTCCCTCTAGCAGTGTGTGGTGTCGTCTCCAATAGTGTTACCCTAATAAACAATAGAAAATTTACAGCTCAGAGGATTTAGACAAATTTTGCGGTTAACTAGTCAAAAGTCAGTCCATGTGTGTTGTAACAGTTAACAGTAAAATAAATAACAAACAAACAACCTACACTTCAACTTTATTGTCCAGGTATAGATTTTTAAATCTTCAAGTATTACGGGGCTAGTGGCCAAATTTTAACTCACGGGTTAACAATATTAGTGATGAAAAAATGCAAAGCTCATCCAACTCGGCCTCACATGCCACTAATACTGTGAAGAATTTCCAACAAAGGTGAAATTAAACTTTTATTGATATTTCCTCAAGCAAGGTATAATGATTGTACCATGACTCAATTCTACTTAATTTAAATGATAGTCTAGCAAACAACGAACTGCAATACAATGAAGAAGAGCTAGAAAAAACTTAGACAAACCTACAAAGAGGGTATTTAATACATATTGACAGGATAGGAACGGGGTGGAATGAAACCAAAATTGACATTAAAAAAAGACAGAAAAAGTGAAGAGCTACACTCAAAACTTCTAAACCACTAGGAAAAAGAGTATTCATAAGCATGCATACAAGCACTTCTAAAATGGGGCCTGAAATATTAAGAAAAAATTCCTTTGCATTTAATACAGCTGCATTGATTACACTTATAAATACACTACAGTATTAGTAGGGTCATTTGTATGCTATGATGTTCATATGATGCATAAAATAATGTTGTCTTATCACCATGACATAACAGCTTACCATCAATCTGTAGGTTAAGTCAATGATACTGCAAGAGTTAAGCATTGATGGTGGGGCTGGAGGAATCCTCATATTTACTGTCCATGTTTTACATTCATTTTCAGCAACTGGTCCATCTAATGCAAGCTCAGCAACAACCATGCTCTCTTCCTTAGAACCTCTAGGTGAGGCACAGTAGTAAGAAACAGTCTGTTGAGAAATTCAAAGATAAGTGATAGTACAGAGGCTTGTCATGAGGGCTAGATTATAATTCTGTGAGGTCCAAAGCAATGATAAGGATGAAGCTCATAACTGTTTTCCAAAAGATAACAATGGTATGTATGTACATGTATGTGGACAAGATGTGGTCAGGTGTTTGTTATCTTCCAAGTTTTACAACAGAATGTTCTGTTGTCTTTGTTAGTTAAATTTCTTCTTGATATTTTGAGGCCCCTCAGACTGTGAAGCCCTAAGCTATGGCTTTATTTGCTTATATGTAAATCCAGCACTACTTTCCATAATATAATTTCTCTCTATGTGTGAAAAATATTTGAGGGAAGCTTGCTCTAACAAACGTGTAATGGTTAATTTTTGTCTGCCAGTATTAAACACAATAATAGGGATACTTCTGGCACATTTGTTTCTGTAATGAAGTAGCACACAATCTGTCCCAATTGTATAAATCAAACGTTTATTTGTATGGCACATGTAACAATACACCATGTAAAATGTATTTGTGTGATGGCTGGGGTGAGTGGGTCTGGTGTGTGAGAGAAAAAACACTTAACAGATGAATGAGAAGAATGTGTATGATGTACATGCTCTATGATTATTTACATATTCTGATTTTACACAGTAGGACTTATTAAGGGATAAGGTTTGGGAACCACGATACGAAACAGAATTTAGAGCAGCAAAACTATTGCCTGGTATGAACAAGCTTATAAAGTTATATTTTAGCGTCCTGTTGCACTAATTCACATTCATGATGTGTATTTGTGCCAACCATCTTACAGTGCATACAATTTCATCTTCCTCTTCACTTCATTTTATAAAGGAGACATGATGGCATACAGTGCAATGGTCTGATGTAAACAAAACCAGACCTGAAGATGGCACATTAGTGCCGAAACATGTAGTGAAGAGAAAGGTGAAATTGTATGCATTGTAAGACGGTTGGTACAAATACACATCATGAAAGCTTGTAAAGTGTGACAGTCAATTAAACAAAATTATTCTGTTTATAAATTTATACTTGTTAGTAGTTGTCACTAATATACACTATGCAGTAAGTAACCTTGATGTACTCACTTTTTGATTATACACATGTATTTTGACAACTCTGCCTATGTTTGGAAACATTGCAAGACATCATTTTCTAAAAGTTCTTTCAGTATTATCCATACATGCTCTAAACATAGTAATATATACCATGTTTTGGGGCAGTTACTCACAGTTTGTTATGCACTTGACATTAGTTTGTTTGAGTTCACTACAATTTCACTGAAAACCTTTGCGCTGAGATTGACACTGTCAGCACTCACTATCTGCCTTGAACTGGACTGTTTCACCACACAGAAATGCTGCATGTTGCTTCAAAGTTTAAACAGACTTGACGGGCTAGTGGCCACTGTTTTAAGCAGGTAACCTTTCTAGAGTAGTCCCATAACGTCGCACATGGAGTAGGCATTTCATGTTGTTAGAAGAGGCAGGGAGAAAGGAAGAAGTTCGGAGACTTCGATGGCCATGCTGTCAGGTGACCTCCCCCTTCCCCTGGCAGCCAGCCATCTTTAATGATGCAAAATGAAATACTTTCATGGACATTTTCACAGTAGCACAGGTACAAATAAGGACAGTATGGTGGACACTACAATACTGGCATCTTCTGGATATAAACTCTACTAAGTGTTGAGTGGGAAACTGGACTGAAAAGATGAGAAAAATTTGGACTTTTCCAACAAAAGTGCTACCATAAATAGATCAGAGCTTGAATGCAGAAGACAAAACAAAAATGCATGATTTAACACATGCAATCCCAAAACTGGATCCTAAGGATTCACATAAGACTGCTGATTCATGTCACACAATGTGCACATCACTCACCATGTTGCCGCTTACAGTACAAAATCATGAGCCCTGATGCTTGTCAGATTCCTGACAGCAAACCATGCAGACACATACTGTATGTAGATGGATATTCATTTCATCTAATAAACTTCAATAAAACGAAAATGAAACTGCCTGAATAATTAAATCTGTTCCATCCATTGAATTCATAACAATGCCATTCAAGATATGGAGCTATGATCAAATTTTCTATTTTACTTACTCTTCATCACCTGCCATAACCAAATGCTTTGCTGATTAAATTATTCCACTCTTCCAGTAAATCACTGTTTTTTAAAACATGTTCATCATGAATATTTAATATTTTCTCTGAACTTAACGCAGTGACTTAATAGAGTGCTATTTAATGACAATGTAACAAATGCTGAAGTTGTATAGTTTCAGATTAGATGTGGTGATAATTGTATATGAAGAGAGTCATATCCCATTCCAAATAACCACCTTGGTATTCACTTTGAGAGACGGAAATAAATTAAAAAATGGTTCTAACAGGCTGTTTTTCCTTAAAAAAAACACTTTGAGATCATTCTGACCAAATGGGTCTGTCACTTTATAGAAACCCATTGAACTTTTTTATTTTCCATAGTAAATACCATGACATGATGGCTGAAAGCCAGAATGGTGGAGCCGGAGCAGACGTCCATTGCTGAGCAATGGCTCAGAATCATGTTTTTCCTACAACGAACTACAACAAATGAGTCCTTACTAGGCAGCAAGTTGTTCAACATAAGATTCCTGTGACAACCTACAGAATATGAGAGAACAATGGACTGTTCGACATGGTGACTTATATTCGGGCAATGTGGCAGTTTGTAATCGTCCCCGGCAAATAGCCACACTTAGTAATTATCATTAATAAGTATTTCCATTACTTCGAATAACTATAGCGAAAGGAAAGGTACTTGTATGTACCATCATTGCAAAGATCCCACACCTGCACGGGTTCAAACACTTCAACCGTTCGAATAAGATTAGGGGATTAGTAGTAGCATCAAGTCCACAGGTGCGACGCTCACCTGTTTACAGGAAGCCGAAACTAGGAAAAACAGAGCCATAAAGGGGTAGAAATCGCGCCTCTCCAGTTCTCACACTGCCAGCGAGTCTTGGGATTTAAGCCAGAACACCTGTGCTGAGATTTCCTACAAATAAATCTTAAATAAGCAGGTCAAATTGTCATCTGCCTCTCAGCCAACCACTTATGACCATTGGACCTCATTGGTTACTCTTGGAAGTTGTACCACCCTCTCCAAAAGTGACGCCAATGGGATTCAAAGAAAGAACCCCCGCCGGGGAGGAGCTATCAGTTAAATTACAGTATAAATCACATTGTTCTTAATCATAGAGGAGTGACTAAACGCGGGCTCAAGGGAGTCTCTGATTAGAAGTTAACCTTACCGAACAGCCCAGAAGGTGTTGTGTAATTGATATTTAATAAATTCAGTGTTTACTCTTACATTACAAATACATTAAGTGTTGTGTATCTTTGTGATCACTAAGTGTCTTCACAACCCCCATAAAGTGTGTCTAAGTCCAGGATCCCAAAGGCCTTCCCCTTCGACCTGAGGCCCGTAAGCCCTGAGAAAGAATCTAGCTCTACCCGTCTTTACCCACTAATCCCACTGTCCAGGAGACAAGCGATTCACCCTCACCTTTCATCCATCCTAAAGCCCCTGAGAAACTGCCTATGAATCGGACCCGTGATCGCAGCCGGACTCCCGCATCATCAGTGACTGACATCAGTAGTGGTGCAGGTCAAGTGATTAGCGAAAGGTAAGACAAATAACCTCGAACAGACCCCAAGAAACAATTACAAAGTGGAGCCCGAAGTAAGGGCGAGTGAAAGAACAGTTACAACATGGCGCATCCAACGTAAAGGGCCTGAAGTCTCAGCGAAGAAGGGTCAAGCCAGGAGGAGCAGCTAACACCAACTACAAACACCGAAGGAAACGGAAGACCCCCCCCAACACAACCCCCACAACTCTACAACCCCGACAACAGCAACGCCAACGGCAACGAGACGAGGACAACCCGGACGGAGCCACAGCCTACTCAACAAACACAGCAACCGACATCACGCACTTGCGAAGGTCAGTAAGAGCACAATGTCTAACAAAGAGTTAAGAAACAGAACAATAGGGACTGTAGGAGTGGAGAGTGATTCCGCGGCCGGGGAGACCGAGTTCGATTGGCCGTGCGGACAATCAGAAACATTCGGACAAGAGTGTGTAGTCGATAATGGTCCCACCCCGTCAATTACAGCAAACCCCCTAGAAATCAGAGCAGAGGACGGGAGTTCAAATCCTGCAGTTAACCCTGACACCGCAGAAAAAACTGTAATAAAAAGCATAGCCAACGAAGTAAGTCAGCCTGTCACTCAGGCCATGCTACAAAATTTGTTTGCAGAAGTGCTCAAAGCTATCTCAAGCAGTAGCGACAAACTGCAGGAGGGTGTTAGCGCACAAGTTAGTTCATTACAACAGTCGCAGGAGAGTGTTAGCGCACAAGTTAGTTCAGTACAACAGTCACAGGAGAGTGTCAGCGCACAAGTTAGTTCATTACGACAGTCACAGGAGAGCGTTTGTGCCCAAGTTAATTCCTTGCAACAAAGTGTTGAGGAAAAGATATGCAAATTGCAGGAGAGTGTCCGAGCTGATTTTAAAGTAGAGCATGACAGACTCATACAACGTTTCGAAAGAGAGCAAGAAAGGGTCAGCAAAGAGTTCACAGACAAACTCCGAACCCAAAGCGAGAAACTCACCTCAATGGTAGGGCAGCTCCGGTCTGAAACGGAAACTGAGCTAATAGTAGCTAGACAAAAATTTGCTGAACTAGAGGAGAAAGTTAGCTCACAAGCCACCCAAACGAAAAACAACACAAACACTCTCTCTGTGAAATTGACGGAAGTCAGGAACGACTTCGAGAAAAGGGTTACCGACGAAATAAAAATGGTGAGAGACGAAGTCACTCTCCGTACTGATGAATTAAACAGAGAAAGGTCGCAGGAAGCAGAACAGGTACAAAACAGGATAGACAGGATAGACTCAACCATAAACAAGATACAAAACCAGCTATCTTGCCAAGCTGACGCAACTAGATCAAGTAGTATACCTCAGAATGATGAGAATTGTGAACCTGTTCCGCTACCCCAAGCCAACCGAGTACTTTCACCACACGCCACCACGTGTAGTGATAGTACCGGACTGTGTTCATGTAAACTGAGTTCATGTGTAATATGCATGCATGAGGGTGATAATGTAATGCGAGTGAATGCCCCTGTACGCCAACATGTCGCAAGCAATCCATTACCTATTTCCGATTTTTCGCTCCCTCAGTTTGACGAAGGTACCGGGATCAACCCCGTGTACTACCTCAGACAGCTGGACGAATTCATGACAGTGAGAAACATCCCCCAGGCTCACCAGCTGTCGATAGCATGTAAATCCATCACAGGTTGTTTAGGCAGACAATGGATCGAAGCAATTCGCCATAATCTAGCGGATTACGCAGCTTTCAGAACTAATTTCTTGAACGCATGGTGGTCTTCGGCCCAGCAGAGTTTAGTCAAATGTAAGCTGTATCAATCTAAATATAGCCGCCAATCCGGCCTGTCGCTTTCAGCGCACTTCCTGAAACATGCCACTTCCGCGTTTTACCTTGACCCGAAGCCCACTGAATCTGAAGTCATACATGCGATAATCCCTCATTTCCCGATAGCAATCCAACGGATATTGCTAGGAACGAACCTAGGTACGGTAGCAAAGGCCCTTGACGTGTTGAAACGAATAGAAATCATGGAGAACCAGGAAGGATGCGACCAGTACGATTTGCCCCCTCACCAAAAACAACCTGATCCTGACCGAAGGAATCAACCCCCCCGAGGCCACTATTACCAACGGCACGACCAAAGGAACGTACGGAATGTGCAGATGAGCCCTTCCCGACGCAATGACTACTACAGCGGCTCATCTAGACATCAGAACAATAGACATCAATCAAGGAACAACTCACCCACTGGGAGTGCCGCGAGACAAACTCTAAATCCCCACGCCCCTAATTTCAACACCAACCCTGGGCGCAGAGAAGAAGGGCATTCTAGTGCAAACACGGCCCGACCGTTAAACTAGAAAGGAGCGCCATTACGGACCGGACAGCACTCCACGATAAAACCAGTAATTCAGAGGTCCCCACAAAATTCACAGGTAGTAATGAGTCAAGACGAGAGGAGAGATACACAGAGAACATGACGTCACAGCCCATGATTTTCTTTATCAACGAAGAAGACCTGGTAAAGTGTCCCACCGTCAAAATCTCTTTGAGCCCGGAATTACAATTAGACGCTATACTGGATTCAGGATCCGAGGTAAACATACTGCACGAACGAATCCTATCGGAATTGACCAAGAGCGGAGTTCGAGTCCCGACTCTGCCTATCCAAAATGTTGTCTTAGTTACCGCCTTCGGAAGGCGCAGTAATAAAATCAAGCAGCAAGTCCTTTTAGAATTTAGCATCGGCGAAGACTTGTTCGAAGCGGTCTTCTTGATCACCGCACAGCTGGCTGGTGCTGCCATTATCGGTTGCCCAATCTTACGTGAACATGGCCTCACGCTAGACTTCAGTAAAAGCGTGATTAGATACGCTAGGGACGGCGTGGTTAGAGAACTTGAATTCAAGCAAGTGCCTGGAGTACAGGCAGGTGGGAACAGTGAAGGTAAACCTAAAGGCACCCCACTACCGTCAGCCAGATTCATGGGTCAACGAACCACTCGCACAGCTGACTGCACCGTGACCCACACCCTCCCAGCTGATCCTGGTAAGCAAGCCCAGCCCGACCGCTCCAGCGAAGCGAGTACTCTCAGTCAAGTTAATTTATGCGCTGCGGGAACCCGAGTGGGTTCAAAAGGCCCTAGAAAGCCTGAATGTGAATTAGGTAAAAGTACCTCAATTCAGGGCATTGAGTGTGACCCTTTTATAGATAGTGATATTGAATGCCAAGAAGGATCATTCCTTGACTTGTCTGGTGCCGGGAGCACAGACAACTTTATTGATGACGCAGCAAATCAAGCCTATGAGAGAGCACTGCATTCGTACTGGAACTCCCCATCCACCTCCCAATCCTCCGAACCCAGGACCCCAGACTCGAGGTCACTGCAAAAATCAGATCTAGCTGACTTGATTGAATCAAATGTTCGCCTTGACCGACCACAGAAAGACAATTTATATGCGTTATTAGTTAATTATCTAGAATTCATGACTGCGAGGCCCGGTAAATGTAAGCTGTTTAGCTACAAGTTTCACGTGAACACCACTCAGCCTACTGTTGCTTATTCCAGGCCAGTACCCTTCGCACTCCGACCGGCCATTAGGGAACAAATCGATCAACTCATTAAGGACGATATTTTGGAAGTTAGTGATTCACCCTTCATTAATCCCCTCTCTGTGGTGCATAAGGAAGGAAAAAAGATTAGAATCTGCGTAGACGCAAGAAAGATCAACCAATTCACCGAACCAGATCGGGAAAGAGTGGCCCCGATGCATGAATTATTACAGCGATTCAATGGAGCTAGATTCATGACATCACTAGACCTTACTTCTGCATATCTACAGGTACCTTTACATGAAGAATCGCGGAAATATACCGCATTCCTCTTCGACTCTGCCTGTTACCAGTATAAACGCGTGCCATACGGATTTCGAAACTCCTTGGCAGGGTTTGTCAGAGCATTAAAATTAGCGTTAGGCAATGGCACCGATGAATATACTGTGTTTTATTGTGACGACATATTAGTCTACTCGAAGACATTCGATGAACACCTGACTCACTTGGACACCGTGATAAGACGACTCACTGAGGCCGGCTTTACCCTAAACGCCTCTAAGTGTCTCTTTTGTCGAGCAGAGGTGACTTTCCTGGGACACCGAATCGATGAACGTGGTGTATCACCTGATCCGGATAGGATAGCCGCCATATTGCATTATCCTATGCCTAGGAACTGTAAACAACTCAGGCAATTCCTTGGGACCTGCGGATTCCACAGCAGATTTATAGTTAATTACGCAAATTATGTAACCCCGCTACTTCCACTACTGAAACAAGGGGGTAGATGGGAGTGGACGCCAGAGAAGGAGGAAGCGTTCCTGAAGCTGAGGGCAAGTTTTGCTCACAGCATCCAGCTAGTCCACCCTCGCGATGGTCTGCCGTACGCCATCTACACTGACGCTAGCAAGTTAGGTATTAGTGCCATACTAACACAAGAAGACGACTCCGGAGGGACACTCATCGTGTCCACAGCTTCGCGAGTATTGACCCCTACCGAGAGGAGGTACTCTACTTGCGAACAGGAGCTGCTGGCAGTGGTCTATGCCTTGCAAAAGTTCAGAATATACGTGATTGGATATCCCACCACTGTGTATTCTGACAACAAAGCTTTGTCATTCCTAAAGCGCTGTACTTTAACATCAAACAGGGTCACGCGTTGGGTGATGCAGTTGCAAGAGTTTCACCTCAACATTGTGCATATTAGCGGCGCGAACAACCACTTCGCGGACGTTCTAAGCCGAAATCCGGTCGGCACATCAAAGGAAAGCCTCGACCTCGTGAGAAAACCTACGGAAATATTAGTCGCCAAAATCGACTTAGGTCTCGACCCCTCCCTGAAAAAGGAACTACGGGGATTGGCGAAGTATCAAAGGGAAGATGACTCATTAGCAAAGATCAGGGCAGAAGTGATTAAGAACCCAGCAGCGATGAAGGACCGATACATGTTGAGAGATGATATCCTGTACTGCAAAAACGACAGGACACACCCGTACTGGAGGGCAATTCTCCCTAAAGTCTTAGAGTACGAGGTAATTGAATTCACACATCTCTTGTTAGGACATCAAGGTACTGACAAGTGTGTGGATCAGATCTCGTTCTCCTTCTACCTCAAGAACCTAGGTAGGAAGGTACGAAAATGGGTCGCTCACTGTGACGCATGTCAGCGTGTGAAGCACCCAAACCGGGCCCATGAGATCGAAAGCAAGTCTCACTTACCAAAGAAACTGGGGGAACTAGTAACCCTGGATCTCTACGGTCCACTACCCACAGGTCGTGGAGGCGTAAGATACTTGTTGGTATGCTTGGAGGTTTTCTCGAGGCATGTCACCCTATACCCGCTGAAAACAGCCACCACAAGGAGCTGCCTCCACAAGCTGGAAAATCACTACTTCCCCAACGTAATTAAACCGGAAGCCATCCTGTCGGACCACGGATCCCAATTTACCAGCCCCTCATGGAAAAATGCATTGAGCAAACAAGGGATTCAAACCCAATACTCCCCGATTAGGCATCCCGAGAGTAACCCAACAGAACGCGTCATGCGCGAGTTGGGTAAATATTTCAAAATATATTGCAGCACTACCCACAAAGGTTGGCCTGAACTGATCTCTTACATAGAGAAATGGCTAAATACCTCCACCAGCAGTGCCACTGGTTACGCACCCTTAGAGTTATTACAAGGTAGCGCAAAACCCGATATATTCAGGGATATCTTAAGGAAAAGCCCCGACCAGATACCTGAACAGGAAGATTTACCTACAAAGTTGTTAAAGGCCTACGCTAAAGCAACATTGAAATCAGAAGCCAGACGCAACAAAAGAAATGTAAAGAGAGCCATATGAAACCCCAATGAAGGCGAGCTGGTTCTGGTCAACGGGAAAGTTTCAGAGGCCGTTCGAAGGACCTTACGTCATTCTGCGAAGGAAGCCCCCGGCAATGTACGAACTCGTCAACGAGAACGGAAAGCCCCGAGGCCTATTCCATCAGAAACACCTCAAACCTTACCTAAAAAGCGACGATTTGAGAAAGGATTGATTCGCGATACTTTTGCCACTGGCAAACTATTTCGATAGAGGGATCTAAATCTGACCCCCGTTTAATTATTCGAGCTCAAGTAACGATGTGAGCATATGCTTAGGTAGAAAGCCAGAGGATCCAACGGAAAATGGCAGAAGGAAAGAGAGCGGATAATACCCATACCCAACTCCCGCTCCGGTGAGGAAACCCAACATGACCCCTTAACCATGGCATTTGGCAGTGTGAATGGAAATTTGTGTATTAGAATGAACGATATCAATTGCTATAAATTAGGATTAAGATGTCAATTAAACTGGCTGAACCAGTTCACCATCATCAAGTGCTCTACGTGACAATAAGTGCAGTTATTATACAGTGCAACGAAAAAAAAAAAGAGAGAAAAAAAAACCTGTGTGTTACGATACGATGAGTGAAGTGACCCAAGAAAGCCCTTACAAAGAGAAGTGAGAAAGAGACAGAGCATGTTATTGTGTAACCAACTTGAATCACCAAGACAACCACTGTATTCATGTCTTACTAAGGTCAANCCACACTTAGTAATTATCATTAATAAGTATTTCCATTACTTCGAATAACTACAGCGAAAGGAAAGGTACTTGTATGTACCATCATTGCAAAGACCCCACACCTGCACGGGTTCAAACACTTCAACCGTTCGAATAAGATTAGGGGATTAGTAGTAGCATCAAGTCCACAGGTGCGACGCTCACCTGTTTACAGGAAGCCAAAACTAGGAAAAACAGAGCCATAAAGGGGTAGAAATCGCGCCTCTCCAGTTCTCACGCTGCCAGCGAGTCTTGGGATTTAAGCCAGAACACCTGTGCTGAGATTTCCTACAAATAAATCTTAAATAAGCAGGTCAAATTGTCATCTGCCTCTCAGCCAACCACTTATGACCATTGGACCTCATTGGTTACTCTTGGAAGTTGTACCACCCTCTCCAAAAGTGACGCCAATGGGATTCAAAGAAAGAACCCCCGCCGGGGAGGAGCTATCAGTTAAATTACAGTATAAATCACATTGTTCTTAATCATAGAGGAGTGACTAAACGCGGGCTCAAGGGAGTCTCTGATTAGAAGTTAACCTTACCGAACAGCCCAGAAGGTGTTGTGTAATTGATATTTAATAAATTCAGTGTTTACTCTTACATTACAAATACATTAAGTGTTGTGTATCTTTGTGATCACTAAGTGTCTTCACAACCCCCATAAAGTGTGTCTAAGTCCAGGATCCCAAAGGCCTTCCCCTTCGACCTGAGGCCCGTAAGCCCTGAGAAAGAATCTAGCTCTACCCGTCTTTACCCACTAATCCCACTGTCCAGGAGACAAGCGATTCACCCTCACCTTTCATCCATCCTAAAGCCCCTGAGAAACTGCCTATGAATCGGACCCGTGATCGCAGCCGGACTCCCGCATCATCAGTGACTGACATCAGTAGTGGTGCAGGTCAAGTGATTAGCGAAAGGTAAGACAAATAACCTCGAACAGACCCCAAGAAACAATTACAAAGTGGAGCCCGAAGTAAGGGCGAGTGAAAGAACAGTTACAAGTTATAAAAGGGAGCTGATTCATGCATTCAAGGCAGTGAGAGATCAGTCTGAGATTCTTCATAGAGATTTGTCGGATAAACATCGTTCAGAGGAGTTAATGGGTGAGCTGTTATGACTGACTGTAATTGTAAGGAAGTGCCAATAAACCCAATCATCAAATCCAGAACCCAGTATTATTAGTCATGCTAACACTTATATGTATGAATGTATAAGGGGTGGGCCTTCTTGGCCCTTTCACCGTGATCACAGTGATCTATTGTGCCTGGCACCCCTATATTTAACAATATCTACCAAGTCAGAATATAACAAAGGTACTTTACTTTATGCACATTTTGGGAAATTCCAAATAGCTTTCGAGGAGCCTCTCAAGTTGTTATTTATGAGTAAATGTGGACACATCTTGTCTCACCTTTCAACCTTTTCCTAAAGTTATTACTATTCTGTAGTCACATCACCGTAACAAACTCAGTATATTACCATCTTGCCTCTTCCTATTATGCCAAATGTGAATGACAGCAATTACAAAAATTAAATGACCACTAAATATGAAGCACTAACCTTCCAAAGTTCACAGGCCACATTGCAAACTTTAACATTACTTCCATTTTCAATTTCTACTGTAATAGGAATGTCTTGTCCAGGAATGTAACCTTTTGCTGGAAGGTGCATTACAAATGTCAGTGGTCCTGACTTGCAGCAAAAGCAGCAAAAGTGTTTAGTTGTCTCGAGCTGCACTGGAACCTGGAACATTAATTTTCATTTCTAAAACTTCAAAAGCATCCAAAAGTTTCACTGTTATCAAGGATTATAACACAGAATGAGCTTCCCTATCCCCTGTTAAGAGATAACAACATTTATTTTCTTGTACCAAGATTTCTTAAAGGTCTCCTAAGTTGTTCTAACCCAGGAATCAACACTATTAGTTTCCTGAAATTTAAGGAGCAAGGAGCAATAGCAATGTCTAGGGTAGTTTGCTGTGACAGAAAACATGGAATCCATACAGACTTTTGACAGCTGAACATTTAAAAAGTTTCTCCCTGAGGAACCATGATGGAGATATGTGGACAGTGTTAAATGTAAGAAGCATAAGTTGTAGTGACGTGGAGTGGACTGGACTGAACTGGATCAGCATGTTGCTTTTCCAGTAGCAATGTTGAATCTGATGCTTCTAATACCAGGTACATGGACTGCTTTCTATTCAGCCTTCCTAGGTGGAATTCATATATGCTGGACTGCAAAACATTTAGTCCTGAATCTTCTGACAATATACAAAAATTAATGGGTGCTGTCCAATAATATTTCACTGCATCAACAATGGTGGAAAGTCTTCTCTCAATTCACAAATTACTGCTATCACAGAAATAAGTACTGTTTCACCTTGACAATTCTAGGTACTTACCTTGTTTACAGGATCTAAGTTAAGATCCAAAGTAGACATAACAATGAAAGATGCCATAACTTCATGGCTGAATGTCCAGGGACGATCTAGTATGCCTTTTACTGTGTAGCGTATGTGACCATATTTTCCTTCAAATGATGAAGGCAGATGGTTGGGTACCACCATGCAGAACTGGAAAAAATGACTTCCAGCTGGAAGCATTTCTGTGCTACCTGCAACAGTTAAACGACAACTGAACTTAGTAAATTGTAGTTATCTATGGCCACATGTCTAAAATCTCCGCTTAAACAATAACTAACTATAAAACCCAACTTACTGAACATAAAATAAGGCAATGTCACTTCATCCATATTAGACAACATGTTTATTCCATAAATATAGTTACACCTGTCCAAAATGGAGTAAAAGGAATTGAATGAATGAGTTACATCTGACACAAAATAGCACAGCACTTGGAAGTACAATGCAAAGCATCTATTCTGGGCTCATAAACCTGCCACTCCTCCTCAGTGCATGGAAACTAAATCTGGTAACCAGGCAAATATTTTGTTGATGACAAAATGGCAGTTCAGTATTTTATGACACCTTAACATGGCTCTTGCTACCAATCAACACACAAAGTCCATTTTTTCCTGATGCTATTAGCATTCAGAATAATTTGGTTTTTGGACTTCCTCCATCATCCTATATTATAAAAACGCTAGAGCATATAGACCATAGAATACAGGACAATGGACAAAGTCCTAAAACCCTGTAATTCAAAGTGACATACACTGCTGTCAGAACCCTTAAGAATCTACATGCTATTAACTTACCACTTCCACCAAACAATGTCATATGCTTCTCAAAATACAAATCATTGTCTGTGTAAGTTGTCGTCTGAGTTTCATCATTTCCATTCCGCCGTATGGTGTTTGTTTCACTCCAGGAACAGTTTGCTTCTCCTCTGAATTTAACCAAGATACCTAAAGAGTATACAGAAACGTTATAACTGATGCTCTGAACATAGTGGGACACAACAGAGTCTCTGGAGTAAAACAGGCACTGGAATTACTACATCATGTCAGTTGTAACACATGATGCAACTCCACAACATTACCAAATGTCAAGATACACCTGTGGATTGCTCACTGAAAGTGTATAACCAAATATAGCAATGAATAAAAGCTGTAGTTCTTTGGAATTATAGTATGAGTCAAAATTATATTTGCAATTTCTCTGGAATTATAGTATGAGACAAAATTATATTCGCAATCAAATTACAACCAGATTTAAACCAAAAAAATACTTGCTACCATTCAGTTTGTAACCTTTCATCTTCATATGTCCTAAGTAGAAAATCAAAGACTAAAATAAGAAAATTATAATTTAGTTGTTGTATTTTATGGGCGTGAAACTTGGTCCCTCACTCTAATGACAGAAAAGAGACTGACAAAAGTTTCAGGGAGTCTGTAAACATAATTTGAGGAGAAATATGAAAAATAAGNTAAAATAAACTGGACATGATTAACTCAAGATATGTGAGATGGGTGAGACATGTAGCATGAATCATAAATTAATACAATCTGCTTGGTAAACATCAAGGTTATAAGGCACTTTTTAAATCTGTGAAAAGAAGGAAGTGTAATGTTAAAATTAATCTCTGCAAATGGTTATGGTTATGGTGTGGACTGCATTTGGGAGGCTTGGAATACGATCTAATGGCAGAATCCTATGATAAATTTTTGCAAAAACAATGACGACGTATAAAAATATGGAATTTGCTGACCAGTTGAAAACACGTGTTCTTGCGGTATGCAAGTTTTAAAAATGTGACTTTTTTAATGTGATCGACTAATTTAGACTGATTTCAATTAATAGCATTCGTTTTAATGTGACCTGCCTATTGGCCAACTGAATGAGATAGGAAGAAAGGGAAATTTGACCCAGCAACATGACCTCTTCCATACATCTGCTCTCCCATGAGAAGTGAGGCGCTAGGAAGCAACTAATGATGGATGACATTTTAAAGGTATCACTTATCACTACAAGAATCACCAAAAATATCTAATGATATTTGATCATCAACTTCAGTGGCCACAAAACTCAATATTACTGCTGGGACTACTGGGATTTTGGGCTCTGTCCATCAACCGGTATTCTAAAGAACACTAAAGAACACGTTTCAAAAACTGGATCTGTTTCCTTTCTCAGGTGAGGGGGTGAGGCACTTATGACGTACTCTGCTGGGTCTGTTAAAGACTGCTAAGCCCAATCACTGGACAGGGAGACATGTACACTGTTGGGTTCATTTGAAAGAGCTAACCCAATCATTGGACCATCCCCTTCACCTGAGGCCAGAAACAATCGTTTCCATGATGATGTGTTCTTCAGAATACTGGATGATGGCCAAGTTTCATACACCATCATCACAACCTTTTATAATCTACTCTATATTGTTAGCCATTTTCAGCCAACTCAACCCCCCTCTCCACAACCACAATCATCTTCCCATAAAAATCAATGACCCTTCCATCTAATTAATCCACCACTCATTCAATTAGCCAAGTCATCTATCATGGCATGAGCAAGTGTTAACTTTTATTATTTCTATACTATTAATATGAGTCATTTCTGTTATCTACATACTACTTAACAGTGTTTAAAATACATCTTGCTAATTTCTGGGACCATATATGTATTTGTCTCTCTCTCTCTCTGATGGCATGTATTTGTCTCTCTCTCTCTGATGGCAATTGGCTATGTGATTCTAACCCAGTGGTAACAGGTTTCCTGTGCATGTTTCAAGGACATTATGCCATTACATTTCTTAGGAATGTCTAATGTTTTTCATTTGCAAGTAAATACATCTTGCTGCTTTCTGGGACCATATATGTATTTGTCTCTCTCTCTGATGGCAATTGAATATGTGATTCTGACCCAGTGGTAACAGGTTTCCTGTGCATGTTTCAAGGATATTATGCCATTACATTTCTTAGGAATGTCTAATGTTTTTCCTTTGCAAGTAAATAATTAATAATGCCATTTCTTCATATTGAAATGACACAAATATTTTTAAAATATGACAAAGAATATACTGTACTGCATAAGATAATCAGTTGAAAGTAATGGCAAGAATATTCTAATACTTCTTCTAGCAGGTTTCAGACACTTCAACTGATTTTCACTGGGGAAATTATGAGTATGTCTGATTTATGGCACTGTGCCCCTTGTGACTTTTTTTCAGGAACACAACTGTTACATACATCAAGGTGTATCTTAAACTATGAACTTTTCAAGGGAGACCTTGTACCATCAAGTCAGTTAAACCACACAAATAATGACACTTGAGGTCAGCTGCTGTCATTATACTCACTGCTTAAGTATTCTGGTGCATCAAGTTCTACCACCAGTCTTCCAGAGACAGTCTGTCCACTGAAGAAAGTGCAATGAGAATTATCAAAGATAAGTTTCAGATCTTTCAACACCATACTGGATGATTAATGTCAGTGCATCATTTGCTCTATGAATGCCACGTTCCTGTTGTCTCAGTAATCTTCAGCAGCTCTGTGTAAATAAAAACTGAAAAGATGAAAGTTGGAAACAACACACAATGCATAACCACAGACTATGATGCACATTCACTAGATTCATACTTAGCGTATCTATAGATTATAATGCACATTCGCGAGATTCTATTCCCAACTTCAGTAAGTAGATTCCCACATAGCTGTCATCACTGCTATGTCTATGCTCCATCCTCTTACTAAAATTCGCATGCATAAATAATACTGGTAGTTCATTACTTATTACAAAAAGAACAGGAAGGCAGACATAGCTTTTGCTCAGCACCAGCTCAACACTAAAAATGAGCTTCATGGGTATTACATACTCCCGTTTCATCATGACAAGACTGGACGTTAAATTGTTTCATCATTTCACATCATAAATTCATAGGACCACTGTGTTGGTATTACTGGCTTTATGTATTTTTTTATTGCTAGTGCGGTGGGACTAAGTCCCTTGTACTGCGGCCACTTCTGGCCTATTGTACCAGCCCAAGATGATAGGTGAGGGTGATTGTGGAGCAATTGGTGGACTGAAGATTGGCAGGGGAAACCGAAGTACTCAGAGAAAACATGCCCCAGCGCCACTTTGTCCACCACAAATCCCACTTGACCAGACCCGGGATCGAACCCGGGCTGCTGTGGTGGGAAGCCAGTGACTAACCGCTTGAGCTATGGCGCGGCCTGCCAGCTATATGCAACTAAAATGCAAGCATGCTGAGTAAGCTCTGATGTCATGACTTTCATAGTACAGAATGTGGCAGGTGAAAAGGCAAGCCAGGCATCTGGCTCCCCCCGAACTAAAAAACGTTCAAATTTAAAGTTGGAGACACACCAAATAATAATACCAGCAAATAAAAGTACCGAAAAAATACATGTATATACTTCTATCCAGAACACTATAGGCAAGCAGTAAAAATAGTCTTACATGGCTTAAACACAAGCTTGTGAGCATAATCTGCCTCCCCGCCACCGCCTCCACCACCACCACCACCCAAGAAACAATGCAGGTAGCGCCCGTAGTTCATAGCAAGGTGGATGAAAATCCATGAACTGGTTGCTGTGGTTCCCAAACTTTCTCAGGCCACTGTCCTTTTGGTTCCATAAACTCATCCCCAATGCCCTCTGTACTACCCTATAAAAAGCGTTCTTCAGAACAGCAGTTTGCACAACCCACTAATGAAGATAACAAAATAAGACACCACATTTAGTTAACTACTTCAATGTTAGTAAATTCTTAATGCTACTGATGGGCTTGCTTAAGTGATACCAGTATCCCAATATCTGGTCTAAAGTCACTTCGATCGCAAACAAACGAAAAACGCGCTCAGAGGGACCCACTTCCAGCGCCCCCTTAGGCAATCCCACTGCCCGCCCCCGGAGGGTACAGTCCACTTTGGGAATCACTCATCTAGAGATCTGTGGCAATGGTCTGTTGTTAATTATAGAGTTTTTATGTTAGACATTGTCCCTTTTTTACGCCAGATGGTAGATGAAAGTTCAGTTCTGAAATGTCATATAATTTAAATAAAACAAAGACAATGAGCAATGCACAACTTAAGGCATAATCACTTTATAATACAGTGAATTTGGAACGTCGGCTACATTCCCGGTTATAGCGCAAAATTTTTGGATAATGGCTACAAATTTATTACCGGTATGCGGAATTGAATATTAGAGCTCTCTCTCTCAACACTCCTGATTTCCACTGACGCCTGCTGTCTTCTGTGATGCCAAGCAAAGAAAGATGCAGGTTCCTCCAAAACATTGGTAATGCTCTATCAGACTTCACGGCATCATATCCCAGAAGGCAGCACTAATAATCGCAGCCACGAAACCTCAAATCTCGTAGGGCCAGCAGGTGCTCTATACAAGTTGAAGTAAACAGTATTTTCCCGTTACATCCTAATTATTCTCAAGAATTCCAAAACGCTTTGTTCATCACCTATATATGACCGAAGACGGCGAAAAAGAAGTTATTAAGACACTGTGCACCAACTTCATGGAGTTGAGCCCTTCTTGAGAAACCGCCAGTTGGACACGTCCTCAAGAACTTCCCAAAATTGCATGGAACCCGAAGATTCATTAGTGTTCATAGGAGCTCTCCACTGGCCCCTGGGCGAACTCAATCCAGACCATACCACCATATCCTATATCCCTAATATCCATTTTTAATATTATCTACACACCTACGTCTTGGTCTTCATTGTGCTCTTTTACCCTCTGACTTTCTCACCAATATCGTACACGCATTCCTCTTTCCCCAATTCACGCTACATGCCCTGCCGATCTCACCATTCTAATTACATTGGGCAAAGACTGCAAGTTATGAAGCATTTCACTGTGCAGTTTGTACACACTTCGTAATCAATTTTTAAAACCAGTCGTTGTTACCTCAAAAAGGTACACTTTCATTCCGCTGTTTCAGACACCGCTACGACGGCGATAACCCAGCAGAAGTTGTGATTTGTGATACAGCTGTGCAATTCTGCACACATTCCTGACAAATACCGAAGGATATATCCTTGTTTGAGCAGCAACAACAGCTACCCAACCGTGAAGGAGTCTACAGGTATGACCGGAAACTAGCACATCCGATAACGCGAGATACAGTGTCACTGTGTGTACTTCCATAATTGCTGCAATCTACACTCGGTACATCGTTCGTGCAGCTGTAGGTAGTTTACATATGGATATGCTGTATTCCCTCCTTCACTGTAATCATTATCGAACAATAAAATAAATCCGGTCTCGAATTATACTGAGCTGTTGGGGTCTTCGATTTATGTCGGCATTCGAACCAAAGTTTCTATCTCGTCACTTAAAACCCCGTTTTCGTTTGGCCGTACACAACGATACTCTGTTCTAACATTTTCTTATGAAGCACTATATAAATGTTACGATGCGTTTTAGAAGCATTCTTGAGGATGTATTTGAAACTCACAGCTATACCTACTTAAGAAAACCACAAAAAAAGACAGGTGTTAAAACAAAGTTTTATATCGACTGTTTCTTTTTCTGAAAAATAGTACAGCCACTGGATTAAAAAATAATTTCATAATTAACAATCAAGTTCCTTCCGTCAAATGTGACACTTTTATAAGTTTTCCACCTCGTCACCACCTGCCTTACATGTTTCGGCTCACCACGGAGCCATCATCAGAGGCATTTATAGTAGAAAACGAAATCACCAACACACAAAACTTCACTTTGTTAGAAATAGCCACGTTCCAGATAATTAAAATAATTACAATAGTTAAAATTGCCGAGAGTGTCGGTTCACTAAAGGTTTTCCACACACCACGGTAGCTTTCTTATTTAATTCGTCGTTAATTCTGTAAAAATTATGTTTCGTTATTTGAAGTAAGAATTCTTAAAATTCCTAGAATTCTTNATTTTTACAGAATTAACGACGAATTAAATAAGAAAGCTACCGTGGTGTGTGGAAAACCTTTAGTGAACCGACACTCTCGGCAATTTTAACTATTGTAATTATTTTAATTATCTGGAACGTGGCTATTTCTAACAAAGTGAAGTTTTGTGTGTTGGTGATTTCTTTTTCTACTATAAATGCCTCTGATGATGGCTCCGTGGTGAGCCGAAACATGTAAGGCAGGTGGTGACGAGGTGGAAAACTTATAAAAGTGTCACATTTGACGGAAGGAACTTGATTGTTAATTTGTTAGTGTGACGGACCAGAATGAAAGACCTTAAAAAAAAATTTCATAATACTTGTTACACTATCGTAACCCAGGGATGTTGAATGAAAATCGTTTCACGGCTACATATTTTATAGCAAATAGCATATGGCCTCCTCTTACGGAAGACTCTGTATTTGATAATCAAATTTCAGTTAATTTAGGATATACTGATGACTCTCCGTGTTGAAAATTTAAAAAAAGTATCTTACTTCCAAATTTAAATATCGGATTTTTTTTTCCATTAAAGCAAACAAAATATGGTACCTTAACAGGAAATTATCTATAAAAATCAACAAGTTTACATTACGAACTGAAGACAACGCTAACGCAGTTCGGCGTCAAAAGGAAATCCTATGGCTCAGGCGTCCCAGATATGAAGTTCACTTTACTTGTTTCATAAGGCCGCACCATGGCCCAAGCGGTTAGTCGCTGACTTCCCACCGTGGCGGCCCGGGTTCGATCCCGGGTCTGGTCAAGTGGCGCTGGGGCAGGTTTTCTCCGAGTACTTCGGTTTCCCCTGCCAATCTTCATTCCACCAACTGCCCCACAATCACCCTCACCTATCATCTGGGGCTGGTACAATAGGCCAGAAGTGGCCGCAGTACAAGGAACTTAGTCCCACCCCACTAGCAATAAAGAAATACTTGTTTCATTGTGGTCCGTCATACTAACAACATCATAAGGGGTTAAGCAGTTCCGTCCAGCGTGACTAGTAAAGATTTTTCTTATTTCAATCCTTCATCCCTTACATGTTTCGGTCTTTACAGACCATCCTCAGAGGGACATCAATACAATCGGAAGCCACTTAACTATTTAACATATTAAGAAAGCCGCTGTAGTTGTTAAAACATTAGATTTTATAACCATTGTATTCTATCAACATTATATGTATATATTTTAGCATTCAAAAACATATTGTAATAGTGGTCTTCAATTGTATTGCTCTCTTTCTGAGGATGGTCTATAAACATCGAAACTTGTAGGGGATGAAGGACTGAAATAAGAAAAATCTTTACTAGTCACGCTGGACGGAACTGTTTAACCTCTTATGAAGTCAACTTTATGTGAACACGAATACGTCCCTACGTTGTATTCAAGACAGAAACGAGTTTCCAAAATTCGTATGGACGCAATCATGCGAAACTCACAGATTAAACGTAGTTTTGTCCTGCAGATCTAATTAAACTGGTACTGTTTAATTACAGTCCGTACGAAACTTCATTTGGAGTGCGGTTAGCTCCGTCGATACAGCGATGGGCTGCGGGCTGCACGGCCGAGGAATGGGGATTCGATTCCCGACACGGGCAAGAGATTATCTTCTCCACGGCGTCTGGCGCACACTCAGCCCATCTAACGGGTCACCGGGGGCTTTTTCCCGGCGGGTAAAGCGGCCAAGGTGTGAAGCTGCCCCCTCACCTCCATCCAGTGCCGAGGTTAAGTATGAGAGGAGTTTATACCTTCACTTCCCCATACTTCATGGCATTGTGTTTGTTTAATTAAGCACAGAGATGGCTTCACCTTTTGCAAGATTTTATTCAGGCAATTTCTGAAATGGCGGCAATTAAAAATGCTGAGGCCATGAAGTAAACAAACCACTAATTCAGCACTTGCTATGCCAGCAATAATGAATTTATGAAAGGAGTCCTTTCCGCTGATCATAGGGTTCAAACCTGAGTAGTAACAGCTCATCAGGATATTAAACAAAAACAAATTAAAAATAACACGAACTTAAATGTCAATGGAGATAATTCCACAACGAAATGGGTGAAGACCCCTGATTTGTTTCCGGAAACGGAAATGCAAAACGGGAACAACGTGGAAGCATTAAGTACAAGAAGTTTTCAAAGATATTTCCTGCTCACGTCATCAATCCTGGAATGCATCACGAGACAAATCTGACACCCCTTGCACTGAACGTGGCAACAGTCCACAAACATCCACTGGAATATAAGTGGAGTGGGAGAGGGGTTCCAAGAAAGTTGATTCCTACAAAACACGTGGTACCTAACACGAACTACGTGCCTCACCGAGGCGACTATTAATACTTTATCTTTCGTAAACATGTTACTTGAACTGAAAACGGGTAAGCCTTTTCCTTCTTCAAATATTGAAAGAAGATACCTGCCAGGCACATGTATTTAACTCGCTTACCGCCATCTTTGAGCCGACTGTCTAGATAATGTGGGACCCTCAACGTCTCCCAATCCTATGGGCCTTCATGGTCTGTTACGGGGATAGCTTTACTTTTTTTTTTACTTTACGTTTATGATTCATTTGCATGCTTGTATACACAGGTATTTTGAAAGAATTTGAAAGCTAAATACAAACTTCGAATTTGGACAGGCAAAGACACACATCGTGGATTGGTTGCTGTTAACTAGATGGACAGATCGGTAAAGACCCCGCGAATAACCAGCACAAGTTAAAAAGGAAATTTGTTCCAATGTGTATTGTTATTAGGAACTATAGGTCTTACGTCACACGCTGTGCTAAAAAAAAATCACATTCTTGAATTACGTACAAGGCGTCTAATCGCGACTACTGAAATTTCTAGCCCTAAATACATAAATGCCAGTCACGGTAGTCGAGCGGTCTAAGGCATGTACTGTCTTCGCCCGCTTGGAAACCGGCATCGTGGGTTCGAATCCCACCCAGGGCATGGATGTTTAGTTTGTGTGTGTGCGTTTTTCTGTGTTTGTGTACAGGTAGAGGCCTTGTGACGAGCTGATCACCCGCCCAAGGAATCCTACCGAATGTGTAAGATCTAGAAAAATTGAAGTGAACGGAGAAGTTCATGGAGGTAGGCCTAGGCTCACTGGGCCTGTAGTGCCAAGGGGGGGAAAAAATACATAAATAGAAATATAATCTACATTTGCTGTCTTATACAATGCTCACAGAACCCAGCATTTCTCGCAAGAGGAACTCATGCCGCTACAAAATGTTCGTACAGAACTGGATCGCTCAGCGGCAACGCTCTAGACTTGTATTGTGGAGGTGCTGGGTTCGAATCTCGGCTTGGATACAATTCAACACACTAGTCTTAATATTAACAGCTTCTTAAAGTAAACGACATACACTAATCTTGGTCATAACACTCAGCTCTGTACCACCTCTACTGACATGTCACTCTCTGCCACCTATTTGGTATCGAGGTCCTATTAGTTTACGCCTTTCAACGCCTAATTCGATCGGCAACTTCTCTGACAAGTTTGTGTTCCGCACGGCCTAATAAAACACATGCATGGATTCGCATGGAATTGCCAGACCTTTGAAACATTTCTGTGGGAACAGAAGAGAATGATCATGCATATCGCTGACTTTGCCTTCAAATCCAAACCAGAACTTGTCACTGAACCCGGCCCACCCTAACAATCGCAAACCACTAGGGTGATCAATGGAACAAAAACTTACCCATAAAAGACAAATACAAATATCCAGCAACACAAAAATAACCGGATGAGCTGACAACCATCACATACACTCCAAAGCACCAAGAACAAGTTCAATGGGATTTCCTCACGCAGTGCTTGGTTTAATCTGTAATTTTTCAATTTGTTACAAATGCAACACGAATGTTTTAATTTTAAGTTGAAGTTTAATGTACGTATAGAATTAAGTTGGATCCAACAAGCCCAAGTTTAAGCAATTGCACACTAGCATTGCAGTTTATGTAATCCGTCACTAAATCACCTCATGTCTACACGGGCCGAAATATGCGAAGTGAACAATAGCAAAAGTTTTATTTGTGTGAGGGCAACACCTCCATTTCTATTATTTTTTTGCTGCTTTTCCGCATTATTCCAGGCTATTCGCATCTTGAAAAAACACCACGAGAACACTTCGCTGTCATCTGGTTGTAACAATCTACTGACCCTACTGACGCCTTCATTCGATTACACAACCACGGCAGTTCATGTAGAGTAATTATATTTAATCAAAAAAAAAGAAACATTCCCTTCTACTTACGTAAAAAAAACACAAAATTTACGCAAATAGAAAAACCAAACTACATGAGATTGAACTTCAGTCTACCCATAATGCATATTTCAGTACTGAACACGCCGTTTTCAATTTATTCCATAAACAACAAGACTTGACAGCAAAATACGTAGTATATTAACACATACTGTATGTTAACACCGAAGGGCTTACCTATCTTCAACGCTCAGGCCACCATCAGGCACAATGACCAAGCGCTGAAGAAGCCACGCTGAACTGTGAAAAAGCATTTCCCCTCCCCCACTTCTGCTTCTCGACTCCAGACACTCACGGCGCTGACGGCCCTCATGGTCATGATGACCTTTGATCGGCAGACAGGAATCCTCTCAAGGCTTCCCTGGCATATTTATAAATTCAGATGCATGCATCATGATTTCGTTTTAAGGAGTGTCCCACCACAGACCGCAACCACCACGGGCGTCCGCATTCATCTGCCCCCCCTTCGGGAAAAAATTAAAATTGAAAAGAAAAATGGGGAAATATACCAAATACACGCATTAACAACAAATTCAAAGTTATCTGCATCTGCTTCAATATGGTCACCCACAACTCTTGGGCAGACTATTTTTTTTGGTATCTTGGGTTAAAAAAACAAAAACTCCGTTGTCTGTAGTCTGCAAGAGAACTATACCGACCGATCGACCGCTGCTTGTCGGCGAAGTTAGTGTATCTTAGGTTAAACTAAAGAAAAATGTTTAAAAAAATATATCTTGAGACTATTCTACAAAAACATTAAGGGCTGGCAGCCCAAAGGATTAACTGTATGTCATGGAGTTACATCACAAGATAATATTCTTGGTCTACTTAATTAATGCAAGAATATCAGAATGATGAATTAAACTGACACCCAGCACTGCCATGTAAGCGAATGGAGATGGCTTCACTGCATTCCAGTGAGCAAAAAAAGAAAAAAATATATATATATATATACTCAACTCTCAATTATCTGGGGGCGCATAAACCGGTTTGTGGTTTAACCGGGCCTTTTTTGAGGCTTATATGTTGTTTAATATTCATTCACTTTTGTTTCACATGGTGAGGAGTAACACTATTTTCATACTAGTGTGAACCGAGCTCTGCATTGTTTGGTCCCGTTACGCTAACACAATGTTCTAGGGTAGGGGTGAAAGAATGCAAGGATTTGTGGAAAGTTTCAAGGACAGACACCGCCCCAATTGGTCCCTTTGTATCGATCTTCAAGTGCGTTAGCAAAATGTCAGGGTGTAAAAGGAAGCGTGCTCTGTTAAGTATTCAACAGAAACTCGTGTGAGCCGGGCTTCGAAATGTTAAGCAGTGACGAAACCGCAAGTTCAGTGAGGGTGCAGCCAGAGGAGCGGGAAGAAAGTGAGAATGAGGAAGAGGTGGACAGTGCTGCTAGTAAGAAAACATCATATGGTGCTGCTCTTAATCATTTGGAATCCTTACTAGACTATCCTGAGAGTGAAGAGAACAGTTTATTAAGTGACAAGCTAATATTTTACTTAGGCTTCGTACGGATATCCGTAAAAAGTAAAATGCCACGAAAAGGCAAACGACAATATTAAATTTTTGTAAGTGTTAAGGGTGAATATTCGTAAAAAGTGTTGGATGTTGTTGAACACTGTGATTGAAATAACTAATTCATACTTCAGTATAATGCAAAAAAATTATTAAATAGGCCATGAGATGACATAAAAATGAGGTTGAATAAACTTAAATACAGGTAGGCCTATAGTATTACAGTACTACTTTTAATAAAATTTGTCTTAACCGGATTTTCAATTAATCGCGATTTCCATTCCCGGATAATCGAGAGTTGAGTGTATATAAATATATACAAGGTGTTTCACGACTTTAGGGCATAACTGCAGGAGGTGATTTCCTAGGTCTTTGTGATCAAAAAAGTTCATATAAACATGTGTCCGATTTTGGACGGTTACGGAGTTATGACCGTTCTAACCTCATAATAGAAGGTACCGATTACTGACAGTAAACGGAACAAAATAATAAACCAGCATAATACATGATACATTTAAAGTATGAATGTAAAGTTAATTTCGTGAAATTACCTTTAATTTGAATTGATTGGTGCTTAAAGCTGATTTTCGAAAATGTCACCGCCGGCCGCAACACAGGCTGCCGCTCGGTTGTGAACCGCGCCGGACATAGCAACCCCTCCCCCCCAGGTAGCTCTCAAGTGTCGAGATAACGAGAACGCTCTGTCTGTAGCTGGCTAAAAATAGCGACCCGCCAGCTGACATACGCGGTTCACACGAGGGCGTGTGGGGGAATGAAAAAACGGTCATAACTCCGTAACCGCCCAAAATCGGACACATGTTTATATGAACTTTTTTGATCACAAAGACCTAGGATATCACCTCCTGAAGTTATGCCCTAGAAGTCGTGGAACACCCTGTATATTTCAAGTTTCCTGGATTATTTTATCTGCAATATACATTAAATAATATTGTATAAATATAAAACGTTATTATGAAATACAGAGTCACTGCTTTATCTGGTTTCAAGTATGTGTCAAATACGTTTTTAAACAATATTTTTAAATATATACACTTCAGTCTCTATTAAAAAATTAGATATTTTCATATTTCCTTGTGAACCCCTTGTACAGATTTAGAATAACGCTTTTATAATTTTACAGAATCCACTGAATGGCCAAATGTATAACATACATTGGTGGCAAAAGTCCTTAACACACGTGTTCTTGGCATCTGATCTAATTTTCAGACTTCACGCTTGTGTTTAAGGATCCTTTTGTTATGCTTGGTTTTATATAATATGTAAAAAAATCATTTGTAATGTTTAATAACATAAAACATACTTCAAATCAGTATAAAATATTGCTTTAAACAGGATAAAAGAAGTGCCATATAATGATTATGATTAAAAACTGGAACAAGTTACAAATATGGGCAAGAACATTAGCATGTTCAAGATCTGCCACCACTGTATAACTATTACAGGAATAACAAATTTGTATCATACTGAAGAAAATGTCTGGACTGCTTCCTCGTTGTTAAGGGTATATGATTTAATGCAGGTATATGTCACATATGTACATCCCCTTTACACCAACACAATCAAAGGAATGAAAAGAGCGTCATTCTTACCCTTTAGTTACAAAAGGTACACTAATTCTATTCTGATGTCACTTGTGTCCTTGAGAGCTACAGATTATCAGTTACACTTTGTAAATGAAAAGAAACATGCAACACATATGAACATTTCCTTTTGGTCCAAATTTACATTTATCAAATGTAGTATTTTCTAGACTACGGTGACTATGAAGATTACTTTGCAGTTTGGTGGATTACTACAAACATTCTGAAGGAACATGTTTCCCCATCTCTAGGACAGAGACTAAGGAGAACATGGAAAGAAGTGGTATGGATATTGCAAGGAGGATGTGACCCAAGCTCTGAATAAACAAATATTACTTCTTACTCCCACTAATTCACTCAATGTCTTCGTACCAGACGTCTTCTCTCTATATCCCCACCAAATCTTTTCATGCTCAGCTTAATCTTTCATACTGAAGATGGAAGCAGGAGGTTCCAGTGAATATTAGTAATGATCTACCGGGATACACATCACATCCCAGAAGGCAATGATCTTGATTTTTGCTGAAAAGTACCATTTTCTGTGATGTGATGACACACAGTGTAGTAGAAGTTCACTCTGCTTGCTTGTTTAACTTACTGTTTGATCTGAAACAGGAGGCAGTACATTATTCCAGAATGTAGGTGAACTTCTACCGGACCATGCGATGTTCTTCGTAGTCACTGCTGTGAGTACCTCAAATCCAACAACTTAATATTTACTGTTTTCTCACAAAAAGGGACAGGAGAGAAAAAAAAACAGAATAATATATATTTATGTTGTTAGGCGCAATTCCAATTTAACACACTCACTTCACTGTCCCTGTGCAACTTCATCCATATATTAAAATTCACTTTGAAAGCTATTTGTCTCTCCTTATTTATTAAACATTACATGATCTGGCCTAACTGGTCATCATCAGGTGTATAAGATTGTAGATGGAAACTGCTAATCCTTTGCTTCCTTCTGTATCCTTTCCAATTTATTATTCCCTTATTATCCTACAATTTTATGCTAGCTAAAAAGAGGCTATAGACTGCACATCCTACCCCATAAAACCCCTGTACTATCAAGTAAATAGACTCCTCAGAGAAGAGAATGACATGAAATATTAACATTTTTAGTTACAACTGATACAGGTGCCGGGGCATGAAGGCATTGCTGGAAACGAAAGAGCATATCAATCGGCTAAGATTGGAGCTGAACATCCGTTCATAGACCTGAACCAGCCTGTGGCATCTCTATAGGAGTTGCCAGAAAGGCAATCAGGGACTGGACAAATATGAAGCACAAGAAATACTGGGGATCTATGCCTGGACTCAGGCAAGCAAAGGAACTCATATGAGGACCCTCTGCTAAAAGAGCGAAGGAACTGTTGAAGCTAAACAGGAACCAGCTACGATGGGTGGTGGGACTATTCACAGGACACTGTCACCTTAAAGGACATTCTTTTCAAACTGGGACTAAGTGATAGTCCCACTGGTAAGAAGTGTCAAGAAGAAAATGAAAGAGCCACACATATCCTATGTGCCTTAGCTTATCTAAGATTACGTCACTTGGGTCAATACTTTATGGAACCAAGTGACTATTCTGATGCCCCCACGTACAAAATCCCGCACTTCATTTGAAGCACAGGATTGCTGAGGGGATAATCAAAAGGGGAAGCACAATAGATCACTGTAGGTCACGGTGCAAGGGCCGAGAACGCCCATCCCTTATACATTCATTCAACATTTTTAGTTTAGCATATATTGAAAGTCTTGGAACTGATAATGACTGGTTGAAGGGTGAAAGTTACTGGAACTAGGATAATAAAATTTCAGTGCGTGCTGGATAAAAATATCAAGTGATCTTTTTTTCAGATGTGTTACTTCTGCTGTTAAGTTCATATGTATTCAGTTTATTTTGTTCACAAAAATTCCTCTATACAAAATAAAAAGCAAACCTTTGGAACTTAAAAATGTTAATTTAATATAATCTGTTTCAACGCAGATTGCTAAGTTGTTAAAATCTTGGACCTCTCAGCTTGTTACAAAAGTACCGACATTTCAGGCACCATCTCTATCCCCATCATCAGGGTTTCATGTTGACAGAATTTTTAATCAACATGGCCGATAGCCCGAGAAGAGTTTATCACTATTAGCTGACCAGTTTCACATCCTGAAACTAACATCCACCTCCCACTGGTTCCCCCTCACAGATCCGTAATTTTATTTCTTCTTTCTTCCATTTCTTCACCCTCGCCCCACTCCTCTGAATAGCCTGTTAGTGTTTGCTCTCTTCTCTCACTGATTCTGCCCTCAGGAAATGGGCCTTTAAAGGGTCAGTATTCATTGCATTGTTTTCCGTAATCCTGTTTGTTTCCTCAGGGCCCTCCTTCTGACCCTTCCTTCCTTTATCCATATCACTTTTCTTTTACACACTCAGCTAAGTCTTTCACCTTCAAGATGCAGGTAGCAGCTTCTTCAGAGAAGCTGACAGTGATTTTCCAGATTACATAGTGGCACATCCCAAATTACATTAAACATCATGCTTAGCATTTGCAGAACCTAAAAATGGAACTGTGTATAGCAGCAGCACTGCACTTAGAGGGGGTATACTGCAGTGCAGACAAAATTATTGTATCTCCCAGTGTATAAGGGGGGCAGGAGAGCTCAGCTGTTATAGTGATGACCAGGGCCCACATTTTGATGACATGTCATCTTTTTTTCCTTGTATCCTACGCGATGCTCTTAAATATATAAATCTCAGATATGAGCTGCTGGTTACAGAAATGTAAATTTTATAGGCAATTCTTTGACATTTTTAGGTTTAGGGGTCATTTTTGGCCATTTTAGGGAATTTTTCTTCATATGTTTTCTGAAATGTGAATAACATGGAAGCGAAGTGTTCTTTCTTTTCTCCTTTAGGTCATTTTTCTGGATTTTTTCAGTCATTTCTTGAATATTTTCAGGTCATGAAAATCCGGGCCCTGCATATTACATCTTTGGGTCATATTTTAGGTCATTTTTCTGGACTTTTTTTAGTCATTTTTTAAAATATTTTCAGGTCATCAAAATCCGGGCCCTGGTGATGACCTATGGGCTGGACAGAGGGGAGGTCTATCTCCTGGCAGGGGCAAGAGATTTTTCTCCTCTTCAGTGTCCACATTGGCTCTGTGGCTCATCTAGTCTCTTATACAATAGTTTTCTTTATTGCTAGTGGAGTGGGACTAAGTCCCTTGTACTGCGGCCACTTCTGGCCTATTGTACCAGCCCCAGATGATAGGTGAGGGTGATTGTGGAGCAATTGGTGGAATCAAGATTGGCAGGGGAAACCGAAGTACTCGGAGAAAACCTGCCCCAGCGCCACTTTGTCCACCAAAAATCCCACTTGACCATACCCAGGATTGAACCTGGGCTGCTGCGATGGGAAGCCAGCGAATAACCGCTTGAGCTATGGCACAGCCTTATACAATAGTTACTGGGGGCTCTGTCCCTAGGGATAAAGTGGCTGGGACGTAAAGATAGCCACTCACCTGCATCTAGTGTCAATGTCAAGAATGGTGGAGTTACACTTCCACTCCCCCAAATGCCTTTATGGCTTGGTGCTTCATTAATTAGGCACAGGCGCAACTTTACCTTTATCCAGTGTATAAGACATGTACAGTCCTTACGACAATACCTGGGGTGTGCAGGCACGGTTTATACACCAGTATATATTATTGTATATAACATCTGAACTTCTCAAGGTGATAAAGAAACCTTCTTGGGCTATGAAAAATATCAATAAGGGGCACTAACAAATGTTTTGGTGGAGTACCTGGCACTCCTGCTTTGCATCTGAAAGGTCCGATATTGAAATTTTGGCTTGGAGGAGGGCTGAGTATTTCTGCAGTTTGCCTCATTGGTTATGCCCTAGACATGGTGGAAAGAAAAAAAAAATAATCCTTATGTCTCCTGGGAAATGAGTCCTGGTCTTCCAACCCTCAGGCATTCATTTTACTGATTAAGCCATCATGGCTTCTACTGTCACAGCCAACACTCATTATAGGACAGGGCCCAGTCTATTTAATTTACATATTTATGAAACATTACTGATTATAATTAATTGATCCAACTGAAGGAAAATTTTGGGTCAAGCACAGTACTTATATTGCTTACGAGAATGACAAAAAGAAACAAGAAATTCCAGAGCTGTGATTCCAGAACATAAACATGTTTTATGTTGACATAAGCCGTGGCAGAACATGATGTTTTGTCATATCACATCGCTTCACATTCATCCTGCAGTTGCCGCTTTCTTCTTTAGCTGAAAAAAAAAACAGTTACTAATCATTTCTCTGCCCAAAAATTTAAAAATCACAAGGAGAATAATTAAATATATGTCAATGAGTAAAACGTAATGGATTATTTACGATATTATTTCAGTGTAAGTATTGTGTACCTTGAAGTTCATGAAACAGCCCACTACAAGTGTTGTTAGAATGCAAAATTTTCAGTGTTTGGGAAGGGGCATATGCACCAATCCAAAGAAAGTAAAATGTTTAAATTCTAGATGCTTTTGAATTTGTGTCTGTTAGATCAAAATTCTGAAGACTGTGTGCATTAAACAGAAAGAAGAAGATACAATGGTAGAGATAATACAAACATATGCTAACACAAATTTGCATGTTCATACCAACATACAAACACTGGTAGAAGTACCTTCAAAACAATCTCTATTCAGTAACAGTCGCTCTGTATTCTTTCTCTATAATCAAAATCATGAATAAGACATTAAAACAAGAAGACGAGATCTACCTATTAAATTTCCCCTCTCTTCTATAACTTTCAAAAGCTGTTCTGAGATGTTAAAAATTTTTTATATCATTTCAAATTCTGAATGTACAGGGTGATTCTAAATTAATGACAGGGATTTCTGTGGCCTATAATTTTCAAACCTTATGTGCCACCATATTGAAGTTATTTAGCATTCTGCAGTACTGATTCTATAGGTTATAAAACCGTTTGAGTTACACGTTCATATTCCGTAAGCAGTTTTATTTTTCCTGGTTTGAAAATTATAGGCCATGGAAACCCCAACAATAATTTAGAATCACCCATATATAAATAATATTTAAGTCCTATGGGGCATGATTTTTCTACACACATTACTTCCACTAACATATTAGCTCACAAAATGTTTTGGTCAATATTGTGACCATCATCAGGTACTACATACTAGTTCACAAGTTTGTATACTGCTAGATTCTATAATCCATTATCATTTGCTGAAGCTACAAACTTAACTAATTAAAACTGAAGGTTAAAATTAAGCCCTATTATGTTAAAAGTTAATTACATTTGTATATTGCACCGTACTTTCCAGTCCTTGACGTAGTTTTGTTTTGACAATTAAGGTTTTACCGAAGCATTCAAGTATATGGAAGTTTGCCATTTATATGGCAGCAATTAAAATAATAATAAAACAGCAGTTATGCCCCAATCTCTCAAACAGCTATGGAGTATCTGTAATCAACCTATGTATCAATCAATTCAGTCCTATTCAAGGAAATTAAAGAGGAAAATAAATTATCAAGTTGCAATGAACTAATATTAATTGTTATGTGATGTGATGTAGTTTTATAGAAAAGTGCCAGCATTTTGGAGGAATGTGCTGCCTCCTAGCTACAAAATTACACAATGTCACACCACATAAGACAGTGATCTTCAAAGTTATTGCTATAAGGACCTCATATCTTGCAATGGTTATATAACATCCCAATTATAGCTAAAACCAAAGATAACTATATTTATTCATAACAATCTCTTTTCAAATAGATATGAAACACAGTTTGTAAAACTCCATATTAAAATCTGGTCATTAGTGTCTAATATGACCTATTTTGTTTTATAATGGTTGTCAAATAACTGATCAAACACAGAATTTACATACACTGATTTACTTTGGTGGCAGTTCTGGACGCATGACCTTTGGTTTTTCTGAATGAGATTTGCTCTTAGCGTTTGCTCGAAGTACAGCTCCAGGACTGGGATAAGGTCGCATCTGATACAGAGGTCCCGCTGCTGTTGTGTCAGCGCCAGTTTTTGCTTCATTCTTTTTCCCCAATCCAGTAGACCAGGTCCCTCTGCAAGAATATGCCATACACACATACTGTCTGCAGTAGCTTGCAAAATAGATTACCAGGCTGTTAAGTAACAAGAAATGATAAGCGGCCTCCGTAGTCTAGGGGTAATGTTCCCACCTCATGAGTCAAGGTACGTGGGTTCAAACCCGGCGGAGGTCGTGGAATTTTTAAGGGTGGAACAATTCAGGGAACAAGTCCTCCGGGAGGGACTTTAAGCCGTGGGTCCCGTGTCGTAGATTTACGGCACGTAAAAGATCCTCATGTCTCTAGCAAACCTCTGAGCAAAATTAGGCAACAATTTCCCGCCCAAATAGTTTCCAATGCCTCTGGTAGATGGGGGATATATCAGGTACCAACGGCCGACCTCGTTGGCTGAACAGGGCTGATAGCACACACCAGTACTGGTAGGGTATGGCGACAGTAGAAATTAAAGGGGGACGCACAATGGACCAATAACTGGTCTAAGTGCATAGGGAAACCCACCCCCTCTAATAATAATACTAATAATAATAACAAGAAATGATAAACAAGTGACAGAACTCAGCAGACTAGTGATTGGAGGATATATGACAGATTTAAAAATGTATTACATTAGCCCTTTAACCCTTTTCTGCACAGTTCACCACAGAACTTAGTAGGAAGAGGGAAGCATGCCACAAATTTTTACAGAAACAGAAGGGCATGTAACTTTAAGGTAAAAAATACTGAATCATATTAAAGGGTTACTCAAAGGCTGACTGGTAGCCAAAAGTAATTCCCAGTAAAACAGATCCCAATCAGTGTTCCTTAAATTAAGATTTTCCCTCATTTAACATTAATTTTCAATAATCTCAGTGATGAATTACCTCCATTTAGTGTTCAAATCCACTGCTCTGCAAAGAAACCTTAAATGGGGGATTTCAGATTACACACAAGAAAGAGTTGAGGTCCTTTAATTGAGGAAAAAGAAACCTGAATATGCAGCAAACACAATTTTTAGTGTCAATGCCTAACACAACAAAGTGCATCACTGTATGCCCTGTATCTAGCTTCACAGCATAGCCTTTGTTTTCTTCCTACGATATTCTCGCTTTTATGTGGGTCATCTAACAAGCAAGCCTCTCTTCTGTGTCTTAGGATAGCAATGAGGATTTCATGTTGTGATATGCTTCATCATTTTTATCTGTAACCCTATCCATAAACTAAAATGAATGAATGAATGAAAGAAAGAAAAAGAAAGAAGGAAAGAGAGAAAGGAGTGGGTGTGTTACCAATAGTCATGCGTAACACAATTCAGCTAGAAACACATTCAGGTATTTGTTCTACCACCTGAACAGGCGCAGTCTCTAACAAGAAGGTAATATTTCTGATAAGCATAAAATTTAAATCCAACCCAGAAATCAGACAAGTCGGTCAACGAAAGTCTGCCTATGAAGAGGGAAAGCCCTTACCATACTTATATGTAACTATTACAGACTTTGTAACTATTCACAGAACTACCTCACTCCTATTTCCAATTCAGAAGGCCCCAGTTTGAATCTCAGTCAGGAGACCAACTACTTTTACAATGGCTTTCTTCAGTTTGTCTTGACAAATGACTGTAATTGGTTTAAAGTGTGGCATGAGAACTTTACATCATCCCAAAAACAATAATTCATACATATCATATCATTAGATCATACATAACCTAGTGCAGCTGGCAATGCATCATAAAAGGAAACAAGAGACAAACCAACATGTGATTACCCTTCAAGCTCATATAACAGCAAGTCTTTTGAGGGAGGTGGGTTATGGTTCCTATCCATATTTCTATTACTAGTTTTTTAAAACTTGTGAAGTCAGTGGCTATATTGAGAGCTGATGTGAACTTTCCATCTTCCAAAATAACATTAAAAATGGAAAAAATTTCTCATAATCAGTCATCATAATATTTCAACACAATATCGGTAACTGTACAGAATTAGAGTCCTTCCTACTATAGAATTCTAATTACAATGAATGGTTTTACCTAGGTGTGTCAGAATAGGCAGCTGGGTCCATTGGGTCTATGTCATTGTCTCTAACTTTTGTGCGTCCTTTTGCTCTTTGTCGTTCCCTTGCTTCTCGTCTTCTTTCTTGTTCCTCTCTCCGTTTCTCCTCTCTTGCATCTTCATCACTAGCCTTGAGCACAATACAAATTAATAACCATTACAAATGTATTCACTATTTGAGTGGCAGATTTTAGGGTTCAAAACAACAGATATCAATATTTGCATTACAAAAATGGCATTGTATATAGAGACTCAGAAATTCCGTAAACATGTTCATATATTGTAATCCAGAGAATGGCAACATACTAAATTTGGAGAACTCTTTATCTTCTGGTGTACACAGAGTCTTTCACGACTTTAGGGCATAACTGCAGGAGGTGATTTCCTAGGTCTTTCTGATCAAAAAAGTTCATATAAACATGTGTCCGATTTTGGACGGTTGCAGAGTTACGACCGTTTTTTCATTCCTGTACACGCCCTCGTGTGAACCGTATCTGTCAGGTGGCGGGTCGCTGTTTTTAGCCAGCTACAGACAGAGCATTCTCGTTATCTCGACATTTGACAGGTACCTAAGGTGTGGTGCATTGGTATGTCCGGCGCAGTTCACAACTGAGGGGCAGCCTGTGTTGTGGCCAGCGGTGACATTTTCAAAAATCAGCTTTAAGCACCAATAAATTCAAATTAAAGGTAATTTCATGAAGCTAACTTTACATTCATACTTTAAATGTATCATGTATTATGCTGGTTTATTATTTTTTTCCGTTTACTGTCAGTAATCATTACCTTCTATTCTGAGTTTAAAACGGTCATAACTCCATAACCGTCCAAAATCGGGCACATGTTTATATGAACTTTTTTGATCATAAAGATCTAGGAAATCACCTCCTGCAGTTATGCCCTAAAGTAGTGAAACACCCTGTATAATGTCACACAGTCTGCTGAAAGCAAATTAACATTTTTGAGGAACATGTTGCCTCTGTCTTCATGTAGTCCATTAAAGATGACTGACATTATCGAAGAACATGTTGCTTCCATCTTCAGGGATGAAGATGGAGGTGAAAAGTTCCTCTAAAATGTTGGTCAACTTTCAATTGACTGCATGGTATATCCCAGAAGACCGAACTCTTTGTGATCTTTACTATGACGACCACAAATCCTATATACTGAACTTGAAGACAATGTTAAAATTAATGTTACTTTATGTCTCCTATTTGATATCTCATCCTTACAAAACAATAGAGATTGAAGAATATTTGAAAACAAAGCCCTGAGAAGGATACTGGACCTAAGAGAGAGAATGTAACAGAAGGTCTGAGACAATTACATAATGAGGAGCTTCATAACTTGTACTTGTCAAATGTTAGCATGATCTAAGAGTAGTATCTTTTCTTATCTTTCACTGTTGGTCTTCAACATTGACAGTTTGTACACCCTGACTAGAATTACGATTGTGGTCTGAAAATTAGCTCTATCTAATGGGTCCAACTGAGTAGGCTTTCTACATTCATCTGATGACTATGACACAATCTCTGAAATGTAGTGTTCCTGTAATCAAAATGAGAGGCTGGGCAATGTTCAAAATATGTGCCGGTTTAATAACACACCATCTCCACAAGCCTTTGTACGCAGCTAAGAAACTCAGGGTTTGGAATGGTCAACATTGAGTGTCTAATGGTAGAAGTGTGAATTTGGTAACGAACCTTTGATTTCTTTAGAAAACAAGCGACTTTCTTGTAGGATTTGAGGTTATCAGAGCAGAGGTTATGAAAAGTTCTATCTTCTTGGATATAACGACGTGTAGTCCCTTGAAAGTCAACTGACGTTTCATAGGAATAAGCAGAGCTCTGCTTGCCACCTGCTTTCATTCTGGTTTCTTGCTTGGCTTACTTTGACCCTGAAGATGGAGGCAACATGTTCTTCTGAAACATCAGTTGACTTTCAATGGACTACACGGCATTATATCCCAGACAACAGTTCTTCTCAAGGGACTTTCTTAATTTGATGACCAACAACTAACTTTTCAAGAAAGACTGCAACATGGCAATAGTCAATTTTGCTGCTCCCATGTCTGAATTGTATCTCTTTTCTTGGAGTATGAAATGCTATCAGCTATCACCTAAATGAATTTCATCCTCCTCATAATGCAGAAATGTGTGGTGTGTGAACAGAAAAGATATGCTCCATAAGTGGACGCAGTTCATTCTCTCATCACCTTTTTAAAAATCTGACCACCATATCCCAAAATAGTAATACCAGAATGAAACAATCAGACACCTCACAGATCTTCATTTATTAATGGAAAAAATATGAAAAGAGAATTGGTTAATTCTTATAAATTTCTTATACCACATATTAAACTTCTAAAAGAAGTTATCGAAGGAAAGATAGATGGGCGGATAGAAGTGACAAGAAGACGAGGAAGAAGACGTAAGAAGATGCTGGATGACCTTGGGGACAGAAGAGGATACTGTCATTTGAAGGAGAAAGCTCTAGATCGCATTAAGTGGAGGAATTGTTTTGGAAGAGATTGTGGACCTGTCGTCTTGACAGATTACTGATGATGATGATATTAAACTCTCCCACTCTGGTCACATCGACAGTACTAAGAGCATTAACTAATTCTGTTTTTCTAATCATACATACTGATATACTGATGCTCCTGTGACTAATTTTGTTTTTCTATTCATACACAGTGATGTCAATGGCTGAACTGAAGGACAGAAAGAACATTTTCTTGGAAATGTTTCACTGTGCTCAATATATACACTAATATTTGTTTAGTTTTACCAAAAATTTAAATTCTCTGACAGTCATACATAAGGTTCTTTAAAGTTTTCAATTTGATTTGTATACACTGATGTTTTTAAAAACAAGACCCTCTCACAGGCACTGTTAGCCCTGTGCTTAATTAAGAATTGTGCCATGAAGGTTTATGTAGGAGTGCAAGTACATCTCCATGTACTCTTAACCTGAGCATTAGGGCGGCCACACGCCAACTGTGTCAAGACAAGCATCAAGACATGAGACAAAAGACACAGTCTTGCTTCATTCATGATTTGTCAGCATGAAGCTGACACCAGCATCGTGACTCAAACCTGTGTGCGGCAGTTTTCATAATCTCATTTGTTTCAACTGTGCTTTCTTTGTGTCATGTCTTGACTGTTGCACGTTTTGACACATGCTAGTGTGTGGCCTACCTTAGACAGAGGTGTATGATCACTTTTTCATGTCCTGCCACTTTACCCCTGGGAGGGGAGGGGAAACACCCTTTCCAGTACCCACTGTATAGGACATTGGATAGACCCACAGCTGGTCCAAATATTACTTCATGAGCTACTGGCTACAAACTTCATTCTGCCAAAAAGTTGAGTATAGTCATTATAATCTTACTATTACATAATAAAGTTTGATGATTTTATAGAGAACAAACCTCTCCATCATCATCATCCATGTCACTCTCTTTATCATCTTCCTCATCTTCGTCCTCTTCCTCAGCATCAAGTGCAGCCATTTGCAATTCATCACGAATATGTGCAGCTGACTCGGAGATAACTGCACGAGGATGTCGAGGAGACAGCCATGACACAGCATCACTCTCAGTGTGCCAATAATAATAGCGACCACTGGAAAATTAAAATTACAGATGTTCACTTGCGGACTAAAATCACGGAGTTAGAGAGGGAGCCAGTTCCCCAGATCTGACACAGATTCTAAAGCTGTCTCATATAGAAGGGATCACTGGCAAAACAAATCCTGGTATTGTGTACAGGCTCGAACACATACAAGTGGGATTTCACGGTACAGACATATGCAATGCTGTGTGAGCTGTTCTTTCTTAATTAAACACATGAACAGAGACCAAATTCATAACAAGATTATCAACATTTTTGACTGGTTCATTAAACCATCTACCAATTAATCAGTCACATTATATGAAAAAATGTCTAAGAAGTTATTTTATATAAAAAAGTGGATACAAAAATCATGGTAGTCTCCAAATCAAACATGAGCCATACTATAATATAATTTCAAATGTAACTTACGTTCCAGGATCATACACTTCAATCCAGTTTTCTGGTAATGGGTACTTTAGCAGCATTCTCTGTTTCTTGCGCACATAACTTGGATCAGGTTCAACACAACCCTGTCCCCACCTTTCTTCACAGAAAGTTGTGCATTCATGGTAGATATTATATTTGTTGGGACAACCATAGTAGCCCTGGAGAACAATGCAACCTTCTTGATTACAGTTAAATATTCATCACTGTTAAGAGTCTCCAACTTCTAAAATCAACTTCTTAATAATATGATGCAATATCAAGTGTAAAGAGTATGCATTGACAATTAATTAATTTGCTTAGTGGGGGGTGGAGTCCAACTGGGTCCACTCGGCACGGCGGCCACTAATTGGCCTATTGTAGCCTGCCCTGGGTGATTATGATAATGGAGAATTTGGTGGAATGAAGATTGGCCGGGGAAACCGAAGTACTCGGAGAAAACGCGCCCCAGCGCCACTTTGTCCACCACAAATCCCACTTGACCAGACCCGGGATCGAACCCGGGCTGCCGCGGTGGGAAGCCAGCGACTAACCGCTTGAGCTAATGTACTGACAAAGTTATACATGAAATAAACTTATGCACAAGGGCTATTTGCAACACTTTAAAGACTCAGCAAATAAAAGCTAAACATAAACTAACATAATCTAAATCTACCAGTCATTTCCACCATCAGACATCATGTTTGCAATGTCATGATGGAATCATCTGTTACAGGGGAGCACTATATGAAGGTGAAAGAGGGTGTGTATTTATAACACTAGTGCAAAAGTCTGATGGATTTCAATGGGGAATAATATTTCTCATACTGTCACATTTTTAAGGCCATAATCACTTCCTGACACCAAAAGTCACATGTAGGGTGGTACACATGATGAAAATGATGGGTTTTAGTTCGGATGATTGGCTTTATTGGCACCTTGGTTACACTCTCTTAATTACACTTAAATACAGGCAATACAGCGTTATCGCTGATTTACACACTTTCCAGTTCACTGTTGCACATGCACTAGGACTCCCAGTCATGTTGATAAAAGCAGGAAACATGTGGACACATATGTGGATGCATCTTAGCCACTTGCACCTACAGCAGTCTCAGATTTTGTCATATATCGATCAAGAATCTCAAATTACCAAGCTGCATATCTATTGAGCATACAGAAATGTTACCAAATGCCCACAAACAAAAAATATTTGTGAATATGCATAAATGCACACACTGAAGTCATGCCATGCATGGACAAACATTTCCTGAATGGGGTCAGTACTTAAAAACAGTTCTGCATTTTGCAGGGTTTGTGCCTGTAATGGGTGGAGATGCCTCTTCACACATGTTGTGCTTGTCTTTCCTGCACTACGATTGACTGTCTTTTTGTGTGTGTGATTTTGTGACCAACAAATGAAATCAAAACTTCACCATTTCCTGCAAAAGTTCATAAAACTTCCAGCATCTTCTACTCTTAAATCAGCCAACAAATCAAGCCCATTCCTATTCTTTAAAAATATGGATCCAAAACTGATGTTTCGTGTTCTCTCCTGTCTTCAATAGCGAACACACAATTAAAAATGCGGCACTTGCAATTACATATACTGGAGCGACATGGCTTGTAGCATCAACTAAATACAAATGCTTACACACATGTATAATTGCCAACTGTCCAGGTGCCCTTCATAAGTCATCATTCACAACTGTTTGCCAGGAATGGTCGTAAGTGGATATGCAGCTCTAGAATTTGTACAAAATAACTATAAAATTATGTGAATTAATCTTATTCTGAAAGAAAATAAATTTCAATGACAGAACAACTGCAAAAGCCATTACAAATCATTCACACATGCACCCACATGCACAAAAATGTACAAAAAGAACATTTATTGAGTACATGAAAAGGTATAACCACCAGTAACTTCATAATCAATTAGAACCAAAATCACACAAAGAATTGTAAGTAGTTACCATTATCTTCTTTTCCAGGTTTCCCATGAAATTGTCCACATACTCAGAATCATTGACATTGTTACTGTTGGTGTCTTTCTTCTGGTTATCATAATCCTCAGCAATCACTTCCTCCTCTTCTGTGTTTGTTGGAACAGGTACCACAGGAGCTGCGGTTACTACGGCTATGTGCACAAACAGTGATATTAAAATTGTTGCTTTCTTTACCCAAATAGAAGAAAATATAATCATTTCATGTAGTCCCCTTCCTATTTGTGTCCGTGTATCCACCCCCTTATCAACTACTGAATGCCTGACCCAGTCTTTATGAAAATTAGTATATCATGGCACCTCGGCCCATCTCAATGGCATACTTCATAAATCCTTCCCATAGTCTGTGTCTGTTGCCAGGTAACAGCTCGGGGAAGAAAAAACATTACAGGAGCAACAAATACATATGCAACAATAGAAGAATTGTTGAATGTGTCATTTTCTATGTGGTTCGTATTGTATTAAAGAAAAGTAGGTGATCAGTTCTTCCCATAACCTGTTTTATCTTCTTATTTTAAAAACAGTATATAATGTTGTGATAGTGTAATTGGTATAATGATTCGCTATGGGCTGGACAACTGAGGGGTCGGAGTTCGAGTCCCAGTAGAGTCAAGAATTTTCACTTCTCCAATGGTCCAGACTGGCTCTGTGATCCACCCAACCTCCTACACAATGGGAAGCGGGGGGCACTTTCCCGGAGGTAAAACGGCCGGGGCGTGAAGCTGACCACTCACCTCCAACTAGTGCCAAGGTCAAGAAAATGTGGATCTATACATGCACTCCCCCATACGCCCTCATGGCGTAGTGCTTAATTAGTTAACCACAGGGACAACTTTACTTTTACTCAATTTATATAATGTGCTGGGGAGCAGATCTGTTAGAAGTACTTTCTGAACTTCTGATAAACGCATTGAAGTCTTCAAACATTCACAGTTTGCAAATAAAACATAGGTTCTTCTTTGTGTATACGTGTACATGAGGAGAAAACTATTGGGTGATCATGTACTTGAGTCTCTTCAGACAATACCTCCCACAAAACTTCTTATAAATCTGTCTTCTGTCTATGATTATTTGACCCAATCTATAATCTTAAGAAAAATAGGATGGAGTGGTTTGGATTTGATTCATCTGGCTCAGGACAGGGATGAGTGGAGGGTTCCATAAAATGGTAAGAAATTCTTCAGCAGTTGAGTGACTGGTGCCTTCTCAAGTAGGACTCAGCTCTATGGAGTTAGTTAGTTAGTTAGTTAGTCAGGCCCAATATATGAGCATGAGAACCTTGTGACTTATGCAGATCATCTAGTATTGTTCTGATAGTGAAATCTAGGAGGCTACAATGGGACTAGGGGTGTGGTTAGAATAAGGGGAGACAAGAAATGTACGCAGTTTTGGTTGGGAAATTTCTACTTGGAAGAACCAAGATGGAGAAGAGAGGGTAGCATTACAATCCATGTTAATCCCTGTTCATAAATTCTTTACCAGGAGCTTTAACAGTCCTGGGAAGTGCACAGAATGATTGCTTGTCTCCTCCAGAAGCATTAAATCATTATCCATAACCCCTAAGATGTTTCATTAAGTTCCTGGGAAGGAAATGTATGAAGTAGCGCTTTGAGGAATGGGTATCAGAATGGGAGGTAGATGGAAATGGCATGCTTCAGTATCAGTGGTGATAAACTATCAGATTCTGTTGTTACAGAGTCAAAGATCCAACAGAAACATAACACAAAATAAAGTAAATCTAACCTGTCACAAAATTGGGTGTTTGAAAAATACAAACATGTCACCCAAAAAGAAGAAAGAATATTTCTTTTATGTTTTTCATTTAAAATAAATGTATACACAAAAAAGGCCTAGGCAATGCCATCCGGCCCTCTGTAGTACATTTATAAACATCTTATTCTATCATAGAGCTCACCCGTTGATTTACATTTATAAACATCTTATTCTATCATAGAGCTCACCCGTTGATTTTTTATATATCTCTTAACTCTAAGAATATCCTATTAATATTTTGTACATATACATGCTTTCCTTGTTTAATAAATTTAAGATTTTTTTTATGAAGTGACAGACACCTTGCACAAATCTTTTTTCCTCTAGCCTTAAGAGCTTTGTAACTGACTTTGGGTATTCTTTTTTGCTGTTTTCAGACAAAACGTCCATCAATATTGCCGATCGGTTCTCTTACAGTTTACACTCCCAGAAAATATGTTCTTCTCTTTACAGCTGCTCACCACATTCACATTCAGCTGTGGGCACAAAGTTAAATCTACTTAAGCTTGTTTTAGGATTGGAGTGGCATGGCATGGCGGTTCGTTTTTCTCTCACAGAACCAGGAAGATGAACCATTCCTGTACTACCTTTCAAAGAATCTTTCTCCTGTGGCCCTTTTGGTGTTTTGACAGAAACTGTGAAGCTCCTCTTTGATTTTCATTTTCCACTGGGCTTTAAGATTTGCCATTGGTAATAGTAGTTGACTGTCTTTGCCTTCTTTGATTGACTGTTTTGCTTCCTAGTCAGCTCTCTCATTAACTTCAGCGCCACACTGCCCCAGGATCCAGTAAAATTAGACTTTCTTCCCTCACGATTCCGGTCTACTCGTATGTCTTCTATTTTACCTTTAAGCATGAGTAACATGTGATGTGTTGTTCACTGTAGATGAATACTTCCATCAATTTTACCAGCACAACTGCAGTCAGGCTGTGCCATAGCACAAGCAGTTAGTTGCTGGCTTCCCACTGCGGTGGCCCGGGTTCAATACCGGGTCTGGTCAAGTGAGATTTGTGGTGGACAAAGTGGTGCTGGGGCAGGTTTTCTTCGAATACTCCGGTTTCCCCTGCCAATCTTCATTCCACCAATTGCTCCGCAATCACCCTCACCTATCATCTGGGGCTGGTACAATAGGCCAGAAGTGGCTGCAATACAAGGGATTTAGTCCCACCTCACTAGCAATAAAGAAAAAAACATAACTGCAGACATCTACTGACAAGAAGTGTAACCATGTCAAAATATTGACCAAAGAAGCCATTATAACGTAGAAATAAACTCTGTGTGGATCTTAAGTTAAATGTAATAAGCTTCTGCCACCAGCAGCTAACTGATTTAACATGTGCTCACCCAGGGCACATCACTCTCCTGGTTAAATATAAAGCTGTGTGATGTACTCCAGTTTTCTTGTGTTAGAGCCTCCCTTCTGCTTCTGAAACAGGCACCTGCCAAATACTGTGATATGAAAAATTCCATACTACATCATCACAGCCAATAATCCAGTCTTCTCAGTTTTCAATAAAAGTCCGTCAGATTGTAGACTTCACAAAAAATATTCCTGCTAAATTTTGGTATCTTATGTCATTAAATTTTTTTGAGTAAAAGTGCAAAAATCATAAAAATTTGCCTCTATTGGCATGATACCTCCACTAAAAAATATATCATGCCTTTTGTTCTGAACAGTCTACATAGTTCAGATGGCCTCGTTTGAAAGCTATGAAATGTTCGTTTCACAGGTATACAACTCACAATCAGATAGAGTAGTTTTCCTCCTGTGTAACCTGATGTAACTTTGATCTTTGATTTCTCACAAAATGTAATTCTTTTCTGCAAAAAATATATACATATATATTTGGTTCATAATGCTGTGGTCTAACATACAGCAAAATATCATCCTGGGACAGTGACTGGTTGTCTGGCAATAAAGTTATGAACAGGCATAAGCTATAAAATAAGTAATTCTGGGGCATTATCTCATACGTCCTTAACACAACAAGCCCTATAATAAACAAGTTGTTAACATCAATAGACATGGTAGTAATACTGTTGATCATTCACACCTTTAAACATGATAATTAGTAGTTTCTCTTGTGTTTAACTGCGCAGGTGAATACAACGTGTGTAAGTTCTGATTCCAATTTTTTTCCTTCCTGTGATGCTGGTCTGAAAAGTGCCATCTTTCTCTTAATTCTATTTCTGCCTTGACATGGAAAACAACACTGCAGTCTTCAAATGAGTTGTTTTCATGCTCATCGGCCCAAACCACCCCCACCTTTGGGTCTATATGACCACCATCCTTGGAACCTACATAATTTAATCTATTCCTTACCCCACATACTTCAAACCTCATGATGGTGGCACTGCATTCCTCTGAATATCTGCCTACAAGACTACATGGTGTCATCCATAAACTGCTGGACAAGTCAGTTAAAACCATCTAACCACTACAAGTCAACAACTCTTAAAAATGTACAAAACGATACACAAGACAAAGAACAATACAATCACCTTAGGATCATCATTCCCCGCTGAAGTTTAGCAAACCCAGATGACAACCTCAAAAAATTTAACATAAAGCAACACATACACTTATACCATCTATATTTGTCCACACCACATCGAAACTAACACGAGCAACCAAAGTACCGTCCATCACTGTTACTAAAAAACTCCTGTAGAAAATAAAAAGTTTTGTAATAAATAACTTTTTAACTTGTTTTTAAAACCTTAAAATTTTATATATATATTTTTTTTAGTTCAGTGGGCAAGCTGTTATGTATTTTAATTCCCATGTTAATTACCCACATGAACCGGAACTTAAGGTATACAGTTTATATATAGGCACTATGACAAAATACTTGTACTGTGTACAACATACCTCCACATTTCACACACGTCTAGTCAATTACGATAAGACACAAAACAAAACAAAACAAACCTGTTGGATGGTGCTGAGCGTGAATTAAACCTCGCTTCGCCAATCTGGATACGAGAGCTGCAGGAAGTGGCATGGTTCATCAATAGTTTAATATTGAGATCAAATTACGTACAATTGCACTTTCATTTGACAACTCTCAGAACGAATGTATTCGTAACGTTCGCAACAATTCGCACGATCATCAGATCTCACTTGCCTGCTATTCTAAATTGAAACACGACATCCTAGTCCTCCAATTCAATCGTAACATTAGTACCACCAACACGTAACAGACCCACAATTCACAAAACAAAGAATATAGATTTCCAAAGACGGAAGAGATTGAGAGAGATCAGAGAGATTGTGTGTCCCAATGTTACGTGACGCTAACTTCTCTGCCATCTTTCGACACTGTTCAACGAGTTACGTGCAATACCCAGATTCGCTTGAATACCGGTAGCTCAGTCGATACGATAACTCACCGCTATTCCGTACTAATTCTCACACGCAGCTGAACTAACTCCATAGTTCCATATAGTTGAGTCCTTGAGAAGCCGTCGATCACTCAGCTACTTCAGAGATTCCCAAAATGTTATGGAACCAGAAGGTTCAGTAATATATTCACAAGAACCCTCGACTGGTCCCTATTCAGAGCCAGATGAATCTAGTACACACCACCCCCATCCTGTTTCTCTAAGATCCATTTTAATGCTGTCCTCCCACCTACGTCTAGGTCTTCCTATTGGTCTCTTTCTGTCTAGATCTTCAACAGAGATCCCATATCGTAGAAAATGGTTCCTCTGAAATATTGTTATCATCTACCAAACTGCACAGCATCACACTACAGGCAACTGCAAATGTAACGTACATTTCCTAATAAGGAATTAAGAACATAATTTTACTATTTATTAGTTTTTAATTAAAAACGAAATATTGCGTGAACATGTGTGTATATTTAATAGTCATGCAAAATACAGGTTAATTTTGTTGTGATATTATTTGAAAATATGTGCTGTTTAAGACATCCTATTGTACATAATTAACAATTTCACTTTCATAGATTTGGAGATGAAATAGGGGAAATGGGAACAGTAAATCTATGATAGAAGTAGGTGGTGTCCAAATAGTCATCTTCTAAATAAAATCCCTTGAATGTAAAATTATGCATTAGACTATAATAATATATTAAACCATCACTAATCTGGCTAGAGTCAGTCCGGATGTCGGATGATCTTGAGAGAAATGCGAAAAAGACTAATGCTGTTCGCAGTTGAACACACAATTTAAAAATCACATGACATTTCAGAAGGCAGATGAGTCACTTCTCTGTTCAGAAAAAACTTTATAGTTTTTTCAAACCTGCATTATTATGTTCAAAAACAAGTTCAAATTCTGAGTCTTCTGTCGATGAATAAATGTATTGTCTTTTTACAGCTTTTAAATAAAGGCTCTACAGTGATATTTTTTATCTACATTCATCAATAATACTTATATCATCAAATTTTCCATTTATTTGCGTTCTAAGTATTTTGGCTTTCAGTTCTATATTTTCTTCACTAATCAGGAGTACCTCTTAATCCAGATGAACTCTTCTCCCCAATTGGCTTGAAAGGATTCTGACGATGGTGTATACTGTACTTCTTTTGGCTTATTTTGGACTTCACCCATCGTCCGGTATAAAAAAGACAAAAAACCACAACGTTTCGGAGACTGGATCTGTCTCCGTCTTCAGGTGTATAGGGAAGGTTTAACCTACTCAGTTGGGCCCCTTAGAAAGAGCTAGTCTCAATCACTGGACAAACCTTGATCTGTAGAAACAACCTATGAACAACCGACAACCGGTTCCGTCAGTGGGAGGAAAGAATAAAATCGCAGTAAAAACACGATAGAAAATTTGTGCCAAACATGCACTTGTCAACAATGTAAAGAAACAGAAGTATGGGTTATATTCCATGAATTCAGTTAAAAACGAAAGTAAATACTGGATAAAGCATGTCTGATCTGCATGGATAAAGAATCGTGCCACCATGGCAACTTCCGGGAATCAGACTAATCCCCGGAAGAAAACTTGCAGTAGTAGTGGAACCACTAATATTCATGAAATTACATTTTTTGGTTTGTTAACCTCTTCATTGATGAGGGGGATCCATATAGGAGAAATATCCAAACTGGGTTTCTCCCCAAGTTAATCCAGATTTGTGAAGATTTACTGTATAATACTTTTTTTTGATTTCCAAAATACACATTGATGCAAGTGACGATATGTGTACCTCATGACGATTACAACATGTATAGGATTCTGCAAAAGACATGGACTCAAGGTGTTTGGGAGCAGGGTGTTGAGGAGAATACCTGGACCAAAGAGAGATGAAGTGACAGGAGGTTAGAGAAAACTGCATAATGAGGAGCTTCATAACTTGTGCTCTTCTCCAAGTATAATTAGAATGATCAATTCGAGGAGGATGAGATGGGCAGGGCATGTAGCATGAATGTGGGAGAAGCAGAATGCATATAGGATATTGATGGGAATGCCAGATGGAAAGAGCCCACTGGGAAGACCAAGGCATAGGTAGATGGACAATATTAAAATGGATCTTAGAGAGATAGGATGGGATGGTATGACTTGGATTGATCTGGCTCAGGATAGGGACCAGTGGAGATCTCTTGTGAATACGGTAATGAACCTTCAGGTTCCATGAAATGCTGAAAGTTCTTGACCAGCTCTGCAATTGGCAGCTTCTCAAGAAGGGCTCAGCTCCGTGAGGGAACGTAAGTGAGTGAATGACATGTTTCAGTGACAGATGGTTGTGTTGCATGTTTCAATATCCTTTCACAGGCAGGATACTATGACCCCTAGAAGATGACATTAACACATATCAACATGTACATGAACCACTGTAACAGATAAAAGTCTCATATAAAACAGTCTGTCATGTAATAGAGTAACTAATAGATGGGTTTTGAATTGTTGACTGGATTTATCAGAGTCTTTGATCTAGTATGTGACTACACTTTACAGTTTTCTCTCTCTCTCTCTCTCTCTCTCCCCCCCCCCTCTCTTACATATACACATGCACACACTGGTAATTTCTACCAGGCTACACAATGTCATAACCCTGGAAACGCCAGTAAGTAACAAATTTGTCTTCATTTTATGAAATTTGAGGTTCTCATGGCAGTTAATGTGGATATCACTGTCATCTGGTATGTGCCACTGTATAGTCTGGTAGAAAGTTACAATGTTCAGAAGGAACTTTCTACCCCTTTTTCAGGGCAGAACAGTGGAGTAATGGAGATGGTGGCAGCCGTTTTCCCTTAACTTTAATAACACTATGTAATCTGGCAGAAATGAGACTACAGAGTTTCACATTCCAGAAGACAGGAACCACCTTATATTCATACAAATGTACTCCTATACCAGTGTTATCCAATATCCACTTCAAGAAACATAGTATTATTGAGAACATAATTATGCTGCTGCAGTACTGTGTGAGGAATGAACACATGTAATCCTGCTGGATCTTCCTTCTCTTGACCTGTTACAAGATTCTTCACTAAGTTGTTCACCTGCCACATCAGAAAAATATGACATGAATATATGTATGAATGTATGAATGAATGTATGAATGACATGAATGTATGTGACAATGAAGAAAAAATTACACATTTTGTTTTATGCTTCCATTTCAGGTAAAATAACTGTACAACAATAATCTTCATTTATTGACAGTGGAAACATTATGAATCACAGGCACTGCACATCTGTCCATCTATATTCATTCTACCTTCCATTTCATGAATCCTACATCAGATTCTGAGGAAATGTAGCACGAGAGATTTTACAGAATTGGTAGAGAATCATGAACTTAAGACATTATCAGCTGGTTATTACTGGTATGTGAAGTTGTAATGTGAGTCAATTTGGTGACAGGTTATGGGCTTCAGAGCTGGGGTTCGATTCCTGGCATGGGCAAGATATTTTTCTCTGCCCCAGATCACCCAGCCAAGTTCCAGACCTCACCAGCTTTCTATCCAATGGGTGCGGCATGCTCTTTGTCTGAGTGTAAAGCAGCCATAACAATATGAAGCTGATAACTCACTTCCATCTAGTGACAAGGTCAAGAATGGACTATATGTCTTCATGGCTTTGTGTTTAATTAATGAAGCACAGGGACAACTTTACTTATATGTGAAGATATAATTATTAACTGTGTACAGGCATACACACTTTCACGAGGCTCTACCTTGTCTAAAGCAGTGTTCTGGTCACGGAGTGTCAAGGTTACTCGTTGATTAAATGGCCATAGAAGCAAAGGGTCCCATTCGCCCTCCAGAACTTGCAAAGAGGCTGTCATGTGGCGACCAGTCCACTGTCCCAATCCATTTAACCTCACCTCAATCTGTAATAAGGAGATCAGCAGAAATAAATGCAAAGCAACCATGAAATTGAAGAAATACATTGACTTATTAAAACAATGAATTGAAATTGTATGACAATGACTCCACTAATTTATTGAAGATAAGACCACAGGAGTGTGCTGCACGAATAACATTTGAAAACTAAGTAGGACATAGAGAGCATTTGCAAAATAAGAACTGTATTCACAACTGTCATGACAGATATATGGACATCAGAAAACATCCAGGATAAAAGATGTTCATGACCATACAATTGCAGACACTGGGAAGAATCTTCAACGTTTTTGATTAGGGACCCTAAATTTTTAAAAGACCAGATTTTTCGACTCATCAGCAAGACCTATAGCTGACTGACCTCAGTCCTACAACCAATTGTTTTTTGCAATTATGTATTGGCATGTACTATGGAACAGAAAAAGTGTAACTGAATCAGCTGATAAATTTGGTTCTAAATGGGATTATTCAGATTAGTAATTTTACCAGTTACAGCACAGTATAATTATTTTTTTAACAGCATGTCAAACATGACAGAGTCCCTGATTTCCACTTTCTTATAAAGGGTTATTGTCAACTCAGACAGTAAATTCTTCCAAATGGTCCACAAACTTCTGCACTGTGTCACATCCCAGAATATACCACTCTGCGTATAAACTACACAAATATTTACCCGTAGCTTATAGCCATATTGTGAACTGTAGAAGACAGGACTACAGAGCACAGTGTTATTCTCCTTTGCATCCGCCATCTTGGTCTCAAAGTCTGAAATCCTCCATATAATGCCACCTGTGAGCAGTAAAGAAAAATGGCTGATATTCCATGTTATTGAAGAAATATGCTGATATTAATAAAACTTTAATAATAATTATAGTTGCACATTCTTTGTTTCTGGATTCTACTGTACCTTATATTTTGAGTATGATATTGGCCAAATATTGAACAGCAACTAGTTCTTTATAACAGCTATCAGCCTACTTTTCTTACTCTGAAATCTACATTTGTTTATGGGTTTGAATGCAACAACTGTGAACTACTGGTCCTAAGGATGTGCAATTTTGAATGGAGATACATCAAACATGTCTATATATTCAGCACGAAACAGATTTTTATTATATTATGATTATTTTGGACATTCCACATTATATAAGATAACTTGTACAGATGATATTTTGGGAGTCTGCTTTACTTCTGTCTCCAGGATATAGTGATTATACTGACTGATATTTTTGGAATACTAAGAATTGTAAGTCAGCCACTGGTAGTCTGGTGGGTAAAATGCAGAGTAAATATCACAAAAATGCATAATCGTTATTTTATAGTCCCAGATAGCCTCACAAAATACAGTGAAGAATTTGAAGGAAATCAAGCATTGCAAGTTCTGCCAGTAATTTCCTGCTATGCAATTTTCGCAGGGAAAAGAAAAAATAGAAACATGTCTTACAGGGAGATTTTTTCATCCTCTGGTGATGCTGCCCTGGCACTAGCAACACAATGAGTGAATAGGCGTTCTTGATATTTTATATTGCGGTCTCAAAGTTGAATATAAATATATAATTATATTTTAAAACAATTTCTGCATATATTGGTTACCATTTGATGTAGCATTCAGAAATGAATTAAAATTGAAGCTCCATTAGGCATACATGATGAACCTCAGATTATCAATGTAAGATTTGAGGCTTTCACAGATTATCAGTTGTTATTTCAAATATTTAACTTGAAGGCCAGCAGATAGTCTAAGAAGAAAAAAGTATTTCACAAAGAAAAATTGGGATGTAAGAGAATTAAAAGCAGAAGAAAATTTTGTTTTATTGTAATATACTCGTACTTTCATAATCTTCATAAGTCCTTACAGTAGTCATATTCTGCACAGTACTACATAGCATAATGTAATATGATTCATAAAGAGTGAATATTCACTTTATCATTTATGGATTATGAAGAATACAAACGATGAGATGAAGCTGCAGTTGAAGAATATGGACAGAAGTAAGTATGAGTAAAAATTTTAAATTAAGTTCACAGTGCACCCTTCCAGAAATACTTGCATAGCAATAGTACAGGTAAGCGGCCTCTGTAGTCTAGAGGTAACGTTCCCACCTCATAACTCATGGTACGCGGGTTCAAATACCCTGCGGAGGTCGTCGAATTTTTAAGGGCGGAAAAATTCAGGGAACAAGTCCTCTGGGAGGGGCTTTAAGCCGTGTGTCCCGTGTCGTAACTTTATGGCACGTAACAGAACCTCATATCCCCAAAGGGTATCACTGAGCCAAATTCCAGGACGTTTCCCGCCCAACAATAGCCTCTAAGGCCTCTGATAGATGGGGGAAGCATTATAGACACCGCTAAGCAAGTGGCCAAACTCGCTTGCTCGGCGGGACTGATGGTACGCACCATTTATCGGTAGGGTAAAGAGACTTGTAGAATATCATAGAGGGAAGCACAATAGATCAAACTGGTCGCGGTGCATGGGGAAACCCACCCTCTCTAAATAACTAACTAATTATACAGGTACCTTGACCTCATGTAGTTATTATTTCGTCGTATTCACTTACCTACAGCAAGAGCACTGTTGCCTCGGGCTTGTTTTGTTATTGCTTCATCACATTCATTTACACGCTGCTTCATTTGTGCAATTTCTTTGGACTTAGCCTCTGATGCTTTATTGAGAATATTAATTCTGTCACTTATATTATGTATTTCAGCTAGCTGCTCTGCCCAAATTGCACTGATCATTATGTTTTCTCTAGAAAGAAATTCACGAAACTCATCCACATCATGACAGTATTTATCTACAACCATCTTCAGTTTTTCCACCTCTCTCTTTTGCTCTTCCACTGCTCCCTTCCACCTTACTTCACGCTCTGCATGTTGTTCTTCTAGCTGATATCGTTCACGTCTGTCTTCATCTCTCGACTGATCTAAGGTGCAACACAGATCTTCCAGCTTTGCTGCTTCCATTTTTAGTTCTGTTTCAGCTCGAAGACTGTGCTGCCTTTCTTGGACCACTTCTTGCAACAATCTATTTATTTTTTCTTCATCTTCTCTCCTACATTTTTCAATTTCATTTCTGTATTTTTGTAGTTCCACTTTAAAGTTTTCTAGCTCCTGATGTAAAATGTTTGATTTCTCTGTTTCATAAGCAAGTTGTTGTTCAATACGATGTCGTTCCCTTCGTTCTTCCATAATTGTTTCCTTTAGAAGCAAACTCTCCTCTCTGAGTTCATAAAACTGAGCCACACTCACCTGGTTATTCAAATAAAATATTTGTTAATTTATAAACCGAAAACATAAGTTAAACTAAATTAATATATGAATCAACACACAAGGTAAAAATGTGACAATGTAATTAAATAATTACAATTTACAGATATACTTATATATATTTTTATTTTTGTTTCTGCCTAAAATAAATGCAAGATTTTAATAATGTACATGAAAGAAAGAACATTTATTAAAAAGCACGATGTACTTGCAATTAGGAATGTATGTTGGGTTTCTACCATAGCAGGGCTCACAGTCTCCAATACATAATGTGTAATCAGTTTTAGTCAATGAATCATAATGGCCCACATCTGCAGCATCACTATATAAAATTAACAATTTCAATTAAACTGAGGTAGTACATACAGGTTATTTATATGAACATTTCAATTAGTTGGTGTAAACGTACTTTATTCATTTTGATACAGTTAAAGTTACAGGTGACTTTGGAAAAATTTTTGCACATATTGTTTTGGTCATTGACGCATTATCCCTTACTGTTTTGCCCAACATGTATATGAGTGTACTAAATTCCTTATCATAGACAATGTTCTTCTTAAAGTGGTTATTAAGGTGTTTTCATAACACATTCATTTCCAGGAATAAAAAAGAACTGCCAAATACCTATTGAACCAATCATCTGTTAAATTTCAGTTCTATGATAAATACCTGCTCATTACGATAATTATATTTGAGGACCACTAGAAACGTTCTGAGACACAGAGATCAGAAAACAGACCCACTGGATGTCAGTGCAGAAAAGCAAGAGCACCACTATGCCTAGTGCTTTACAACAAAGTTTTCCACACACAACATATGAGTATACCACAGTCACTTCCCTGCAGAACATTAAAGTACAGTTACTTACATGTCCAGGTTAGAGTACAAATCAACTGTCATGAGACTACCTTATTTTTAAAAAAGAATGGTTTTCCTTAAAAGTAAAAGAATATCAAACCCTGAAGAAGCTCTATATGCAAATGAAGAGAAGGTTGTATTGTTGTCAGGAAATGAGTGGCGCCTTTGCTCCCAGAACTGAATGAAGAGTATGAAACTGTGCATGGAGTAAGGGCAGAACAATTGAAGAAATGTGATTCTTGAAATAAAGTTGCCGCTGTAGTTCACCCACATCTTAAGTAAGTGTTTCTCAACCACTGGGCTGTGGCCTGGTACTTGGCACTGGCATCAATTATACTGGGCCCTCATTTCATAAAAACAGAATTTACCAGGTGTCAGTCTTGCAAAAGTTGAGAAACATTGTCCTGAGTTTTCTAGTTGAATGTATGAGTGTATATGGGGTGGGCCTTCTTGGCCCTTGCACCACGACCACAGTGATCTATTATGCCTATGTTTTCTAGTTACCTGTCTATATAAGTTGGTTGCTGCATATAAAATGATACATTGAATACAAAACTTATGATGTAAACTGTACACACCTGAACAATATCAGTGATTTTTAAAATTAAAATACCTGTTGCACTGGATTTTTCTGAGTGTTATCTTGAACTGTGTGTATACGTTGATTAAGTTTCTTAATCTCAAGTTTCCATTCTGCCTCTGCTCGACAGCGCTCATTCTCTTCTTTCAACAAAGCTCTCTTGATGACCATTAGTGCAGCTACTACCTTCTCGTTCCATTCCTCTGGTACTGCAAAACCCTGTAGCATTAGTAACAGTAAGCAACATTAAAAATTGGAGAATAAGGAAACATCAGTACAACAATCAGTCAAGTTTTTCTTTTATTTCTTTTTTATTCTTCCCTTCTCAACACAACAACTATCAAAACTCCTTCATATTTACTGTGTACAATGAGTATATTGAACTTGGTATGGCAGCTTGCTGCATATTTCGGCTAATAGAGCCATCATCAGGCAGTATACCACATACACTAACAACTGAACTTCTTCTGAAAGGTGGTAATTTTTTTTAATTTGAGGTTCATCATTAGACAAAAGAACATAAACTCCTCACTTTATAATTATTCAAGTAATCAGTTTTGTGTTAAAGTATTTTCAAAAATTACTTTTCTTTTTTAATTTTCAAAATAAGGACACAAGATAAGATGCCAAGGCATGAGTGTGTTTCCAGTCTTTCTAGCCCGTCACACAACCATTTACTGTTCTTACACCTTTTATTGTGTGTGTGTGTGTGTGTGTGTGTGTATGCATATTGTATTCAGAAATTTGGTCACTTCTGTCTAAAAATATCTTGTCCATTAGCATAATAAATAAAAACAGAGACGCATGAACATTTACCTTCATTCTATATGAACAAGTTATTTCACATCAGTATCTATTTTAATTAATTAGAAATTAATTTTTGTTATAGGAATTTTCACTTTGTGCATGAAGTTCAAGGAATGCAACAATTTCATAAAATGATGAGGTCATGTATCCTATCCGCCGTCACTTCATGAATAATATCCATATTTTAATACTTAACAGAAACCAACCACTGCCCATTTCTTTACCATTACACTCTAACATGAATATAATTACTTTCCTAATGCAGTACTACATGAATACCTGATGCTGAGTTTTGTATTGTTGCATCACAGGCCCCGAATCAAAATTATGTTGTAAATTTGTCATGGCTTCATGATTTTCTGTTTGTTGTGTTGTTGATGGTAAGTTATTTGTTGGCCTTTTTTTGTTTTTGCATTTGTTATCCAAGTGATACTGCATTTCTTGTCTCTCTACAGTGACCCCACACTTGTTTGGACATCCTTCCAACACTAGAGGGCATTGTTTCATATGTGCCTGTAAGTAAATTCAGTTTAAATAATAAATTTTTATAAAGTATTCAGTCACTAAGATAATAATTTTGACTCCACATCATAACTTAGGCTTATTACAATTACATCAACATGAAACACACTCCTTATCTTTTAAAATCTTTGTTCTCCACAATAATCTCCACTTTCCTTTGTAAGTACATTATTAATAAAAGCAAAATATTATTACATTTGTATGCATTTGTTATTGCTTCTGCATTCAAGTCAAGATCTCTGACTTCAGCATTCCCCTTAAGCTGCCACTGTAAAGATTCTTACCTCCACAACATCTTGTAACTTCTGCGTCCATGACCGAGAATCTTTTTAACTCGTTTTGACTTTGGTAAAAGACATATGTACTTAAGTGGCAGACCATGACTTTCCCAAAAGTGTTAGCCAAATACCAAGGCAGAGGGGATATGCTCTATCCCCTATGAGTACAAAAGCAACTGAAGTGCATTAACATTCCTCATGTGGCTCATGTGATATCTCAGATTGTCATGCACTCAGTCCTCCATTAAGCCTATACTATATCATGTTCGTCCTAACTGCACTTGTGTTCACAAACGACTAGTGCGAGTCTCAAGGAACTGGCTAACAATGGCTGTTATTGGCCAGCTAGAAGTGGCATAGAATGACATTTCTTCTGCCAACGTGTATCAAATACCACTGAACTACAAAAGTAACAATTTGTATTTTATTTTTCAGTGGTAGCCATGCTAACACAGTTAATATAAATACTTCACCACTGATGTGGTGTGCACGCACGCACGCACACACACAACCGATCAATTTGAGGGTTAACTCACACACATAAAACAACAGGACCAAAAAGGGCAAGAAATAAAGAAATAAACCCAAAACAAATAAATAAATAAAAAAATTACAAGGAAACAAGAAATTATAAAAACCTCCCTACATACTTGCAGATGTTTCTCATGCAATACAAGGCCACAGTAGTAACAGGTTATGGTGCGGCCTGGCCGATGAGGCTTAGTTCCTTGCTGCTTCTGAAGCCTACCTGTTTTCATCTCACTAGTATCTGTAATCAAAACATTTATGTACATGTAAATTATATAGACATAGAATACAGCAGGCATACAGACAGTTGTTCCTAAGCCTTTACCACAGTATTATTTGAAAATGTTCAACATTTGGAAAAGGCGCATCAAACAAAAGTGGGTTCACGACAAAATTAAGGAAACAATAAATTAATATCCAATTATAAAAACGTTATCATTCCATTTACTTTCAAAACAGCACAGACCAGTATACCTAAACAATAATGTTCATTAGCTGCTTCATTAGCACAGTTTATATGTATCTCATTAAAAGAGATGGGTTTCTAGTCATACATGTTGAAGTGGCTGGTCATGATTATATAAGGTACTATCTGGGAATTCATCTGGAAAGACTGAGGAAAAGTTTGGAAAAAACTCTAACTCCGTGGCTTTTAGTCCGCAAACGAACTATACTTACCGAGGGACCGCTGCTTGTCGACGAAGTTAGTGACAACTCTTGCAGCTAGAGAGGTGTCACATGGTAAGCACAACGGATTTCCATGACCGTTAATCTCGGTTTTCTAGACCGGAGCCGTTATTTTTCCATTTAAGTAGCTCCTCAATTATCCTCAAAAGACTGAGCTGACCCCGTTCCAGACCCACTACTTCTCAGAAAATATGGTAGCGCCAGGAACCCAACCCGGGTCCTCTATATCTGTAGCCTGGAACTTTGACCACTAGACCACAGAGGCGGCCTTTGCAAAGTCTCAGTGAAAACAATTTCAGCCTGTCAAGATTTGAACTGGGTACTTCCCAAATCAAGTCTAAAGTTATCACTATAACCTGTTCAGTATTCTGATGGGTCAATATACAGCACAGAAGGGGTGAGAAGAAATTCATGCTGAACACTGATGGGTACATTGTTTCAAAGCAGCCATGTGGAAGGCAGGAAAGATGATGCAGAAATGATGTTAAGATGCGTATTAAGATAATATTTTGCAATGAGGAGGAGGTGGGTGATGGGTAAAATTGGCTCCTTGGTAGGTTTTTTTGAAAATTCACGTTTTGCTACATATGAATTAATTAGTTCAGTTGGGTGAGATGGCATTTTATTTCTGGTAGGCGGATTGGGATTTCTCCTTTTCACTATGAGACCCAAAATGTAGACCACCCAGTTTCTTTACAGTTTGTTCCGGGTGCTCTTTTCCAAAACTAAAGGACGACCACTGTGTGAGGCCGAGCAGTCACTGCCATCTAGTGTTCGATTTTTCTCGTGATTTTCTAGGGGTATGCGTTCCACTAGTTGATAAATACTGTCCTGTAACATAAATGATAAGACGGTAGTGAAGATGAATAGGAAATAATGTGGCCTGGATTATGCTTGGGGACTGAGGAAAACCGCAAAAACCTATTTTTTTTATTGCTAGTGGGGTGGGACTAAGTCCCTTGTACTGCGGCCACTTCTGGCCTATTGTACCAGCCCCACATGATAGGTGAGGGTGATTGTGGAGCAATTGGTGGAATGAAGATTGGCAGGGGAAACCGAAGCACTCGGAGAAAATCTGCCCCAACGCCACTTTGTCCACCACAAATCCCACTTGACCAGACCCGGGATCGAACACGGGCCGCCGCGGTGGGAAGAAAACCTCGGTTAGTACAGTCGGGTGTCCCAACCCAAATTCGAACAGGACACCTCAAGAATAAAGGCCATACACACTATTCCTTTATCCACCTTGCTCAGTATGATTTCGACATACAACATCATAGTTCAATTCATATGGTTTCATTCTAGGAATCTGAGTGACGTTTCAGAGGAAAACATGACCTCCTCTACAGGGACAAGGAGTAAGCAAAGCACGACATGAGTATTAATGCACGTGACTGTCTCTGGACGACCTCCAATTGCTTCTTCTCCGATTCTTTACGATGCTGATTGTTACATGAAGAGTTCTGTCTTCTGCAATACAACGTGTAGTCCATTGCTTGCCACCTGCTTTCTTGCTTGGCTTATTCTTCCATCCTGAAAATAGAGGCGATATATTCCTCCGAAACGTCGGTTGGCTAGCAAGGGACTACTCGGCGTTATATCCAGTAAGACAGAACTCTTCACAACAACCGCTGTGAAAACTTTAAATCCTGAATGACCGTTACACACCTCCACTCCCCAGTTTGGTATGTGGATCCATGGATCTGTTGTCTGATTTATTTACAATGGAGACTGACTGGATGGGCTCTGAGTGAGAGAGAGAGAGAAACAGAGTAGGGGAATGATTTAACTCCGAAACAATTCATCTATTCATATCTCCCTTTCTCCTACCGCTGCGATAACCTCAAATTCAATAAAGATAACGGCAGGCGGAACCTGCCGCCCCGGAAAATAGTGCCGTCCCAGGGAACCGCTCGGTTCGCCTGTTCTGCGACGCCTACTGTATATTAAATAACCACGACAGCATCCTTCCAAATCCCTATCTAATAATCAGTGACATCAAATAACCTATAAAGTAACGGTGCTCTTATAACGAGCCAGGACATCCTTGAAACTCATTACATATTCATTATTCATTATCATCGTCTCGTCTCATCCGACGTCCTAGAGGTTTGAGCTCTGCAGTTGAAATATCGTAGTTGAATGACTTAAGGGTCGTTGGATTTGAGTTTCTAACAGCGACGATTAATGAAGGGTAGGCCTACTACATTCGGGGATATCATTCTTGAAGATGGAGGCAGTATGTAACGACGAAAATTCGGTGAATTTCTACCAGACTATACAAAGTCACGACTTCAACTTAAGGGTAAGTTGAATAATGTGGTAGCACTGGCTGGACAATGCGGTAGAAATTTGGCAAACAAATTATTTCGTGAAGGGATGTACATATGAATAGAACTTCAAATATCTGCCACTAATATATTGTTTTATGGAACATACTAAATTCTGAGAATATATAAAAATAACCCAGCGATAGGAATACAGTATTCGCTGGAATGAGGATATTTAACCATCTTCCTATAAATATAAAATCATTATCATATAAAATTGAATTGTTTAAACCAGCATTAAAGAGATATCTTTGCTTGTGGTCATTTTATTCATTAGAGGAGTTTTTTAATCAAAATAATTTGTAAATACTGATTGGATGTAAATGGGATTAACTGTATGTTATATTTTTTTAATTTTAATTATGTTTATTACTTAGTATTATGTGATATTGTTTTATGATTAATGTTTAATGATTGTGACGAATGAACTTGGAGTAGTAAGAAGTAAAAGGTTGTATTTCTAACAGTGTATGAATCTATGTTGTTATGATATGGCTTGATTTAATGTTACACCACGTATCTTTTTATGTTTTGTATGAGATTGTATAAGTTTGACTAACTCTATATCCTATGGGTGCTAAAGCCCCTGTACAGGATTTGTGGAGTTATTTAATAACAATAAACAATAAACAATAAGCTGTTACCTTCAATTTAAATCAAACGCCTGTGTTTTTAAATGTGTTTTGAACAGTGCATTCTGTTTCAAATCCTAAAACGCTTAATTTTAATTTTAAATACTACACACTGTATATTCCACTACTGCACTCACAATGAACCCGTCATTACATTGTGCCGTTCCGCTGTGCAACCGGAAGAAAATGTCACGAACAGGTCTGCATTCCAGCTATATCAGAATGTCAACACGACACAGCAGATGTGATTATCACAGTCCCAAGCCGGAACTTCGTGTCTATTGTTAAAACTGTTTAAAATGTACATAAACATTTTACATGACCAAATATTTCGACCGAAATTATTTAAAATAAATGTAACCCTTGACGTCCGTGTATTTATCGTCCGTCGATATTGCAACACTCTTCCATTCACCACTCAATATTAGTTTAACATTATACACTTTGACACTACATGTTTCGGCCCCAAAGGCCATCTTCAGGTGTCTTGATATGTTACAAATATTTTATCAAATTATGTCAGAACTGCTACACTGTCTTAGTCCATGTTAAAATTACACGCTGTAGTCCTCTTTTCAAGGTAAAACCACACGCTGTGGAGGAAACACGCAGACCGGGGGCATATGGCAGTCATAACTGAAAAGTAGGCTACGAACGCGAGGGGTAAGCTGCTGAGACAAAACACCCTGGACAGACACACATTTATGAACAATAAATGAGGTGAAATAAAATGCAGCAAAATAACTTGGGTATAATAGAAACTTTAAGGGATTTTATCTGGTTTTACCTTGCAAAGAGAACTAGATTTTTTTTTCAGATATTTTACTGGTCCTTGGGCTTAACAAGGTTGAGAAACACTGTGATAAAACATAAATACTGAGAAACAGTAGAAGTCAACCAGTACTTTGTAATTAGCTGTACTCTTGCAGAGCAGCAAAGGAAGACACATGAACTAGCCAGTTAACAAACATGGATAGCGTACCAAATTAAAAGATATTCGATTTTAACTGGAATCGGTGATTGCAGTTGTTACAGAAAGAAAGAATAATCACAACCTTGAGATAAAGTGATAATATTTCATATATAGAAGGCCGTGATAAATACGTCAGTGCTTCCCACCTTTTGTTCTAGGAATTCCTATAACCTTAATAAATACAATACGGATGGATTTCAAAATCGAAATTACAACTCAGAGATATAAGAACAGGTAAGGTATAGGTTAAGGTAAAGCTGTCCCTGTATTTAACTGATTAAGCACTACGCCATGAACATGTATGAGGGAACGGATGTATAAATCCACGCATTCTTAACCGAGACACTAGTTGGAGGTCAGTGATCAGCTTCACGCCACGGCCGCTTTACCCACGGTACCCACTGGTTAGGAGGTTGGGTTGGCCCCAGGGCCGGTTGCGAGCAGTAGGACTGGCCATATTTGTATACGGTATACAAAAGACAGGGGGAGAAAGAGAAAGGAATATACAATTTAAGATTATTTCAGACTTATTTATGAGGTTTGCGTCAGCATTTATTCTCATATAAGAACCCATTCACCGAATGTAATGTCGAAAATTGAAGCCAGTGAAGTACAATTTGTATTTACTCGTAAATTTTTGTGTTTATTCATAATCTCAAACCACACCAAATTTCATACGCTTAGCAACATATAGGCTAGTCCATAAGTGTAAATATAAAGTTAAAGGCAAAGTTATCCTTGTGCTTAACTAATTAAGCACTACGCCATGAAGGCGTATGGGGGGATGGATGTATAGGTCGACGTATGTTTGAGTGAGGTAACAGTTGAAAGTGAGTGGTCAATTTCACAACCCGGCAGCTTTACCTCCGAGGAAAGAGCGCCTGGTAGCCATTGGGTAGGAGGCTGGGAGGGCCCCAGAACCGGTCTGGAACATGTGGAGAAGAACAAATATTGCCTCTACCGGGGCTCGAAATCCGAGCCCTCGGCCATCCAGCCCGTAGCCATTCGCTGTACATTCGCTATCCCGGCTCATAAGAGTATGTATAAGTAAAAGTAAAGCTATCCATGTACTAGGCCGTGAGGGCCCATAGATTTGTGAGACGTTGAGGGTCCCAGATTATCTAGACAATCGGCTCAAAGATGGCGGTAAGGTTATCAGCCTTACGCGCCGGCCGCGCTTTACTCCCCAGGAAAATGATTTAATTAATTCATGGTACTCATTTCTGTTAGAGGCTGAGTGAACCCCAGGGCCATAGTGCTGCTGGAAGGATTAGGTCAACTGAAAAAAATCCAATAAGAGTACGTATAGGCTTATAAAATAAATAGTCACAGATATATACATATATATCACAGATCTTACAGGAAGTACGGAATTTCATGCTTAGTGACTGTACGTGACGAAAATGTATCTCAAAACTTTCGATTGCAGCAACATCGCATTCAATGTTACTCGCGTTCACCGCTAAAATCATGCATTAGTCTAAATTCTGTCAAAGGAGATTTTCGTGTCAATTCTGTGAGGGAATCAATCGAATGTACTACACAGCCACCGACTTTCCGGATACTCTGTATAAACGGACGCGCGCGCACGCGCGCACATCTTGCGAAACGTAACCACGGAAATTGGTAATCCTAATTTAGAGAGCTGTCTTTAAGGTGCAGCTATAAGATTTAACAACAACGTACTTCGAAATCCTTTCCTGAGAGTCAGATAAGTTGCAAGACCACCTTATGACACATGAGGCTGGAAGGTATATTACATCGTACTCCACCTAATCTGAGTGACGTAGCATATAGGATGCTTGAACTTTAAGTTACTTCCAGGTGGTTCAAGAGGTGTAGGAATTCTGACTGGAATTGGTGTTCTCATGGCGGTTGTAACGCTGTGTATCTCGAACAGAGGTCGACGTTTAAGAGGAACAATTCACCTACACATTTAAGATCGAAAGCTTCTGCTGATTTCTTCATTGATTTACTCTTCGATTATGAAGATAGACGTGATATGTTCCTCCGAAACATCAGGATGTCTCTTAACTACACAGTGTTAAACCCCATAAGACGGAAATTTTAAAGAATGTCGATTGTTTACTCTTATGTTGTGCAACCAACTTATACAAGCTTTGATCTTTAAAAATTAACATCTTTGCATGTAAAACTGGAGTTCATAATACTCGTAATTATTCTCAATAAAGGGGACACGTACATATATTCGTAGTTTACCGTTTAGCTGCAACTCAGGTACCCCAGAGAGTAGACCTGGATTCGGTGCTTGGTCAGTGCATGTCATGGGTTCTTTGAACATGACTATGGACAAGCGAATTTCCTTCAGCTCCCAGTGATATTTATTCCCCCCCCCCACACACACGTACCTCCTTATCATCACTGCATTCAGGCGTATTTCACATACAGATAAAGTTGCAAAATAAGATAAACAAAAACAGAGCAACACACGCTATACTACCCTAATACTTACATATCAGTCAGTCATTATTCCTTTTGGTAGGTAGTAAGATATAAATTAGCGGCCTCCGTAGTCTAGAGGTAACGTTACCACCTCATGACTCGTGGTACGCGGGTTCAAACCCGGCGGAGGTCGTGGAATTTGTAAGGGCGGAAAAATTCAGGGAAACAGTCCTCCGGGAGGGACTTTAAGCCGTGGGTCCCGTGTCGTAGCTTTACGGCATATAAAAGAACCTCATATCTCCAAAGGAGGTCACTGAGCCAAATTCAAGGACGTTTCCCGCCCAACAGTAGTCTCCAATGCCTCTTATAGATGGGGGAAGCATTATAGATACCGCCAAGCAAGTAGAGGCCGAACTCCCTGGCTCGGTCGGGACTGATGGTACGCACCAATATCGGTAGGGTATAGAGAGTGGTAGAATATCATAGAGGGAAGCACAATGGACCAATACTGGTCTCAGTGCATGGGGAAACCCACCTTCTCCAATAACTAACTAAGATATAAATTAATCACGCAAAATATTTGAGAAATATAAACTTCGCCTACTGGGTAGAAAAATAGTGGCTTCGATGTGAGCCTTTGATTTTGGTAATGAACTATTCAATTTAACTCGAAGAGTCAGTTTTATTTTCAATCACGAAAAAGTTTTGGGTTCGTAACGTCACCGCTGTCAATCGGTTTCTTTGACATATAAATTGCGATGCATAAGAGTCGGTTCATATGGCGATGTCAGTATCATTTGTTAAAGCTAACGGGTATTTTCAAGATAAAAAGGACTGCAGTACCTTCCTAATATTCCACGGATGATACCTTTAGATTCAGAAAAGAAATCTAAAACAATTCTTTAAATTTTTATGTAAGACGACTCATTGTATGGTGATTCAGGCCTTCTCAAGGTCCCCGCACAGGACCATACACAAACACACTCATACATCTTGCTGAATTCGAACTCGTGAGGCCACTGCTAGAGGAATCCAAAATTGTGCGTATCTTACTCTGCCTGCCACCACTGTGATGGGCGAAATTAAGTACCAACGTTAAAAATTCCTTCCCGGAGTCAATGTAATTTCATAAAAGTAATAATAATGTGTTCAGGCTATCAAAGTCAGTAGTAGGTCTAGATAAAACTCTTTGACAGTTACCTGTTGAAGAACGAAGATCTGCCATGACTACGCTTGGGGCACCAATGATACACTATCTCTAATACGTATCGTGACGATATACGTGTAATGCCAAGGGCGATAGCACGCCCACTGCAATCATTCATCAAGCCCGACCAAGAATGTAACGCTTGATGTCCTGTATTCCATGGAATATAGACAGACTTGATAGTAAGGGAACGTCATACTACTGAATTTCCGTTTCAGACAGGTTTCCGTTTAACGCCGTTGCTTACAGATAAAAATATTTCACAAGAGCCACAGTAGCTTAGTGATACCGAGTGAGTCTAGAAGGCTCCTAGAGCCGTCAGAAAGTAAAATGTGGCCATGGGTTCCGTGGGACTCGGAACCAAGAGTCACTGTGACGAGATCCAGTAGCAATTTAGGAGTCATTCAGTCAGACGAGCTTAGCCAGTATTAGTAACCAGGGAATGGACTGGACGATGGATGAAATGGTATTCGATTCCCTGCAGGGGCAGAAATATTTCTGTTACCTCACCCATACCAACTCTGGGGACCACTCAACTTCCTAACCATTGGGAATGGGTGAGGGGGCTTTCTGTCTGGCCAGGAGTAAAGCGGCCGGGGCTTGAAACAATTCGCATCAATCAACTGCTGAAGATTAAGAATGACTAGATCTATAGCTACACTCCTTCATACATCTTCATCGCGTGTTTTTAATTAATTAAGCGCAGCGACAACTTTAGATTTGTAAAATATTGTCTTCTAGAACGTGACGCCGTGTAACCTGACATATTTACAGATGTTTCAGAGGAATGTGTTTCCTTCATCGTAAGAGTAAGTGTACACTTGTAGCCTGAAGATGAAGGCAGTACGTTCCTCCGAAACATCTATCAGACTAAACGCTGTCACATTCCAGAAGACAATAATCTTGTCATCACACTGAGAACCTCAGATCTCCCAAGTTTTTGTTTACCTTTAATTCCAGATAAAGATATTTCGCAGTATTTACTTAAATTCCTTTCTTCTTATTATTATACGTTGTTTTACTTACATAAATATTCGGTCGCGCCACAGCTCAAGCGGTTACTCGCTGGCTGCCCACCGCGGCGGCCCGGGTTCGGTCAAGTGGGATTTGTGGTGGACAAAATGGCGCTTGGGCAGGTTTACTGCGAGCACTTCGGTTTCCCCTGCCAATCTTCATTCCACCAATTGCTCCACAGTCACTCTCACCTATCATCTGGGGCTGGTACAATAGGCCAGAAGTAGCCGCAGTAAAAGGGACTTAGGCCCACCCACTAGGAATATAGGAAAATACATAAATATTCAGCTAGGTTTATTATTTTCTGCTAAACTGTTGTTTTGTGTTTCTATTACCGCGTTAAACAGTTTCCATTTATTAGGGCAATTTATTTCCACTAGCATTCTTCATTCTCACAGAAGCCATAACATACCTTGAACATTCACAATTGAAAATTATGTTATAATGAAATAATTTGTCAGAATATCTCACATTGTCGATACGCAGAGGAATTCACACTTATTTCTTAAAAGGTGTGTACATGAACTGCCTTAACCAGTATCACTTCACGCATTTTCATCAGAAGAAATTTTACATTTCCATCATGGATATTTACATTCAACCTCATATAGTTTCTTCTAAACTTACAGTTGGAAGTCATGTAAAATACTGTTCAATTATTTAATGTACAATAAATGATGTGCAATGAACAATAATACTCTGTACACCATACAGCACAAGAGCACAAACTTCGGTGAGCTGGCCCTCGCAGAACTTTTAAGGTTAGAAGAGTCTCACTTCTGGGATTTAATTCTTTGTAATATGATGAAAGTCAACTATGTTTAGGGAGAACATATCACCTGCAGTCGACAAGAGGCTGATCAGATGCATGTTTTGGGAGGAATTGAGGGTATTTGCCTTCCTAAGGCAGTGATTGCAATAAATTGTTAAATGCAGAAGAGGTCTTCTTGGAAGATGCCAGACACATTCTTTGGAATGCAATCAAAACCACAGGCCTTTTCTCAATGTCAACGGTTGTATTTCTTTTGGGACGTCAGAAGCTCAGAAATTATCAGGGGTATCTTCATCAATGGTAACCAGCAGGGCTTTGACTTAGCGTCCACCTGTCATCAATGGTCACAGTGACACAAGTCATATGCTGTGAACTGGCTGTCTAGGTAGTCTGCAATTACATCGTACTTTGGCTTTATTAGTTGGTTAAAATATGGTGCCTGAAGGACCATGAATCTCGGATGGTGCCTTTGGTCCACCTCTTTTTTTGAGGGATTTCACAATAGGTCATATTGCTTGGGGTATGACTTTGTAGTATGCCATTTTTGTTTACTGTCTTTCATAAGCTCTTTTCTGGACCATTCTTTTAATATTTTGGGTAACTCAATTTACTGCCGTTTTTCTTGCTTGATCCCTGGTTTCTTTCCATACATTTCTAAGCTTCAATAAACAATCTAGGTTGGGTATTTCGTATATCCAGTGTAAAACTGTAGTTCTTCTAGCCAGCAGTCTGTATGCTGGGGCTATAAATGCTGCAAAGTCATGTGTCACATTATCAGCTTTTTTACAAGAACAAATTGGGATATTTGGATATATTAGTTCAGAGGCGAGGCTTTGAAACAGCGCACAGTTTATTTTTCAACTAAGTTAAAGCTTCCTTCATTCTATCAGGGTCCAGAATGGTAAACATTAATTGTAGGTGATCTGAGGCCAGGATGTCAGTAACGAACCTTGACAATTGGACGTTGATGTACCACAGTGTCGGGAACATCACCTCTACCATCAGGTATGTAAAGTGTAGATCTCTGTGGAGTTCAGATTTTGAAGTTAGAACTTACAAATGATTCAAAGAGCTCAAAGCCTGAGGGGTTTTAAACTTCATATTCCAAACAGAACGCTTTTCAATCAGGTCACCTGCCAGGATGGACTTATTTCTAAAGCCTAATTGCTCTGTGATGTTTGTGTCACTAGACAATCTTCACGGAGATCTACATACAGCTGTAAGCAACATTTGCGTGCTTCCAATCAGTATGTAAAGATAAATCGGTCCCTGTAACAGCTCATGGAGGTCTATAGGGTTGTGAGACATTGAGGTTTCCACATTTTCTAGACAATCAGCTCACAGATGGCAGTGAGGTTGTCAGTCTTAAGCCCTTTAACCCCAGGAAGATTCCTGTTACACAATTCTGTTAGAGGCTGAGTTGACACCAGGGCTGTCATAGTGTGGCTGCAAGGATTAGGCCAATTGAAAAATCCAATGACCACATTGGGAATCAATCCTGCCACCTTCTCTCTTGTAGCATAGTGCCTCAACCAACCAGGTTATTGCATGTCATGTGACTATGGTAAAGACATTTTTTATGTTCCTTCTGACACAAAATTAACCTTCAAAATAACTAAAATGGAATTATGAATAGAGTATGAAATGGCTACGATTTAACTGTAATTTACTTTTCATGAAGGGAAAAATTACACATAGTAATCTCCAATTTTGTAACATCCAAGTATCTGGAATTCTCACACAACCACAAACATTTCACAGAAAATTTACCGTTTTTATAAAGAAACTTCAGTTGTCATATACATATGTTCAGCTTCCACTAGCAGTGCCGTCTGTTAACTTCCTTCACATTTGCCTTAACAGTAGAATCTGTGCTTGCATTACAGCACATCCAAAACATTTCAGTCATTAGGCTGCAGTGTATTTCATTTTTCCATGTTTCACTCTATGTTCAATATGGTACAGAGTTCTGTAGGAGTTTCTAATGCATCCTACACATTAATGTGACTGGTATACTCCGTTCTCCACATATACTGGATAACTGGAAGTTTACTGTATTTATTTTACCAACAACTTCAGTTGGTATATTAATTATTCTCAGAAGCAGAACATTCATGTCAATTTTACTTTCATACATAAGGAAACAATGTCAATAATCTCACAGGGCAGGAACAAGAGACATATTGAAAATGAAGGATTAAGTACTGGAAAATTTTTTCATGAAGATTTCAGAAGCTAGAAATTTATTTAAAAACCCACATTTGGAACTAGTACTATTATTTCACACCCAGAAATTGACTACTTTCAAAATTGCACAAATGATGCCCTTGCTAGCTCAAACAAATGGTTTAATGTCAATAAACTTGTTTTAAATTTTGACATAACAAATTTCATGAAATTCTGTACTAACAATAAAACTTGTATTAGACTGAATATAGACAATACTAAAACAATAAAATTCATTGGCTTTCAAACTGACAAACTTCTACTAGAAATGCTCAACATATTATCACTAAACTAAGTTCGGCATGCTTTGCTATGAGGACAGTCATACCATTGCATGAAAAACTGAAATTTATTTTAGTTTACTTTCCCTTTTTTTTTAATTGCTAATGGGGTGGGACTAAGTCCCTGTACTGTGGCCACTTCTGGCCTATCGTACCAGCGCCAGATGATAGGTGAGGGTGATTGTGGAGCAATTGGTGGAATGAAGATTGGCAGGGGAAACTGAAGTACTCAGAGAAAACCTGCCCCAGCGCCACTTTGTCCATCACAAATCCCATTTGACCAGACCTGGGTTCAAACCCGGGCCGCTGTGGTGGGAAGCCAGCAACTAACTGCTTGAGCTATGGCGCGGCCCTCACTTCACCTTACTTCTATTCCATTATGTCTTAGGGAACAGCTTTCGGGGATATTCAACAGACAGACGTGTTTTGTGTCCAAAAGAAAATCACTATAATGACAAGCATTAAAAGGAAATTCTCTCGCAGGGAACTATAAGAATTTTGAAGAAAGCAGTCTTCTGGGATTTGGCACCGTGTAATCCCAGAAGACTGCTTTCTTCACAGTCACCGCCGTGAAAGCCTCAAATCTTATATAAGAATTTTATTTTTCCAGTATCTAGTGAATTCTTATGCATTTTATTTGTTTCAGACATTACATAAAAGTTTCAAACAAATTCAGATACATGCAATACAAGTATCACATACAATATAACCTCCAAGTGCCAACCTCTAACCTCAGTATGAGGCTGGAGTTTGTCGTACTGGAATTAGGTTATTCAGTAATCTTCTTCCTACAATCAAATGTCTCAATCACTGTATGAAACTGTTTTAGCCAGCAAGGAAAGAGTATCTCTTATCTCACTCCTTCTCTCTGTAGGGAATTTACCTAACTCTAAAATTCTCAGTTATAAATATATGTAAGCAATAATGGGGGCAGTTCTTTCATTTAATTATTTTGGTGTAATTCTGTATTATACGAAGCATCGGCAAACATGTAAATAGCCATTCCAACTTTGCATTTGTATTGGAAACAAGTACTGTATTTCAGAATTACTGGCGTTTTGAACTTTGTCCATTGTCTAGTATTCCAGAAGCTAGAAAACACAACATTTTGGAAACTGGATCTATTTCCATCTTCAGGTGGGGGAGGGGGCACCTACTCTGTTATGTCCCTTAGAAAGAGCAAACGTCAATCACTGGACAATCCCTGTCAGATCACTATAGCTATTTAATTACCTGAGACAAGGCTAATTCGGAGGGAGATACAGGGAAAATATGCAATAAAAATTGTGATAAAGCACAACCATTCATGGAACTGCGCTAGAAAAGGAGGTAGAAATTTATGATACAAACCCAAGTGCATGAGCACCAATGGATAATTTGTGAAGACATGTAGTGCCTATCACTAGCACCATCAATGGAGCAAAATGTTAATACTGGATGATGGACGATGTTCAAAAACCCAGTAATTCTGAGTGTTATACACCATCACCACAACCCTATAGAATCTACCAAGTACTGTATGTGTAATACAACATGTTAGACATTATTGGCTTAGACCCCTGATGGATCTATGGAATGTAAATACAGTCTGCTCTATTCTACTCTGTATATAAAAGAAACACCTCTTCTACAAAATTATTTTGAGCTTCCACATTTACAGTATAAGACAAAATACTGTACAGTAAGGTGATGACCAACGCAAAGCCTGTCACATGACCACTATGACATCTGCGAGGCAACAACCTGTCATAATGGTTAGTTCTCTAACAATAATTCTGAAATTTCTGTAATCCACACTGAATTAGCAAGCAGCATATCAACCTTTGAACAAAAATATACCATACAAGGCCCCTACTTTCCAAATAAACAGCAAATACTCATAATAATCATTCATGCATGGTCATCAACCTACTCATTAAGCCAAAAATTAACTTCTTGTTTTTATTCATATATCTGACCAGTTTTGGTCTATAGAAGTTATTCATGCTTTTCCATGTCACCATTCATATACAAGTTGGGTGTCACATATATATATATATATAAACACACTTTTATTGGATTTTCATTAGAAACTCATTCAGGATCATTCTAATTTCAATGATGGAGTTACTAACATTCCACTTTCACAACTGTTGCATATTATTCCAGTCTTAGCCATGGTTCCTACAAGGGCTACCAACAATCTATGGTTCAGGTCTCTCCATCTTTCCCAGCCCCTTTATCAGTGTGATCTTCAATAACTCCTGGCGTCCCTATGCCCTTTACTCCTACAGGCTCTGTAAATCATCAGACACAACAGTAATATTAATTTATACGTATAATTTAGGAGAAAAAACTATAAAATCTTCTACAAAATCAGTGAACTGTAAACAGGAAAGTTCCTGGACTAGGTAAAAATAGAAATGGTGGCTTAACTTACTCAATTTTGGCTGCCATCACCTTCAAAATAGTCTCCTTAGGAACATATACAGCAATTCCATCATTTTTTATATGCTTCAAAAGCACCGTGGAAGTCACTTTCTTCAATGCTGTGGAGTACCGCTTGCGATTCCCTTTGGATGTCAGACACTGTTTCAAAACTTCATCCCTTCAGTTTAATTTTCAATTTGGGAAACAAAGCAAAATCACAGGGGGCTAAGTCCAGTGAGTAGGCAGAATGGGGAGTAATAGCCATGTTGTTGTTAGGCACATAATCTGTGGTTTTCAGGAATGTGTGGATGGGCTCATTGTCATAATGAAGGGTGGGTGCACCAGAGTTCCAGTCTTTTCAATTCCACATTTTCTCTCAAGGATTTCAAAACGACACAGTAAAAGTCAGAGATGACCAGTGTTAGGAGGAACAAATTCATGGTGAACAATCCCCTTCACATGGGGGCGGGGGGGGAGAGAAAAAAACGAGCATACTCCTTGTTGAACTCCAGACCTGCTGCTTCCTTTTTGCTCTTGGTGATTGTGGGCTCTTCCACTGTGATGACTGTTCCTTTGTTTCTGGTTCATAACTATAAATTCAACTTTGGTCACCCGTTATGATCCTAGAGATTGTCAGGAGTTGGGGCACAAACTTCACAGCAGTGCAGGGCATGTTCAAATTTTCCGTTACGATCTCCTGATAAACTCCATAACTGGTCCCAATGGTGCCTGCGAGCTCACTGGTTGTTTGGCAATGGTCTTCATGGATGAGTTCTCATTGCTGTTGCTTTGCTTGTGCTTGGTCACCTTGAACTGACATTTGACAGGCCTTGAAACATGAATGCCATTCAAAAACTGCTGCCCAGCTTAAAGAATGTTCTTCAAAAGCCTCACAAAGCATTTAAAGGGTTTCGGTAGTGGTTTTACCAATCTTCATGCAAAACTTGATGCAGACACATTGCTCACTTTTGCCGTCAATCGCAGATAAAATGAAACATGAAGTCAAAAAAGCACTCCTGTAAAAACAATGCATGTTCACAGCATGGTGCCATGTGGCAGAAAGATGAAACAAGTTTGTGGAAGTGTGACCCTAGCCTCCCTTATCAGCTTATTTCACTAAGGTAGTTACAACAATAACAGTCCAGGAACTTTCCAACAGCATCTGGTATTAAAATTAGGCAGAGAGAAGGGGCTAATGCAATGAACAGTAGTAATGGTTTACTATTATTAACACTTCCTATTTCTTTTTAATGTCACCCTATACAGTAAACTCTCAGTTATCTGAGGTCCAAGCATCTGGAATTCTCATTCAAATTGCAAAAATTTCAAAGAATTTTTATCACTTTTATGAAGTAATTCAAAAAGAAATTTGCAATGCCTATATGTTCATTTACCATGCATAATTGTCCTTGCCACCAGTAGCAGTGCTATCCATTGCTCTGTGCATCATACAACTGCCACTATGATAGAGGCTATGCAAATTCTGATTGTGTTACAGTATACAAGGTGTGGCAATAAAGAAACCGGATTCATGCTCTAACCCTTTATTAAAAAAAAATCAGACAGTCGAAATGTT